AGCAAAGACGAAGGATATGGACCAAGGGGTTTCTTGTGGTCGTAATACTAACTTTGTTTGGCTTAAAGTAATTAACATGCATCGTTTTGCTAGAGGAGCTATTTCTCGTTGCTGTTTTTCCAGTTACTGGTCTAAAATTAAACCAATTGCTTGTTGGATAAACATTTATTTCGTGACTCGAAGGTAGCTTGAAAGCAAATTAATTGCCGATTGCTGAATTTCAATTCAAATGCCATTCAGTTGATTATGCTGTATATTTATTTAATCTTTGGTAACTGGTCAGCTTAATATATAACTATACATATTTATTTGTTTAATTCATCAGATCTTAAACCGATTTATATTTATTAGGTGTTTGAGGTACTTTTGGGGTTGAGTTTTATTCATATAGACAAAGCATCATAGGTTGAGATTGAGCAGGGCAAACCCCATCTCCTGAAGTATTAACAGTACAAAATATCACTTGCATCTATCAAGCCATCAAAAGCCAAATTGACTTTCAAACCTTGATAACAAAATGGTAAACCATTAATTTCGTTGGATGTAGGTATGCCCTTTGGATACCCCAAACTAGATTCGATACTCAGCCAAGCAGATGGCATTATCCTATAACATATTTTCCTTTCCTTTCCACTCCAACCTTACACCCGTTGTTCCACATCCGATCTAAGCATCCCAAAGCCATGACAAATGTATTGCAAGTAACGCGCATCAGGGCGATGCGGCAACGTGGCGTATGGGTGATGGCACAAAAAGAGTCAGCTTAACCAACGGAAAGACAAATAAAATGTGTTGCACACATTGTCACGCGCAGTTGCACCTGCTAAGAGGAAAAAAAAATATAAGTAGACAAATGACTCGCATAAGGAAAGTGATAGATTCCTTATTACTATTTATGTTCATGACTAGGCAAGGACTTATATTTTCCTATGTTCTAAAAATAAATAAATATTACATTTGTATACTGTTTTATTTTATAAAAAGGCAATCTCGTTGTGAATCGATTTAGTACATACATTTCTATGCCCGATATTATAGAGACCAAAAAGTCAATTAAAAACTACTTGTCCAGCCAACTAAGACAGGAAGCTTCGAGTATGAGCAAAGTGATCTGTGACACCGAAATGAACTAGATTCAGCCTGGTAGAGACCAAAAACCAATAGGGCTTCAATCTAAATTAAGCCCGTCGCAGGAATACCGTTGAAAGCACAAGGTATTTTAGCAATCATACCCACAATTTCTCATGCTCCTGCGAGCATCGGGGAACAGTTTGCCACATTCCCATTGAGCCGGAAATGTGCAGGAAATGCGAGTAAACACAAAAAGCGATTCGAGACGACAATGGACATCCACAGGACAGCAGCATCAATGGCGGTGGAGGAAGGCCAAGGAGAAGCCACTGGGTCAGGTCATTCGCATTCAATAATCCCCCGCAAACAGCAACAAGGAAATCACAATGCAATAACAAGCCAAAGAATGCACAGCAAAAAAATAAAATAATATTAAAAAATATTATTGAAATATAGGCACTTACTTATGCCAGTAACATAATTATTTGTTAGTAACGGATCAAAATTTCCTACTCCCTGCTTTTGTTTCAAAAAATAAGAATTACTCCTTTAAGACATCAAAATATTTTTCAAGTGAGGAAATCAAGGAAAATGGAAGAAAGCACATCCCTTGATGGCAGCTTGACCTGCTGGATGTTATTACCCTTTTGTCACTTCATTGATATATTGATATAATGATGAGTCCAGCACACTTTCCACTGGGTAATAATAGTACTGATGCTTATTTTTATTCGCGTGCAAATAAAATGGTTTATTTCCTAAACATCAAGAAATTTTATTCCAAATTTAGCTGCCTATAATAAGACAGTTTGTAATGGTTTGTATAAATTTAAAAAATTTAATTTAATACATTTTTAAGAGACATATTTTAGGAATTTTAGATCAGCCTCTGTTCTGTTAAAATATTCGCAGTTCTTTTGTTTTTGCTGTTCCCATGAAAGTTCCAATGCAATTCTTATCGCATTCTCCATAAAGTTGTTCATAGTCTATGTGTTCATTTAACTTTTTAGCTTTGAGCCGATGAACGCAGATACATTTACATATGTATGTATGAATTTGCTTTTGAGGGTTCAGCGGGGTCAAAGTTGACAAAAACTGCAATGGACCTCCATGAATTCGTCATGCATGCGACTGCTGCTGACAATGGGGAACCTGACATCAGTCTTGCGTCTAGTGTATGCACTGGAAAAAAGAAAGCCCTATAATATATTTCGAATTTAAAAATTCTAAACAGTTTTGAAATTTAGTAAAATCCATTTTTTAGTTTGTATGCTTTTTTAAACCAACAATTATTTGAGAATACAGAAGAACGATAGCTTTTTTTATTTTAGTGTTCTTCAAACATTTGTCCAGTCGAATGGGCAGCATAAAGTTCGGGGCACAAAACTGTAATCTATTTAATAAACCACGTGATCCACTCGGGGCGACAATGTCAGCACGGTGATCCGCCCGAGGTGGAGCTTTGTACCCGGCCACCCACCAGGAACTCCCTGCATCCAAACCTCACTCTACAAATATAAATTATTCAGTGCCCTGTGAACGCTTGAATGGATCGGTATTCACAAATATCAAATAGAGGGGCTACGGAGCAACTGACGAAATACCATCAACCAGGCAGAATGTCATTCATCTATCAAATGTATTCGCCGTTTGCGAAAAGCATCGTTTACATTGTGGTGGTACAGAGAGTAAAAAAATAGATGTCTACATTTTGGAAAGCTTTTTAGACCGTCTTATTCATAAAAACCACAGTTATGTAAATTATTTAATTTTATATTTGAATAATAAAGCCAATACTTTACTAGCTTAACTAGATTTATTTCACGACATTAAAGGAAAGTTATTTTGTTGCAGATACAAAATAATTAGAGATACACTGAGACTGCAGGAATGTTTTTTGAACTACAATGCCCAAGGCCTAAACACTATTACTTAAATAATGTATTTTCTAAAAATTTGATTTCTAAAATAAATCGCTAGAAAATTTAATATTTAAGAAAGATTATGCTAAAGAGATATTTTATTGAATTTCTTTTTTTAATATTTTAATCTTGGATAACCGTTCCCATAAAAAAGATTGTTGAAGATAGTTTGGGAGAGTCCTAGTGTTAACTTAAACAATCACACTAACTCGATTACACGCATACGTAAGCACACACAGTCAGGGGGTCAGAGGGCTAAGGGAGGGATATATACAATGAGTATATAGATGGGAAAGGGTGGATTGAGGGGACACGCGTAGCCGCAGGACATGATGGCATATGTATGTGCAACCTCCCGATGATGGGCAAAGCTAAGCGGTTAACCACAGATGGGGAGACGATTGCGCCCCATACCATGTAGATGAAGCCCAAAACAGGGACTGAACCCATTTCGGGGCTGAATTGTGACATTATTTTAATGAATATTGACGCTTGATTCGTAGGGCGGCACTCCACAATCGCTCCCCGAAACCCCATGATTGAGCCCATAAAATGGGTCCAACTGCTGCGGTCAACTTGCGATACAATTGCGCTCTACGAGTTCCGGAACAAGGCTTACGAAATAATAATAATGCAAACATCGAATGGAGGCGGATGTGGAAGTGCCAGATCGGATGTGTGGATGTGGAGCTCAACCCTTTGGACGCAGCTGCTCCGATGGCATCCAAAATGTAAACAGCAGCGCCAGGAACACAAAGTGCCCAAGGTGCAAACACGTACTGCAATTCAAATAAAGAAAACAATAATAGAAAATGGAGTTGAAGCCGGAGACATGGAAGGGCAAAGAGCCAGAAAAAGCGCAAACATCTACCAGCGCTGAGGACTTACAACTGGACCCCATGTGGCAAGCTTTATAGAAATCTATGTACCCTTTTAAGGTCCAGTTAAATTAGGAAAAAAATTATAAAATAGTTTCACTTTGTTGAGATAATAATACGTTCTTAAAACATTTAACAGTGCAAGTGCAAAGTCTTAGAAATTAAACGAGTTTCATTACAACTCTAATCACTAAGCTTAAAATTACAAATCATAATCATAAAAATCATGTTAAGGTACCTACCCCAGAATAGAGTATTTTCGTATACTGCTACACTTTCTTTGAAAGTCTTAGTGAAATGTTTGCCCTTCGTTTTTGGCTTTCAGGATAACCTCTTTTCTTCCGACTTTTCCGATTTTTCCGCCGTCCCATCAACCTGCCATTCCCATCACCATCAGCAAACCCTTCTCACGTTGCACACTTTATTGTGCTTTCCAATTGTTTTTCTTGTTATTTTTGCTCCTGCAATTGCACTTTTCAATATTGATGATGGTGCGCCACAAAAGATATATGTACGTAACTATATTTAACGCTTCATTGATTAAGAGGCAATCGAAAAATGAATGCATCTGCTTAATCAAGATTCCAATGTAGTTGAAATAAATGAGAAATCGACAACAAAGGATGTGGCTGGATATGCTGTTTGTGAAGAGTCCTTTGACTAAATAAAAATAAATATAGTTAAACAAGAAAAAACCATTTATTGTTTTATCACTAATAAAATACATCGGACTTGTGTTATATTAATAAAGTTGTTTGATTTTATTATCCATTTTTGTGATTTATAGAACATTATTATTTGTACTTTATATTATAACCAAAAATTGGAAATTAAACCAACGAAAACTTAACTTTCTTAAAACAAATATTATTATTTAAATTTGATTTATTAGAAATGTAAGCTGGGAAACTTATCTAATGACACCTTAAACTGACCCAAGAAGTAAAATCTTGACCTTAGGCACCAGTTGAAAAGCAGTCATAAAACGCTAATTGAAAGCCTTAAAGGTAAACGCCAGACCTGCCCCAACGTTTAGGTATGCTCCAGCGACATCTAATTAAAACAAAGTTTTGAAGTCCGTATATAAGATCCCAAAGTCTGGAGCTCAGCTTAGTCAGTCGCATCTGGGAGTTCTTAAAGTCCATATTCGATGGTGTCTGATGGAAATAGTACGACGATTGGCAGCTATTCGTTTCCATTTGGGGAACAGCCGGACGAGCGGACTCGCACATGGCCGCTGGTCGAATCGCTCTGGAATGTGCCCATTCTGCTGGCCTTCTATCTGCTGATGGTACTTTATGGGCCCAAATGGACAGCCAGGTGAGGTCGGGTCATCCATCCAAACTTCCATCAGCTATCCTTACCATACACCGAAAAGAATTAATGTGGCATGATAATATTTCTGGTAGATTCATGAACAATTTTAGGTCCGAATTTGGAGAGAAATAACACATTACACTGTGGTATTTTTGTATAAAATTAATATCTATCTTTTCTCTCTGTGTACAGGAACAAGCCGCTGCAGCTGCGAGTGCCATTGTTCTGCCACAGTTTGGCCATGGCCCTGCTGAATGCCCACATTTGCCTAGAGCTCTTCATCTCATCGCGGACCCTCGACTATAGCTTCGGTTGTCAGCCGTGTCTGGTGAGCTATAGCCCACATGAAATGCGTGTAAGTTGGTGCCAAATAAAAAAAGGCAAAGCGACCTAACTTCGGAAGCCGAAGTTTCGAATACCCTAGCAGAAAAAGTCTTAAAATATGAACCAATATTGTTTTTTTATTTTTTATTTGTTATTTTTTAATCAAATTCCGCTATTTTTTCACAATTACAAAAAGTTGAGCTGTTTAAGTTCAAAATAAATCTGATAAGTGTTATTACCGTGGCATAAGCAAATAAACTGACTCAGTTTTAGTTAGACAAATCTCAGCACTCTTTTAACCATATTTAAAGGCAAATAAAAACGAAAAAGAGTCGCTTTTGGAGCCATAAGACATTAAAAAAATAATTTAGTCATGGTTAGACTCGCATTTTTTGTAAATCACAAAATGATAATGATCAATTGAGGTATATATCATGCATCTGAAAGGGTATGAGTTGCCCGCAGGCCGGCTGACAGAATCAAATTGAGAGAGAGTCTCTTTGTAAAACAGATTGCCGCGGCCCTTTGGTGGTTCTACATCTCAAAAATACTGGAATTCGCCGACACGGCCTTTTTCATCCTGCGCCATAAGTGGAAGCAGCTGAGCTTCCTCCACGTATACCACCATAGCACCATGTTGATCTTGTGCTGGGTCTTCGTCAAGTGGAAGCCAACGGGTTCGAGTGAGTATTCCGCAGTTCTGTTGGCTTAAAGTTTTAACTACATTTTCATTGCTCGTGCAGCTTTTGTTCCGGCAATGATGAACTCCTTCGTGCACATTATTATGTATGGCTATTATGCTCTGAGTGTCCTGGGTCCTCGAATTCAGCCATACCTTTGGTGGAAGCGCTATTTGACCGGTCTTCAGCTGCTGCAGTTCACCATTGGCTTGGTCTGGGCAGCGCAGTTAGTTATCCGTGGCTGCGAGTACGGGACCTGGATAAGTTTGTCGGGAGGTGCCTACATGGTACCCTTCCTCTTCCTCTTTGGCAGATTCTATGCTCAAAATTACAAGGTATCAGCAGATACCAAAAAAGCGATGTGAACCAATTAATAATTGTTACACAAGGAAATAAAAACTCTTAATCACACTCGTTATTTATGCAAAGCAAATTAAGCTTATAATTTTTAATGTGATCATTTCATTGGAATTTTTCTAAAAGAAACTGTATATTTCATTTTATATTTATATACATTTTAACTTAAATTCAAAACATTCAGAAGATACTTTTAATTTAATATTTAGTAAAGTAATTCTTGATGGTCTTTGAAAATTTTTTATTTTAATCAAGTTAATTTTTCTGTCTCATATAAGAGTGTTTATCTGTGATTTACTGTAGATTTAAAAGGCCATTCTTATGATTCATAAAAAAACGAATTCAAAGTACAATTTCTTTTTAATTTATTTCATATATATATATATATTTATAAGAGATTTAGATATTCATATCAAATTTTTTATAGATTAGCCTCGGCGACGTCTTCTCTCGGCCTCGGCACGCCTAATGCGTATTCTGTGGAGGATACGACGTCTTCGATGATGCCTCCTTCTATGATGCACCGGTGATTTGGTTGTAGTGGAGGTGCTGGTCGGAGCATGAGTTGTTGTAGTGGTAGTTGCGGTACCAGTCCCAGTGCCAGTCCCAGTGCCAGTGCCAGTGCCAGTGCCAGTGCCAGTACCGGTTCCAGTTCCAGTTCCAGTACCAGTGCCAGTGCCTGTTCCACTGGTGGTTGCTTTGTCGTCCGAGGTGGCTGAATCAACAAAGGAGAAGCAGTAAATGGCCACCACTGCCAAAGTCAGTGGAAGAAGGAACCTCATTTTCAAAGATATTCAACGTGTGATACTTAAAGAATTGTGTGTGGATTCAATATGCTCCCAGCCAATTTATACCCCCGCTAGCACCAACACGCACACTGTCTTATTGGGTCGAAAGAGTGGAAATTTACAACGACCAAGTTTCCCTACTCCGCTACTTACTTAAAAATAGTGTTTATTTCTTTCTAGCTATAACTTTAATTGAATTCTTTTGTTACAAGAAAATCAGACAGCAATAGCCAAACTGTTAGTTAAGCAAATGTGTACTTTTTGTACACGCTTTATGAGATTAAACAGAGTTTCGGTTGGTTATGTATGTATTTACTTCATGCCCTTGACTATAGCAGTTTCAAAACATAAGGTTTCATATACATAAAAACCAGTTAAATAGTAATACCATCTCTATCTAAACTTTACTATGTCATTTGTTAGTCAAGCTAATGACTAAGCTCATCGAAATGAGGTAATAGGCTAATGAAGTAGTCATTGATATACTCGTCCTGAAAAAGTTAGAAGTCAAAATTATTTTCATCAAAATAAACATCTTATTTTTAGCTTAAAATGTCAAAAAATCATACTTTTTTAATTTTTATTTTCTCTATTTTCCTATATACTTTCTGTAGCGCATTTAATGAAGACCTGGCATTATGTGGAGACTGCACTGAGGTAAACAAAGGCAAGTGCACGATTGAAGTAAACCCGGGATATTATGTTGGAAAAGGCCTATATAAAACTATGAAAAAAAATTATGAAGTAATTTTAAAGTTCTCCGAATTTCCACAGCAAACGTCTAATATGAGTGTTTGCATTCCAAGCAACCTAAAGATTAATGGTACTGAGAATTGCTCTGAGCAATAATACGGATTGACTATTACAACCGTTATTTACAGCTCCGCATGGATACCGATATATATGCGTATGGTCAAAAGATCTTGGGTGTCAAGTAATAACTCCTAAGAATGGTAACCCAAGAAACTGTGCACTCTGCAGAACCCGCGAATTTACTGGTGAACCCGACTGTCCGTGTAATGAAACACAACAACAGCCAAGCTATGAAAGTGACCGATCCGAGCATCTTCACTCCAGCTCTATGCATATCATGGCTGTTGTGTGTGTTACGCGTATCATAATTTACCTATGGAATATGAATTCGTCTAACTTCTGCTAACCGTTTGTCAACTTCTAAAGCAACGACCAACTTTTCGCTTTGTAATTTAGTAAAACTAAATTTCTGTTAAACAATATATTATATATGATATTTTCATTTAAAATATATAATAATTAAATAATAATAAAGAAGTAAGCGCTATAGTCGATTACCAAGACTGTAAAAGTGGTGTTGGAGTGGGCCGGATCAGAAATCACCTCGAGCTGCGGTGGCATCTCCAGAATACGTATGGCTACTTTCTAGTTTATATATTTTATTTCATATTTGAAATTTATTTATACAATGTTAAGGATCACTCTTCCTATTTCTAGTTTTTTGCGGTTTGTGGGCTTTAGAGTCGCCGGATGCTAAAAAAAAACTTGCGGCCTATATCATTCCGAGATCACAGCATTCTTAAGAGCAGATGGACACTTTGAAAATGACTATAAAATCATTAAAAGGAAGCCCAGTTGCTTTACTTCCATATGTAAGTTATCAGACCCACAAAACTTGCACCAACTATAACTTGCTTAGAGCTGGTGTGGAGTCGCTCGGATCGAGATGTGTCTTCATGCTTTTTGACCTTACACGGACAACCTTTATCTGGATCCGATCGGCAATTTCCGCAGGCAATTTCCTCTTCATTGGGGGGGGCTATAAGTTGACAACCAAGTTCTCTTGACCAAACGCATATGTACTTGTATCCATCATCAGCTGTAAAATAATGTGAGATTAGTGCATACGTGGCTGGCCATTACTCTCAATACCGTTAATATGCAAGTCACTAGGTAAGCATTTGCCCATAGCAGAGGTAAACAAGGGAAAATCAAAGGACGATTCCCAACTTGGCTTCGCGATATAAGCAACAAAATATCCTGCTCTACCCTCAATTTTGCACGCGTGATCGGCAACTTCAGTGCAATCTCCACACCGTGCCAACTCTTTTGTAAATGTGGTACATGAGGAAAAGAGAAAAATAGCGAAAATCAGAAAAGAAAATATTTTCTTTGACATTATAAGCAGGAAAAATGTGCTCCGCTTTAAATAATACAATTTTGACTTATAAGTTGGTCAGGTCGGTTATATCAAAGACTACTCCTTTAACCAATTTTTGCATTTCGATTGAAATGAAATTTTTATGACCTTTATTTACCAAAATCTATAAATAATTTGAAAATAAATTTTCTAATATTTTTTTAGTTATAACTGCGATCTGTTTATTTTGAAGATGATATCTTCTTAAAGATTTTTTGTTGTCACCCTGAACAAGATATAAATAGAAGTACTTTTCGAATAGTTTTGTGATTAATAACTGAAAATGTTAGAGAGTAAGGTATATCGTGCAGTTCTTAAACTTAAAATATTTTATAAATATTATAAAATATTTTAGTGCATTATTTTGCGGAAATCGGATTACTTTAAGTATTAAGGATAAATATATATATTCGAATTAAGCCTTACAGTTTAACAAAAACCAAACAAAGTGGCTTCGAGTTAAATGATTAAAGTTTAGATATATAAAAAAATGTACTTTTTGTATTTAAAAAACTACTCGTTGCCCGCAAAACTGTAAGAATATGGCTGTCCATAAGGGTCCGAACTGCATCGTGAAAGTATGGCTGCTGGTGTGGAAAAACTTTTTAATGATTTTCGGTCGAAAATGCTATATGATCAGCCTTTTAGTTTTCTTCGCTATCTTTCCCATATTTTGTATGTGTCTTAGGCTTGTACCGTCACTAGGATCCAAGCGGGAAATACTTGGGCCAATACCAACTAGTGACATTCTTAACAATTTTCCGTAAGTCTTAAAGTTTTCCCATTTCTTAAGATCTAATGTATTTTTTAGCTCTAAAATTTATTACTCTCCTCAAACTGAGTTTATAGAGTCGCTTGTGGGAGAATTAAAAATAAATCAAACCGGTTTCGAAAATTCGGAAAAACTCTATGATGCGTTAGTCGCTTGTGATGATGACATTAGTGTGATTGGCATTGAATTTCCCGAAACCTGGACAGAATGGCCGGATAAATTGTCTTTCGCTTTACGTGTTCCCAGTGAAGACAGAGTGAATATTATGTTTTCACAAGATGGCTCTTCTCCATTATATAAAACTGGATTCTTAGGCGTACAGCAGGCACTGAGCCAAGCCCATATTAAGCACAAGTGTAAGCAAAGGAAAAAGTGTCAGGATGGCATAACGTTTCCAAAAATTAGGGACCTTCCGTCGCCACCCATTTTTAAGTCAACAGGCTTGGATGGCCTTGGAATTATCTTGATTCTAATCATAGTTTTCTTCGTGGTTATAAGTTTGTCAAAGGTATCGTTATCGAAGATCAGAAAGCTTTATTATACAGAGTTTGCTCATAGTCTCCATTGCAGTCAATCGTCGAGGAAAAGGAGCTCCAGCTAAAGGAGATACAAAACTTATTAGGCGTTGGCTCAGGTTTGCAGTGGCTGGCTTGGTACGTCCAGAACTTCATAGTGCTCCTCATTGGATCGACGATAATAACGTTGTGTTGGAAAATCAAATTGCCAACAGCTGATTTGTCCTTTTTGCCTTTCACTCACTGGTCGATCTTTCTTTTTGCTTTGCTCATATTCTGCCACTCTATGATCTGCTTAAGCTTCCTGATGAGCAGCCTGATCTCCTCGACTCATCGCATTACCCTCATCGTTATCCTTATTTTATTTGCAACTAAGATTCCCTTCTGGATCTTTTGTATCGATAGCTGTTCAGAGGGTCTGGGCGTTACCATCAGTATATTTATATTGTCCGCTTTGGAGTTGTTGTCCAAAGGCCTCTCCTCTTGGGAGGACTATGGTGTGGGCCTACAATGGGACAACCTCTTTCTGACCTCATGGCCAGGCGACACGATCAGCGTTGGTTATATTCTGCTGGTTATGCTTCTGACCAGCTTACTGTCCCTGGTTTTCTGTCTGTATATGGAGCAAATCCGACCAGGTATTTACGGGGTATCTCGTCCCTGGAACTTTCCCTGCACATGCTGTTCCCTCAATGTAAGCTTCCGGCCCTATAAGCGACTCTTTTGTAGGGCTTTCGGCATATATAGGGCGCAACCCGATGAGGAACGTGCGGATTTTCAAAGAATGGAGCCTGATCCTGAGAGTAAAACCGTTGGTGTTCAGATAAAAGGTCTTAGCAAGATCTTTGGCAAGATGGAGGTCGTAAAACATATGAGTTTCAGCATGTTCGAGGGCCAGATCACAGTTCTAATGGGCCACAATGGAGCGGGCAAGACGACACTGATCAGCATGCTGGCTGGGTTTATATCGCCCACTTCCGGAACCGCTCTGGTAAATGGCTATGACATCCGGAAGCAACGACGGCAAGCGCAGAGCTGTATTGGTCTGTGCCCGCAACAGAATGTGCTTTTTCGTCACCTGAGCTCGGCCAGCCATATCCAGTTCTTCAGCCGGCTTCGTGGGCTCAGAGGCGCGGAAGTGAAAGCAGAGGTGGACAAGTATCTGGAGAAGCTTGATCTGCAGAAAAAGAAGAAGTCGCCAGCCCACAATCTGTCCGGCGGAATGCAGCGAAAACTGAGCTTTGTTTGTTCGGTTTGTGGTGGAGTAAAGGTACTGCAGCTTACACTCGCCAATGGAGAGTGTTTTGTCTTTTCGCGTTAACATTTCCAAGTTTCTTAAACACCTTTCCGATTTCAGACGAATAAAAGTAATAAGAACTTAAAATAAGAATTAATTTATGATATATTCACGAGAAAAATCTTGATAAATTATCCTAAAGTACAATTCAATATTTTATCTTATTGACCCAGGTGCTCATCTGTGACGAGCCCAGTACCGGACTGGATCCTAGTGCTCGAAGGGAGATCTGGAAGCTAATACTGGAAGCAAAGGAAGGCTGCACCATTCTTCTGACCACACACCAATTGGACGACGGGGAGGTGTTGGGCGATCGCATGGTCATCATCAGCGATGGACAACTGCGATGTGTTGGATCTTTGCCGTTTCTTAAAAAACTTGTGGATGCCAACTGCCTGCTAACCTGCGAAACTCGAAAGCGTTGTGACGTTGAAAGACTGACTTCTTTGATATCCCGGCATGTGGGCGATATCAGCCCGTTCAGCATAAAGGGCAAAGATGTTTGCTACAAGCTTCCGCTCAACCAGTCAAAGTCGTTTTCTCCCCTGTTCCGAGACCTAGAAAACAAAAGGATAGAGCTGGGTATTCGGGGATTCGGCTTAAGCTCTGTAAGTCTAGAAGAGATTTTTATGAGCTTTGGAGCGGAGGACCTTGGATCTCGGATGACCGGAGGCGCTGAGAAACAGGATGATGGCGGGGACGATGACGACGATGATGAGGATGAGGATCAATTTGAAAGTAATCGCTACTGCGTTAACCAGTGGTGGGCAGTGATGACCAAAAAGATTCTGTCCCTCTATGCCAACAAGGTAAATAGGGGTAAGCCTTATTTTAATAACGATAACCTTACACAACAAATGTCGAAGCCCTCGAGATTAAGTTAATTAATATATGATTTATTTACATGTACAACATTTTTACTTATTTTAAATTATTTAAAGAATTCTAAGAACTGGCCTCTGACAGAATCCTTAAATCCTATTGACATAAACTAATATTATTCCTAATGTAACAAGGCTTACTTTCTGCTGCTTCTGTCGCTTCCAATTATTTATTACCTAACCACGCTGACACGGCATGATGATCCAAAGAATTTGGGTAGAATGACCTTGAATGTTGGCCTATATTTGGGCGACGGAGCCACGCTGTTGCTGTCACAAAATAAAAGCAAATCTAAAGCGGGATTACTTCCTTCGGACTATGTACCAGGGTTGATCGAAGATGGCATCCAACTTAAATTAATATCGGAAAAAGTGGAGGATTACGTGAGAGACGCCCTCATGACAAAAGAGGGAAAGCGTGAGATAAGCTTCATGCCGATGGCAGTTAGCATTGAAGATCCCCTTATCGGTTGGGTTGGCCCCAGGCACTATATTCATGCGGCGCCTATGACCATTAATCTTGTCTACAATATCTTGGCCTATGAACTCTTTGGACCTAAAATCGCAATAGAGGTAACAAGCTCTCCATTTAAGAAAAGCACTGACGATTTTTCAGATATTTCATTGACACCAACATGCGTCTTATGTTATGTGTGTATTGTAATGATCATGTTCTCGAACTCGGTTATCCAAGAGAATGTATCGCATATGAAGATGCAGCAGGAGGTGGCCGGGCTGGGCATGATCACATATTGGCTAAGTCACCTTTTATTCGATTTGCTGGTTTATTTCATTTTGGTGTTGGCCCTAATGCTTCCCCTTTACACGCTGGCGCCCTGGGATTACTTACTGCTCGTGCTCTTCTTCACAGGACTGGCGGGCCTGATATTCACCTATTTCCTGATATTGGCGTTTTCTGCCTCTTTATTAGCAGTATCATTAATCCTACTTTCGGGTAAGACGGTGGTCCGGTTGGATTGTATTTGGCACTATTTCAGATAAACTCGGTCGCATTTTAAATAAATTCTGTTTGGGCCAAGCCAAATATGTATATCCAAACCATCCATTTCCTCACCCTCGCGCAGCAATAATTAATTTCCTTCTTTCAGCTCTCGTAGCTGTTGTGATTGTGTATATTGTTGAAGCATTGGCCGTAATGTACAACATTTTAGAAATAGTGATATATGTTTTCCACATACACCCAATGATTGCTTGTTATTTTTGCATAGAAAAATGCGTGCGATTTAGTCGTCTTTGCAGATCCACCAATTCAGAAACATTAGTACCGGAAATAGCCGCCCAGTTAGATATAAGTTGCATAAAGCCATCTGCTCTCATCATTCCAGGATGTGTGTGCGAAAGTGAGTCTCGAATACGGTAATAGTCATAATAATAATTATATCTATTTCGATAGATCCGATGACCTGGCCTGAGATGATTGTCATGCTTTGTGGGGCGTTCATTTTCTGTATTTTTATTTTGTTTATTGAGTATGGAAGCTGTATATGGTACGGATGCAAAGGGTGTTGCTTCCGGGGCTCACGAAATTCTAGTCGGGATGTTAAAATTGCTAGGGAGGCAGAGAAAATAAAAAATATGAATAAAGATCAGATTGGGAGCCGAGCACTGGTCGTAGATCAGGTTTCAAAAAAATATGCCTGCGGGCCCCTAGCCGTTGACAATATTTCCTTCGCTCTTAAATCGTGAGTATTAGCCCAGTTAGCCAATATTTATCTTAAAAAATGAAATAGACTATTGTCTACATAGTAATAACCGGATGTTTAAATGTTAGACGACTAAAGCTAAGCCTCAACTTAACATTTTTCAGACGAACGTGCTTGGGCTTACTTGGGCCCAATGGAGCCGGAAAGACAAGCACGTTCAAAATGATTGTCGGCGAGCATTCAATGGATAGAGGAAATATCTATATCACAGGCTTTAGTATGAAAAAAAAACGGAACAAGGCATTAAGGGAAATCGGATACTGTCCTCAAAATGACTCGTTCTTCGAATTTTTCACTGGTCGCCAGATGCTCAATTTTTTCCTTCTGATTCGGGGCACTGAACGCAAGGAGTTAAAAGAACGATCTGAACAGCTTGCTGATCAATTCGGTTTCAGGAAGCACTTGGATAAACGGGTTAGGATACTCGTTAAGGGGTTTCTTTTCAAATATCTGACTTTGGTTTAAATCCAGATTATGTACTACAGTGGAGGAACCAAACGGAAAATCGACGCTGCTGTTGCCTGCAGGGCCAAATCCCTAATATGTCTAGACGAGCCGAGTGCCGGAGTGGATCCTGCTTCGCGCCGCCATGTTTGGACGATTATCGACAAGGTGGTTAATAAGGGCAAAGCTGTGTTGCTCACCTCACATAATATGGACGAAATAAATGCCCTTTGCTCGAAAAGCGTGATCCTGGTGGACGGCAAAATCTACACTATGGGATCGAACCAGCACATCAAAAACACAATTGCCAAAGGTATGGTGGTGAAGTTGATTGTAAATGAGCAAGTAGAAGAGTAAGTATTAAGCACGATTACTGCTTTTTGTATTTATTAAAAACTAATCTTTTTTTTTTAGAATGCCAAAAGTGCTTTTAAAAATTGAAGTCGAACTAAAGAAGACGTGCCCCAACGCCATTCTAAAGTAAGTATGATTCCTAGATGTAAGCGTATATTTTAAGACAGTTACAAATTAATAAGATTATTCTATCAACACAAATGATAAATTAATATTTAAATTATTTTACTCACAGAGAAAAGTACGAGTTTAGTGGCAGACTAACATTTCTAATTTCCGAAGAAGAAAGTAGTTGGTCGCAGATTTTTAATTTTATCGAAGGCAATCGCATTTCCTGGAATCTGAACGACTACTCCATATCACAGCCATCTTTGGAGGATGTATTCGAGGAGATTGCCAAGGATAGAACACGAAAGAAGACTGGCTACTAATAAATTAGTTCAAATATTGGCTTTGCACATTGGATTTCCTCTGTAATAACAAGAATAATTTATGTGGACTGAAAACTGAATCCTGATAAGTGATTTTCCTAATCTGGCAACTTATTTTATTATAAAAAGTGTTGGGTTCCCTTTGGTCTTTTCGAAATTTGTAATGTTTGATGATGTTATTTCTTTTTTTATCATTGGCGATGACTTAACTGTGACATGTAAAACCCAAAAGCATGTAAATATTTGTAATATTAATAATACAAGCCCTTCAAAGTATATTTTTTATCAATATCAATATCGCGGCGGTTTATTCAAGTGCGTCCGTCTATCCGTATGAACGGAGATATCTCTTGATCTATAAGCGATAGAAAGTTGGGTCTTTGCATGTAGCTTCTAGAGATACATTCGCAGCTTAAAGCTAAGCTTAAAGTTTTATACCAACATTTCCAAATCGGTGAATTCTCATAATTTATTATATAATAATTTAGGTTATAAGGCTTTACTTGGGCAGTCGGATAATTTACTTCAGTTATATGGAAGATGGATTGTAGACTGCGTCAATCTCTTCTAGCTTAATTATTTGGAAATTTCTCGAGTATTATATTCTCGGTATTTTTATAAAAAAACAAAGGTTTTATAAAACTTTACCAATCCAGCCAAAATCGAATTGTAAGTTTAAAATTTATACAAGCCATACAACTTATACTAATAAAAAACTAAAATTTCTATAAAATAATTTTTGTTTCACTGCATTTATTATGTATCTGAAGATGCTTAGGCATAAACTCATATGTACAAAAATTCGTTTAAAAAATACATCGCGTAAATGCAGAAATACGGGATGAGAGAAAAGAGTACAAAAAGAACGAAGTATAAAATTTAAAAAACAATGCGGTAACCGTCGGGGCAATAAGTTATTTCATTGTACATTTTCTACATAATCATAGTGAGATATATTGATTTTTGTGTGCTATTTCAGTCCAATCACATTGTGTTCTCGTTACCAGAAGTTTGTTATGCTTTGCTTACATGGCCTAAATGAAATGCGTCAGCAAAGGAATGTTTAGTGTTGCTGATTTGCCTGATTTAATGTTTCCTGATGTTGTTTCTGTTGCTGTTGCACTGGAACCTGTTGATTCTGAGCTGGTGGAGGGCTCCCATTATGGACTTGTTGCTGTTGTACGGGTTGCTGTTGAGCGTTTTGCTGATTTGGCACAGGTTGCTGCTGCTGTACGGGTTGTTGTTGTTGTACAGGCTGTTGTTGCTGTTGCACAGGCTGCTGTTGCTGTTGTACAGGTTGCTGTTGCTGTTGCACAGGTTGCTGTTGCTGTTGCACAGGTTGCTGTGGCACAGGTGGCTGTTGCTGTTGCACAGGTTGCTGTTGCTGATACACTGGCTGCTGTTGTTGATAGACGGGCTGCTGTTGTTGATAGACAGGCTGCTGTTGGTAGTTAGGCTGTTGTTGCTGAGGGATCTGTCCTGCATGTTGGTAAACCTGGTTGGGATGCAACTGCACCGGCTGCTGTCCGTTTCCATACTGCTGCTGTTGGTATTGCTGGGCGTACTGCTGTTGTTGCTGTGCGTATTGCTGTTGCTGCTGGATGTGTACCTGATCAGGTTGCTGATAGTGTAGTTGTCCACTTGGTGGGGCCTGCTGGTAAGCGACGCCACCCGGAGGAGGAGCAGCGTAGTATCCCTGAGGCATGTTTGGATGCGGCGGCAACTGGCCCTGAGCGATAAGGCGCTGCACCTCCTCTTGACGTCGGCGTTCGTACTCCAGATACTCCTCATGAGTGTACTGCGGCTGCCGATCGATCGTCTCCCACTCGGGGTCCTTTTGGAACTCCTCTTTATTGGTCTGCACCATGAACTCCTCGATACTGATTAGCCCGTCGTGGTTGGTGTCTGTCTCCTGGAAGTAGTGTTCCCGCATGCGCTCCATCTCCTCGGCCCGCTCCCTCATGTCGTCTTCTGGCAAATCGCTCTGGTAGACCTTGTCCAGCTCCTTGACGAACAGAGCCTTTACCTCAGCCTCATCCCAGTATCCGTTGCTGTCGACGTCGTGAATTGAGAAAAAGGTTTTCGGCTCAAAGTCGTTTTTATCCATGTGGTCCTGCTTCTCCCAGACATCCTCCAGTTGTGCCTTATTTCCCGGGTGGTGCAGCTTCTCATGGTCTTTGTGCTTCTCTTCTTTCTCCTTGACCTCGGCTTCAAACTTTTTGCGAGATTCCTCATCCATCTCCTTTTTCTGAGCCTCACGCTCGAACTCTTTCTGCATTTCGTACTCCTTAAACTCCCCGCGCCGCTTACGATCGGCCTCAGCTAGGTCGTCAGAGGTCTTCTGAATCAGCTTGCGCAAATCCTCGATCTCAAAGGTGTGCTCATTGTCGTGATCCAGATGCTGAGACACCTTAATATGCTTCCGGTCAATATCGTTTGACAGCTCGTATGCCTGGTTTGCCAGTTCACGCAGGCGCTCCACTTCGCGACGTTTTATCTCATCCAGCTTGGTGCGCACATGGTGATTAACATAGTCCAGCTCCTGCGCAATCTTGCCACTCTGCGAAACGAAGAAATCAATGAGAATTATAGATGAAAGGAATTACATGTATGCCAATACTAAACCTCACATTAGGCAATATATTAAAAAAAGAAAAAAGTATATGACAAAAAATATAACTAAAAAACTTTACAATAGACGTGTGAAATAGTGCATTCCACAAGCTAAAGGGAGGCAAAAGGAACGTGTTTAAGTGCTGCTTAAATGTAAATTAGCAGATATTCTAAACACGACAATTAAAAGAAACTTAATCTGGGCGGGGTTTAAAAGGTCTGTGTGCAATATTATCTTTGGGAATATACAAATTACAAGTAACGACTTTGGAGTATTTTTATTTTTAATATCATAATATTGAGAAATTTTTATGAACATAAGGAACACTTAGAAAACTTTTAGAACATTTTTGGAACATTCAATGTTTAAATTGACAAAAACGATTCCATTTTAAAAATACAAATGACAATAGATTTCTAGAAGTTTTAAAAGTAATTATTGCAAGTACCGCTGACTACAATTTCAATATATAGCGATTGGTTTTCTGGTTTTGCCTAGGCTATATCTTTTCGAGACGTGGAAGATAAAGTTCCGCGAAATCGCCTTTCTACTTACCCGTATGTCAGCCTCGGGCGCCTTGTCTAGCTTCTTTCTGAACTCGGGGTCGGCCTCGAGGGCCTCGACCACCTCCCTCAGATAGCGTTCGTACTCCAGGGCTGTTTCCACATCAGCAGTGGCCGGAGTGGAGGACTCTGCCTCCTTGTGATCCTTTTTGTTTTGAGTCACAGGCAAGGCAACAACAATGGAAATCGAGGCGGAAATCGCAATCAGTGCCAGTCCCAACAGGGCCACGTTCTGCGCCATGTCTCCAAGTGTTTTCTTCTGTCGTGTACTTCCCAGTTTTGTCCAATGCAGAGCGACAACTGTGCAAATATCTTCACAAAAAATAAATATTCCCAAGAATATTCTGACGTGTCTGATGGTTCATACTTAGCGTGACCGTACTGCACTAACAATTTAATACAGGCGCCCATGGGTACTTAAACGTCAATGAACGTGAAATATACCGCAAATATACTTTATCCCAAGACACAACCCATCTAAAACCATTAATTGCTAATTGCGAATGCATTTAAATAGGTTTCTTATTTATTTAGTACTTTTTAATTTTTATTTTGGGAAACATTCTATAAGAATTTGATACTTAATCGTAAAACGAGTGTTTTAAATGAAAAAATTTTGTGAATTGTTCGCGGAATATAAATATAAAAAATTAAAAACAAATCTATCACTCTAACGTAAACGTAGATCGGCTTTAGTTTGTTGTAAATTTGTTTATACTGTAATAACATTAAAAAAAAGAAAATATTTTGGTCTAAATTTCACATCGGCTTTTATGTTTTTGATGGTTTTGCCTTTCTTTTTTCCGCAGTTTTAAGGTTAACTTTAATTTTGCTGAGCTTTTTTTGCTTTGACTTTAAATCCTTTTCATTACTCTGTCGCTTTTTTAATGCTTTTTCCGTCGCCTCAACCTTTTTGACTTTTCTGGTTTTGCGGATCTCGTCGCCTTTCGTCTCCGGGCGTATCTTGGTAGATATATCCTCACGATCTAAGGGTTTCTTCGCTCTAATCTTGGCCTCCGATTTTCGAACCTTTTTCATCTGTAGCATATACTCCGGCACAGATCCTCCAGAGTTTTTAATTATAAGCGCGATGCTAGAAGGAAAAAAATTGTTTAAATCAAGTGTCTTCATGGTCTTTGTTTTGTTGCTTTGTGTTACCTTCGTAAATTGGCCGTGTCATCTTGCGTAAAGAATGTAATTGCCCGACCTGGACGCCCAGCCCGACCTGTTCTTCCTATCCGATGGATATAAGAGATGGTAGTGGGTGGAAAGTCGTAGTTGATCACCAGATTGACGCCTTTAAAATCAATACCTCGGCCCATGAGCTCAGTACAGATGAGCACCCAAATGTTGCCCTCACGGAATGCTCTCACGCAGTTGTCACGTTGATGTTGACTCCGTTCAGCATGGATCACGTCCACATTGATGCCGTCGTAGAGCAGTTCTTCAAACAGTTGTTTAGCACGTTCCTTGCTTTGGACGAAAACGAGCACCGGGGGCTGCAGACCTTGGCGCACTAGGTCCCGCATGGCAACCAGTTTTCCGCCCTCAGAGCCCACAAACAGCAACTCTTGCTGCACTGTTTCGGTGGCGCTATTTTGCACACCAATTGTGATGCGCACCAAGTTTTTAAGATGTCGCAGCGCCCATTTGGCCACAGGCACAGTATAGGTTGCACTAAAGAACGCCACGCACTTGGTCGGATGTGAACAGGCGGCGTATATGTCATCCAGCTGCTCCTTGAAGTTGTTTTGACCCTCCTCCATTAAACGATCTGCCTCGTCCAGAACAAACCATTCAACAAGTGACAAATTCAGTAATGGTGGCTCTTGCTGCAGGAGGAATCTCACGCGGTTTGGGGTAGAGACCAATATGTCGTAGCGCTGTTTGCACTCGGTACCGTGCTTTTGCTTTGCTTCGCTCACCTTGCTGATGAAATGGGTGCGCAGCCCCGTTTCGCGTGTGAGTTCTGCACACTCGCGGTAGATTTGCTGTGCTAATTCGCGAGTGGGGGCCAAGACTAAGGCTCTCAGGCCGCTAGTTTTATGTGCCCTTAATCCATCGATGATTGGCGTGAGAAATGCCAGCGTTTTACCAGATCCAGTGGGCGCACAAGCCATTAGCGCTCGCCTCTGGAGGAGCACGGGCAGAGCCTGCATCTGAATGGGCGTAGGCCGGTCGAAGTTGCGGGCTTGAAGGTTCTGCTGAAGGCGAGGCAACAGCTTAAAGTCTCTGGTCAGAGCCTCGAAACTGGCCACTGGTGGCGGAACCCTTTTGCCAAGCACACTAATACCATGCCGCTTCCTGGTCTCATTTGCTTCCTCAGCAGCTCTTTGAAGCTCTATTTCCTTAGGAGAGAGTGCCTTTTCTGATTTCGGCTTCTTGCGTTTGGCTTGGCTGCTAGATCCTCCTTCCAGCAATCGGAATTCTGTTGTGTCTTCGTCATCCTCCTCCGATTGTTCACTCTTTACCGGCCCGTCTGGTTTAGAAATCGGGGGCTGCGGTTGTGGTTGCGTTGGGGTTTCCTTCTGCAATGGTTTCATTTCATTTGTGCTCACTACCTTTGTTGGAATCTACTTACCTTCGATTTCTTGGTGAAGCGCACACCCGCCGTCAGCAGTTTAAATATATCATGCTCATCCATTTTTCTACAAACAACGCACGTGCAATTGTTTTGATTTGGTCACAGGGTTGCCACATCAGTCGAAATGAAACTAACAGAGAGATGTTAACGACAACAGCTCATTAACCCTATAATGACAATCTTTTTTAAAAATGTAGAATACAAATCCAAACATTTTTTATTTTAATGCTTTTTACATACCAATTTTACCATTAAAATAATGAAAGATAATTTTTCAGGAAATAAAAACACGAATTAATTCCAGGTGTTAGTTCTTTATTCCCCTGGCTCAATGGCCACTACTTCGTCAAGGAGCTCCACCCTCCGTTGCAGTCCCTTCAAGTCCTTCTCACTGCCCCTAACGCCCTCCGGCAGTCCACCCCAGCTAAATCCGCTTGGTCCAGTGACCTCCAGTCCATCATCGTGGAACTCCTCGCAGAGGTTATGCATCGCACAAATGCTCTCCACTATGAGGCGAACTTCATTCAAATCTCTGGCCTCCAGAGCATACAAGGTATTAAAACGGCGAGCCAAGGTGTCTAGGACCTGCTCCGCCAATTGAAAGGCGGGACGCAGCAGTTCGTTGAACACCGCATCTTTACGGAAGCACTCAGTATCGATGGGCCGCACCAGGTATGACTTGAGGGGAAAGACACCGTTCCCGATGAGGTAACTGCCTGCTGGCATAGTCCGTGGATTTAAGGCCAAAGTCTGGCCGATGGGCGAGTCCTCAAAGTTATACTCAACGGCCAACTCTACGTAGCAGTCGATGATCTTTCGCTCCGCGTTGAAGATTAACTGCAAAACCACTGGCACCTCCGCGTGTTCCGATTCCAGAAAGACGTCCAGCCGCCTAAGCGTTATAATGCCAAATAGTTCTCGGAAGCATCGAAGTTTCTCCAATTTCTGGTATCCCTGCAGTGTGCTTCGCTGGGCCGCCAGCGAATTGGGCCACTTAATAAAGCTCTCGTAGTTGTCGGAGATACAGTGCCAGAATCCGCGTACCACTTGCTGGCAGAGAGCCCAGGGTAGCTTGAACTTCCGTGCGATCTCTTCGAAATGCTCATCGGTAGAGAGCTTCCACAGGGCTAAGGACAGCATGGTCTGCGCCGGCGGAGTGGGATAGCCTGGCAAGGCAATTCCACTAAGCATTTCCTCTAGGGTCTGCTGGATTTTCTGAAAGTAATGGAATGTGATTTTTAATGGTAATTATTATAATATCAATTGCATATATGTATGTACATATGTTTTAGCTTTCATTACAATATGGGTCTCAAATTTGTATAATACTGAAAGAAGTTGCTAAATTTTGTGGAAGCGCTTTTTTTAATCTTAAATAACTCTCGAATGTTTTTGAAAAATGGGTGATTTTAATAGCTTCAGTTCTTATTGTTTCACTATTTCCATTAAGCTTTGGTCGCAGTATTCGAAAGCAAACACTAAATTCCAACGGATTAAAACTAATACTAACCAGAAATGTGTGCTTGCGCATGTGGAGGTAGGACTCAAACTGGTTATCTGTGTAGCGGTGCAGAAGATTGAGTTCGGCATGGTGCCACTCCAGCCTGGCCTGCTTGAGGTCCTGCTTGCGGTCCTCTGGATCCTGGAGCAACTTGCGTTTCCCGCCTGCGGCCAAGGATCTTTTTCTTTGCATCAGGGCGAAGATTTCCGCCTCGTCGTCGTCCTCGCCGAAGGACAACAGCGGATATTTGCCAGCATTGATATTCATTGACGGCTGGTCAATGAGCAAATCCTTTGTGATTATGGATGCAATATTGGCCAGCACAGCACGTTCCTCCATTACGAGACCTTTTTGATTTAGTTTTACGGACGTATCCTTTCATGCGGCTTTGTCAACCCTCTTTTTGGCGATAAGTGTGTGTGTATGCCTTGTCAGCTGTTCGGGGTGAATTTTCATTGCGGAAAACTATTTTTGTTGCAACTAAATTCATTAATAAACTGTTGAGTGGAAGACCAACGACGGATTAAAAAAAGTTCTAATTGAAACCACTTAAATTTGAAAATTAATGAAATGTTATTTATCTAACATTCCACATTCCAGTGAAACAGAGCTGCCAGATGGGCTAATTTCCTAACGACTTGAACTGTTTGGCAATAACAGTGATGTTAAAAGTTTTTAATATTTAACAGACAAATTCGTTAATTTTAAAGCATACATATGTAAACATTTTTGGTTGACTCACTAAAAACTAAAAACTCAAACTTCATTTTTATAAAGTCCGCATTTTGTCTGGATAGTGATCCATTTAAATCGTCTTAGGACAATCCTTCATCAATGGCTTTGAAGTCATCTATTTTGGACTAATTAACAAGGTTCACCTTGGTAATCACATTCCAATGTAACTGCAACATATTTCAATAAAAAATCTTAAGAAAATTCCAGTTAATGACAGTTACATACCAATTTTGGGCTTCTGAATTTCGAAGGACTCCCATGTGCATGTGTGCCTTGTGGGATTGGCCTCTGGCAGACTGGCCTGGTTTCCTGGGATCGAAGCTGTTGCTCTTAATTCCCGAACGCGCCTTCGCAGGGCGGCCAAAACATCGGAGTGTCTTTCGGAGTAAGCTAGATTATTCTGCTCACAGGGGTCCACCGAGATGTCGTACAAGCAATCCTCCAACAGGGGATTACAAGACCTTTGGAAATCGCCGCAACGCACCGCCGCTGATCTCCGCAGGGCCGTGATACGCTGTTGCGTTAGTCGTCGTTTATCAAAGTGGGAAAGTGCCCTTGAAGTTGCGGAATTCCGTACCGTCACCGCATACCTACTCTCTCGGGGATCTAGGTCGTCCAGTTCCCGGTAGGTGAGCACCGAGTCATATCGACCGGCAGCCGTTGTACCATTCACGTACTTCCATTGTCCCATTTGAAGGGCAGACACCCGCCAAACGTCATCCAAAATGTGCAGGATCTCTCGAGGAACATGGGGGGCATCGGCAGATCCCGATAGCTGAGGCCACAGATCGATACCGTCCAGTTCTAGTGTGTCATTTAACTCAATGCCCGCCGCATGAGAAAGTGTGGGCAACCAGTCTGCCACGTAAATAGGCTGCCCAAAGATGGACCCACGAGCCTCAAGTTGGGAGCTCCAAATTGCACCTGCCACTCGAACCCCACCCTCCCATGGCGTATTCTTCTGTCCACGAAGGGGATAATTAGATCCCGTATTTGCGAACATGCCCACCGATGGAGCTCCGTTGTCAGAGTAAAAGATAACTATGCTGCTCTCCAACTGGTTCGTGGCGGCCAACGTGCTTATTATTCGTCCTACGCTCTGGTCCAGCTTGGAAACCATCGCTATATTAAAATAATCAATAAATTAATTATGAAATTTAAATAGCTTCTTCTTTTTTGTTTACAGACAGTACTTACCAGCATATTTCCTCCGGTTAGGATCTTTGATATAAGAAAACTTTCGTATCTCCTCTTCGGGCGCCTGCAGGGGATCATCCTCGTTGGCCGTATGAGTAGCCAAATGACTGAGCATCAGGAATAAAGGTTGTTCCTTATTGCCTTTCTCCTTGATCAATCGTTCCGCCTCGGCGGTTAACAAATCGGTGACGTAGACACCACGATCCCTGCACTCCAACTCCATGTTCCTTCGAAAATCGTAACCGAGACTGTAATTGGCCACCGGCATCTTAGATCGCCTCTGGTAATAGTCTATATAGGCGCCCCAATACCCGTAGTGGTAGTCAAACCCCCGCTGAGTGGGCGTATATTCCGGCCGGGAAAAGCCCAGATGCCACTTTCCCACCAAGTTGGTGGAGTAGCCAGCGGTCTTGAAGATCTCTGGCATCAAAGTAGCATTGAGGGTCAGAGCCCAAGGCTCTTCATTGCTGATCACAAAGTGCTGAGTGCCTACGGTATTTTATATGCAATTAACGTATACAATTCAAAATGTTATTGTGATAGGCATATCAAATTTATTGGTTCAAAAAAAAGTTTACTAAAGTGATTACAAAACTTGTGGCGGAATGGATACTGGATATTGTCTTGTGACGAAAATCGGTTATTCATCCGATTAAATATGTGCACTTTCTAAAGTTTCCTCATTCGGATAACTGCAACGCTTAAGTAGTGAAAATGATATGAATTTTACGATACTATACATATATTGTGAAATTTTTAATCATTGGTTGTTACAAAATATCAAATTTTAGTACGTTAAAAGTGCGATTGTATTTTTGAATCCGTTTCGTTATCTTTTTATTTACATTGTTAACACAACAATATACTTTTCCTTTGCCTTTTAATTTAATAATTGAAATGTGTATTCATCGAAGATTATATTGGTTATTTTAAATATCTGTATTTTTTCAATAATAAAATATTATTAAATAGTTAATAGTTATTATTAAATAGTTAAATTGGATAAATATATACTTTTTCTATAATTTAATTTAATTTCTTACACGCCAATAGTAGTACTAACCTGTGTGAATGGGATAGCGACCGCTCAGTAGTGCTCCCCGGGAGGGAGTACACATCGCAGGGGCGTAAAGACGATCCAAGAGACGACCGTGATAGGCCAAGGCATCGATGTTGGGCGTTAGAAACTCCCGGCCACCTCGAAAGCTAACATCATCGAAGCCCTGAAATTTTGTTTGTTTTAGAAATGGTTTGATTTATGACGGCGAAAACTAGTTCGACCATGTCATCGGCCATTATAATGATTATGTTGGGTCGCCGAGCTGTAGCATCTCCATCCGACTTCACCCATTGAAGGCAGAGTAAAAGTAGAAGCGCTGATAAGGCCCGCATCTTGGTTACTCAATTTCCGAATTGGTCAAACACGTAATATTCGACTGCCGCGTTCCGCTTTGCACGGCGGCTCCCGAACGACTGAAACCGCGAGAGGTCCACGTAACATCTCGTCTCGACTCAGTTTGGGTCTCGATCGAGATCTCCCAATCAGTCTCCCCCGGGCATCTCACTTCGAAACTGATCGCTTGCCGTTTCAATCGACATCGATCAAACCAAATTAACAGCCACCGACAGGTTAATATAATTACTGCTCACCTACAACAAAAACACACACAATAATTATAGTATGTAGCAAGTGTAAATACTTAGAGTATAAATGTTTTTTTTTGTTGTTGGAAGCAGTTGAATAAACTTAAGACAAGTGGGGCACGTTCTGTCGCGGATTAGTAAGTATATCAAGGTGGTTAGTCTCGATATGTTTGAGAAAACCAAACTAAATATGACATTGGCATTGGAATTGGCATTTTTGAGCCAACAGCTCAAATTAGCTTAAAACTTTTAAAAAATATGTGTATTTTGAAAAAAAAAAGTTAAAAAATAAAAAAAAAGTGTAACTAAATTAAAAAAAAACTGCTCACTTTAATGCAAAAAGCGTTTTTTTCTTTTGTTTATTTAACTAAACCTTATAGAGTAGTCGAACAGAAGCATACTAACTATATAACTATCCACCGGGCTCCCGGGAGTCTAATGATTAAGCGATTAATACTATCGGGACACGCACAGACATACACGCTTAATTAGCTACACACGCACACAGTAAAGGCATAATCTGATCCTGATCCTTATCATGTTTTCGATCACCAAATTAGGCTCCTCGACGCCGCCGGAAGACCACATATTGCGTTGTGGACGGGAATGGCTAGGAATCCGGCCAGAGCGATGCCATAAGAATCCGACTGGACAACCATTGCCATGGCGAACTGCTGGCGTTCTGGTGAAATCTCTTTCGACATCCGATAGAAGGTGTTTACGTAGGCACCACCGCCCAAAAGTCCTTCCCACAAGACGATGGCAAACACGATCCAGATGCTTGGTGTATACCACCAGATGACCTCGGTAAGGAAGTATACCACGTTGACGAACTGGAAGATGGACATTAGCCAGATCTTATCCAGCTGGAAGACGTTCACCGAGGAGCGTGAGATGAAGACTCCGATTTGGTAGTCTACATTAAGCCAGCGATACTGCGAGTCCTTGTCTAGGAAAATGTCCTCGAAGTAAACCAATTCGAACTGAAAGAGTAAGTAAAAATTATATATACTTAAGCTCTTATTATAATATTTAGCTTACCAATCCCTGATTGATGAAGTACTCGAAGAAATACACCAGGCAAAGGGGCAACATATACTTTAAGAGGTGTTTGATATAGAAGAACTTCTCCTTGAAACCAACCAACGGCTTCTCATCGGTGATCAGGACTTCCGTGGACTCAACTGTCGTAACTGGGAGAATATCAACCTGTGGGCGACGCAACAGGAGCCAGAAAGCGAAAGCCTCAATCGCAGGAAAGATCAGCATAATGAGCATAGTATCTCTGGGACTGAAATCTAAGGATCTTAAACTGGCATAGCTCAAGGAACCGATGACTCCGGCACCACCAGTTCCAGATGACCAAGTGGAAATCACATTCCTAAGGTTAAAGCACAGGAACTTAAAAGATATTCTTCAGAGTGATTTCCATAAAAAAAACTTACTTGTTGTATCGTGACGAATAGGCCAAGAAAGTGGTCTCTCCAATTCCACTGCTAGCTGAAGTGATGATTACTCCCAGAAGAGCCATCCATTCAGCATTGGCAAACCCAACCAGTAAGAATCCTGCTGCTGAAAATACTACTGCCAGAGCTATGCGAAAGCTTGATTATAGAAGAAATATATAAAATAATAAAATTATAATCTTATCTTTTTTGCGAGATATTTAAATTTAATGGATTCAGTTTTGACAAAATGTTAAAACATAAGCGATACTCACTTGACCCAAAAGGGAAAGAAGGGCATTAGGATCTTAACAAACAAGGAGGGCAACACATCTGCCAGCAAAATAGCTCCTGTGGACACCAAGTGACAGTTCCGACCCGACGAGCTTTCTTCAGATTCATCATTCTGTATAATAAAATTATTGAATATATTTATTAGATATATAAAGAAAGAATGAATAATAGTAACAATTATAATATACCCTCACCGGATTAAACTGCTTTATAATATCGTGGGCAGCACTCAGCATCACCACATATCCATAGTTGTTGCACAGACCCAGGATCCAATAGGACGTCAGATCCCGCCAAAGACCCCGATCCTTGGGAGTGCTGTGAGAGGCATCTCCTGGGGTGACCACCACTTGGGGATCGTGTTCGGCCTCGGCCTCTTGTTGCTTGCTTGCCGTCATATTGACCCGGCTATTTAAAAAAAATAATAATAATAATATAAAATAATTCTAAGAAATTTTCCGTGTTTTTAAAAAAATTTTCAGTATTTTGCTTGCCAAAGAAACTGGCACTTTTTTAGTTATGAAATCTCAAGAAATCTCAATCTGCCCTTTAAGACGTTCTTCAAGCGACTAAACCTTCATAAAACCACTTAACTGAAGAAACCTTAAGAAGTACCAATTATAATGTATTAACTATCCGAAAAAATCTTCTTTTCTTTATTAATTTATCACATCAGTTTATACTGCTCTCATACTCCAGATTCTCTTTAGATGGCAAAGCAAAATTTCTTGAAACTCTTAAAAAAGAAAATTATATTCGCTCTCTGCAAGCATTGCACTCTTAAGTTTGTGTTTATTTGTTGAGAACTAGTATTTGCTCGAGTTGAATTTAACTAAATTGTTTAATTTGTTAAGCTGAGCATGTGCGTTGGTGGTCTTGAACTTGACAAAATATGGTCATCAGGGGAAGTCGCTTAAATAAATACTCTGGAAAATACGTGCAATAAATGATAAAAAATGTACAAATTGTATTGAAGGTAGCAAAAGACAGCTGTTTAGTTCAGACTCAGGGTTTGACAGGTTAAAAGCCTCGTTATTTATATAGTTAAGTGCCTTGCGGCATATTTTCACAGCACGTATATTTTTCTATTCATTTATTTGAATTTGTAACTAAGTTAAGTAAGCAGTAATAGACAGCACAATTTTCTCATGCTAAACAAACTTTAACTATTTTATATGACTAGTTTTCAACAATGTAATTCAGATTGTTTGTTAGGTTTTAATTTCTTATCGTTCTACAGATCATTGAATTCAAGTAAAGGGGAAACTGAACTGTCTGGCACTTTCCCGGATATATATAAACTGTTTTTTGGCAATGATCTGGGCAGTGCAAAGTGCAGATTATTCGATTTGTTTACATCCGACAGAACTTGTGACTGATGATAGAATAAAGAGGAAATAGGGACGAGCAGTTAGGGTAAATAGGAACCAAGCCGGAAAATGGCCAATACATATTTAGACCATCGACATTTCAAAGAACTTTTTTATACTAACGACGCTCTCACTGACAGGTCTAATTATCCAGATAATTTCAGGTGACCTTGCAATGAGCTAGGAACAAATCGAATAAAAAAATCAACAATTAGCATCGATTACTGTTAGCCAACTAGCAAATAATTAAAACAAATTAACTGCAAACTCAATTAGCTTGTGTAGAATTGTATGAAGTTCAGACTTCTTAGCCTTCTTGCATTTTGTTAGCAACTGACTCATCCATAAGATTCACTTGATCCATTTGCGCAGTTACAAAGTTGTTGACCCACTTCGAAATGGGGAAATATCCAATTACTTTTGCTTGATATCCAAATAATTCGATACCCGACCGAAATGCATTTCGAAATATAGTTGGTAAATTGAGAACTATAGACGAACTTTTGCTTGTCTTGCCTTGGACTTCAAAAGTATAGCACAGCAAAAATTTGTGTCAATTATAGAACTAGGGTTTAAAAACAAGTCTTCAAATAGGTTCGAAGTTTTTGAGTCTCAAGTATTGGTTATTATTCGTTCTTTTAAGAAGTTTAAGTTTGTATAGAAGACAGAAGATTTTTACTATCCTATTGTCGCTAAATAATCGAATTTTCTATTCACATGGATTTCAATTTGTTGATTTTTTGTACGGATGCCTTCCAAAATACTAATCAAACTTATTTTGTGTTAAATAAAGATAATAATTCTCAGGTTATATTTATAACTGGCATTAACACTTTAATATTTTTTTGTATATTTATTATGGAGTTTTAAATCACTTATAATTGCTTTCAAGAGAATTTTCTGTTTTTTTTTCATCACTAAGCAGTCAAGTCTTACATTCCTAGCACTATTTTCCGGTTTGTTGGTTCTAAAGGTTCCGAGAGGCAACGACGACGATTCGCGCTGCAAGGCGTTCAATGAGTGACTGAACCCTCCCAACTGAGTCCCAACTAAACGAGAACCAATAACAATCGGCGACAGCAATGAAGCCAAGTGACTGGGACCTCAAGTCCCAAAGAACTTGCTCACGCGAGATGCCAGCGGCAGGAGATGCAACAAGTACCAAAGTGCCGATCAGGCAGGTTGATGTACCTAGATCGGTAGCAAGTAGCACACATTGCACATTACATATTTTCTGGTATTTCTCATCACTATGCAGTAAAGTCCTACATTCCTACCACTATTTTCCGGTTTTTTCGTTCTAAAGGTTTCGAGAGGCAATAAATACGGCAACGACGACGATTCGCGCTTCGAGGCGTTCAATGAGTGACTGAACCCTCCCAACTGAGTCCCAACTGAATGAGAACCAGCAACAATCGGCGACAACAATAAAGCCCAAAGACTGGGACCCAAAGTGTGAGGTATCACGCGAGTTGCCAGCGGCAGCATAAAAAAACTAAAACAATTGCAGATGCAACAAGTGCCAAAGTGCCGATCAGGCAGGTTGATGTACGTAGATCGGTAACAGGTAGCACACATTGCACATTACACATATAATTTAATTGAATTCAATTCAATTCAGTTCGATTCGATTGAGGAAAGCGGGGGAGTTGAGGTCGGTCAGCGAACGTCACGTTTTTCAGGTTGGCAAGTGCCTTCACTTTGGGTTTATACGCTCATCAAGAGTGAGGTGATTACGATAAGATGTTTGAATTCCTCGAAGGTAAGAGTCTGTGAACCTTGTGATTATTTATGGTGGGAAATGCTTAGTCGACCGTAGCAATCGTGGATCCCGAACAATCTGATAAGCGAAATCGTATCGATTAGATTAAGAAGATATTGTGTCATCAGATATAGTTCTTGAAGATATTCACTATTCTTAAAGGCATGTGCTAGCTCTTGATTTCAGGTTTTTAATCACAGTTTTCTTCAAGTGTTTGGCAAATTTTAAGAGTATTTTAAACTTCGTCTTAAGTCTTTTGGCTAGTTGTTAATGAAAAGTTAACGCTCGTTTTAATTGCATTTTGTTTAAAGTTAGGCAGCTTGAATGCGAATAGCAAATTCTGATCGCGTATTAGCTTTGCTTTGCTAAATATGATATAAGCACTAATCGGTTTTCGGTTTAAGTTTATTGATTTACTACCGAAGCACGTGGCGTATGCGTAATCTCCAACTAAGAAAAACCAACTGTTTTTTGGCTAAATTACCTTGAAAGAATTTAACTCATTAAGAAATGCCAAACACCGTATTGCAAGCTTTTTCTTTTAACAAATTCAGAATTAAAAATCTGAGTTTATTTAACCCAATGCAAAACGGTTTAATTACGCAAGCGGGATTTACTCGAATAACTGGAAATTCAGGCTAGTATTAGAATAATGTTATTTCTGAAGGAACACTGAGCGTTTTGCGAGACAATTTCTATGTTAAGAAGACAATAAATCCGTGATAAAGTGCAAAAAGCATTTTACTCCGAGTGAATAATAAACAATATCAGCCGTACGTACACTTCTGTATTATTTCCGGCTGCCAATCAAACCGTCCGAGCAATGAAAACGTACTGAGGATTTGTCGACTACGGGCCCAGAATACGGCCGGACAAGCTGCAATCGACATTATCATTATCGTTAAGTGGGCAACAGATTAAATTACAGATAAGATATTCGCAGCATTGGACCATATAAATCTTAAGATATCACTCGGCAATGGCATTCGTATATGACAGGCTTTGAGGAACAGAAAGGGTAATCAAACTGATGATGGCCATAAACTTTCTCACTCTTTGTTTTTATCGTGCCCCGTACACTTAAAACTAATCACCGAACTAGCTAAGAGTTTGCCAATAATGTATTTTTTATTCTCTCCCTTCCCTCCTCCACAAAATCTCCAATCTGTGGCGATTCCAACGTTTAAATTAAATCCGTTTCGCGCTTATTTAGCACGTACGAAAACCGCCAAAACCAATTTCACACCGCAGCCGCAAAGCAGGCAACACTTTTTACTTTGCCTCTGGGTTATACATTGCATTTTGAAAATAAAACATGTTGTTGACAAATTGCAAAATAAAGTGGTTGAGGCTGTGCCGGTTAAAAAGGAAAACCCTTGTTCACTGTTGTAAATAATTCACAATTGCCTGTCAATTTCGAGTCATTCTAAACTTGTCCTCCCTTCGAAGCGAAAGTGTCCTTATGGTGCAAAAAAGAAAAAACTATGGAAAAAAAAGCGATGGCCTGTTGACAGCAAGATTGAGTTGACAAATTGTTAAGGCAATTTATTACAGTAATATGTAGGGAATTTGAGAATGGCAGTGAGTGCTGTTTGGCAAACATTTGTGTCAGTTGCTGTTTTGCAGTCGACAGGGAGTCATTTGTTAAGGAAGTTCTCTGAAAACTATTCTTAGTACTTAAACAAAATATAAGCTTAAGCTCTTTAAAGACTTGTAAATCTACTATTAAAAACTATATAAGAGATTTATTGGGCACTTATGCAATTATATATCGAAAATACTTTCCATCCAAGCATTGCCAAATAGCAATTGCCATTATTTAATAGTTTTCCCAACCCCTAACCCCATACACCGACTATTATTTATTGTACAATCAATTTTGATAAAGCTTTGACACATCTCTTACGAGTATATTATTTGCCGCCTCTGGCGAAAATCATTAAAATAACATAAATCATTATGGGGCGAAATGCGATTGCTGTGGTGGGAAAACTAGTACTGATTTTGGTTGAAAAAATACGAAAATGGGAAAATCAAAACGAAAACCCAACTGTTAACTGTTTCTATTAGGCCGTATTAGACCCAGTTTGTGTTATCTACCATTCACACGTGCCATCAGGGGACAAAGTTTTCAATTCGAATGTAGCTGGGCATAAAAATGCTAATAAAATGGCCTGAAGAGAATGAATAAAATCATTGCCAAAAGTAAAAATGGAGTATAAAAAGTAACCGCCAAACACGAAAAGTTTTTAATGCAAATACGAAAATCGCATGGAAACATGGCCACCACGTCCTTTGGAATCCCTCTATCCATCCCTCCGCTTAACGAGGCGTGCTGCAATTTTCCGGCGCAAAAACAGGAAGTGAGGAAAAGCGTTCGCCCCTGCATAATTTTGCGATGCGAAAAGTTAACGTAAAGTGTTTTATTTTCTCCTGGGTGCAAATTGTATATATAGTTTTTACAGCAGCTTTTAAAGGGATTTTAAAGTACTACGTGCGAAAGGAGATGACGGGACGGGTGAAAAAGCGTTTCCAGGCCAGTTCGATCAGAAGTATGATCACGACCAGGATATCTGCGCAGATCAACATTAGTAGCAGAGGAGCCACATATTCCATTCCCACAGTGATCACAAAATTCTGGGCCACGCAATGTAGTTTCATGTGCACCCAATAACTGCGTTGCTTCCGATAGACGCCAGTTTCCAGGACTCTCAGGAGGCTGAAATATAAAATTAGTTCAAAGGTATTATTACTAAACGTACTTAGTAATCATCTAAATATATATTTAAAAAAGAAATGGCCAACAAATTGAAATTGTTATTGTTTTTTTGGCAGATTGAGTTTCGAATATTTCCATAGAGGAATACCCCACTCACCGAAGTCTGAAGAGCTCTTTGTACGTAGAATTGCGATGCAAATGCGTATAGAACAATTGCTCGGGTCGGAATAAAACCTCATTCAAATCGCAAATCTGTTGGGCCGTAAAGTATCGCTCCACATAGGCATAGCCGGATGAGGTCTCAAAAACGTAGACATAACCAGGATTGTCCCTCACTCTCAATACACCTTGTTCAGCGGGCAACCAAAGCTCAGGATTCTTGGTCTGAGTTTCGATTTTTCGTTTTATAAACAAATGGATCTCCGGAAGTCTTGAGTACTGCAATTGAGAGTATGTAAAAAACCATAAGAATTAAAAAGAACACTAAACCAACATTTAGATAGCTTTTGGTGAAGGGCAATGGTTCCAAGCCCACTGTCAATGAACTCTCTGCCAGCTGCTGCATTGTCTTGATCTTAGACTTAACAGGAGAGCTAAGTAGTGAAGAGACCACCACCGAGGTGTAGTAGTTATACATGATGAAGCTGATCAGGAACAGGGCAAAGTATATTAGTCTTCCCCCGGCTGAGCGTGGAATCAAGGACGAACTCTGGATGCAAGCAGCTCCAAAACTTATCAGGAATGTGCTAAGCAGCGATGGCAGGTAATCCAATCGCCAGCGCTTTCGCATCCGCTTGCATTCCATATAAAAAGTTATCCAAAGGAGGATACCGATCAATGAAAGTACTCCCCCGAAGAGATACCAAACCAATGGACTGAATGGCTGCAGAAATACATCACCCCTTAATCCCGCGTTGTGGGGAGTCCGGAAAATACAAACCGACCTGAAGAAGCCTGTCTCTATGATGGCCGACAAATACTTGAGCCTGCCTTCGGTGGCCAAGGAAGGCGTGGCTGTGATATCTGCAGTCTGATCCACCACAGCACCCACTGAGCCACCCACCACATCCGACTTGCTCCAGCTATCCGAAAAGATAAACTTCATCCTGCGAAACAGAGGAAACATATAATTTGGAAGAGAATCGAACTCGTAAGATGAAAAACTGACTTGCAGTGTAGCAGATCTCTTAGAATTAAGGTGAGGTGAAATCCAAATCTGGCCAGTGAGTCAATGTGGGTGTCATTTTCCTGGCTCAAGAACCGTATCAGCTCATCATCCGACCATGTGAGCGGACGTTGGGTAACCACAGTTGCCACTAAAACATAGTTCAAACTAATAAGCTCAAAGAATTAAGATTCAGTCTTACCCCTCAGGACAACATCAGTGAGCTGTTCTCTATTTCCGTATTTAGAACGCTTTTGCAAGGAGCTCAGATACCTTGTCCTACGGCATTTATTTGGGTCACAAACCATTTCATGGGAAGCAGTTACGTTAAGCTGGCCACCAATGATTTTTCCATTATTATAGACATCATATACAGAGTAGCTAACCGAAGAGTTGTTTTCCTGGATTTCCTCCTTTACATAACTGACATCCGCATCAATGGATATATTAAAAAGAGCAAATAAATCATAAAAATGAAGATCAGACTGATTGCCATGCAAGAGCCAATGGTAATGCTGATTATAGATCTGTTCTCGACTGGCCTAATGAGAAATCTAATTAAATACATAATTTATTTAATAAGTGGTAACGTACCTCCTCCAATAACTCCTGAGCCTGATCACACTCTATATCCACATACACCGCTAAAGTGGGTTGCAAGTGACCCATGTAAGTGAGCTCTAACTGTGACCAATTCTGGACTCCCTTCATTTGAACAAACTGGTGATAGACAAGAATGGGATGAATGGGATTGTTGAACTGCTGAGCGAATCGAAAACCTGAAAAGAAATAAGAGTTAAGAATGATCTGACTTGGATAGATATTGCCCTGCCCACTTTCATCTCTCTGCCAGCAGTGAAAGAAAACAATAAATCCAATCCGTGACTGCACGAGATTGTCCAGGACAAAGTTGGCCAACTGCACCAGCTGCATTGTTGACTTATTCACTTTGATTTTTCAGGCCGCAAAAATCATTTTATAGGGCCAGCAAGCCAGGAAGCCCTTCCAATTTGGCTGTCATCAATGTGCGTTGTTTGTTTTTAAATTGCCCGAAATTGCTTGACAATTTGCCAATAACCTTGGCCTGGGCTGCTCACCTTAATGAAGAGTGGAATGGCGGTACCAGATGACCTCCAATCCCAACACACCTACACACAGAATGATCGCACTCAGCAGGAGGATGAACAACGGAGCAGCGTACTCCAGACCCACGGCCACCGTGTGATTGTGCTGATAGCAATGGAGCTTGGTCTGCATCCAATACCGCTCGTGCTTGAAATGAATTCCGGTCTCCAGCATACGCAGCTCACTTAAATAATAATATTTCTCATTTTAAATAACTTTTTAAGTGAGAAAGCTATTAACAATATTATAATTTTTCCAAGCAACATATAATATTAAAATTATACTTTTTACCCACTTCAGTTTAAATAGCTCCGCGTAGGGCGACTTCTTGGCCACAACGGTATGAGTATGGGAGGCATCGCGCAATGGAATCTCGTTGAGCTCGCAGATCTGATGAGGCAGGAAGTGCTTCCTCACGAACTCGTAGCCGGTTGCCACACCAGTGATATAGACAAAGCCCTCCTGGTCCCTCACCGCCAAGACACCTGCTTCGGTGGGCATCCAAATTCGATCAGGTGATCGTTTGCTGCCAAGAACCTTGTTTCTGTAAAGACTTTGGACGTCTGGCTCCTTAGAGGTCTCCACATAGATGCGGGTATAAACCGTTGGTTCTATGCCGACCTCCAGACTGCTGTCCGCTAGTTGTTGCAGTGTGCGGATGTTTGACTTAATCGGCTGACCCAACAACTTAGACACCACAATGGATGTATAGTAGTTGTACATCAGAAAGGACGTCACCATCAGGGCAAAGAAGGCCATCCTCCCACCCATTGATCTGGGTGTCAGCCAAGCACCCTGGATACAACCAGCTCCGAAAGAAAGTAGGCAGCTGGATAGTAATGAAGGTTTCCATTCCGTGCGACGCTCTAAAATAAAGGTGATCCAAAGTAGACAACCTGCCAGGATAAGTAAAAGTGCGAATGTAAGCCAAACTCCGCCGCTGAAGGGCTGTAAGAACTCAGTGGCACTTAGACCAGCGGATAGGGATCGCGGGTTACGGAACATGCAGATATCCCGGAAAACACTGAACTTTGTTATAGGTTGCAGAAATAGGCCACGATCGAACGAATAGATGAAAGGTGCTATCGCCAAATCAGCTCCATCCAGGATAAGGTCTGCGATCATTCCGCCCGTGGCATTGCCATCCGACCAACGATCCCTAAATATGTACTCAAAACTAAGATTTCAGTTAATATACAATTTTGGATTCCTATCTATTAAACTCACTCGCAGTCTAACATATCTCGCAGGGGCTGTCGTGCATGGTAACCCAATCTGCCGTAAGTGTCAAGGTAAGTTCGATCCATGGCCTCCATAAAATCAAATATCTTCTCCTTGGAGATATTCAGGGGTAAAGCGGTGACCTGTTTGGAAATATTTATGAATATAAGTGATAATCATCATAGAAAGGTACATACTACAGCAGTGGCTCTTATGGTTAATCCAGTAAATGACTTTCTATGTTGCAGAGGATTCCTGGTATGAAGGTCACTGAGATATCGTTCAACCCGGCACCCGCTTTTATTACAAATTATTTCTCGATCAGCTGTTATATTTAATTCTCCTCCAAGTTGTCTGCCCTTGTTGTAAAGATCGAAGAGTAAGAAGTTGTCCGTGATGGGGTCCTTCTTGACATAAGTTACATCAGCATCAACGAAAATCTGAGCCTCCTTAAAATGCGTTTCTACTTGGGAGAAACTCGTCGACCTATCGTAGATGAGCCAGTGATAGCGATGACCAAGAAATCTCTTAGCACTGGCCTGTAATTTTTAATTTCCCAAAAAAATCTAGTAAGTAATAAATCTAAGTTACTTACCCTATCCAAAACTACACCGCTTTGATTGCAATTTAAGTCCAAGAAAACGCCCAACTTAAGCATGTTGTGATGAAGAAACTCTTCGTTTAGTCGAAGTTTCGAGTCTAGTGACTGGAATTGGGTAAAAACATTTCTAGATTGTGCCATCATTGCTAAGCGTGCAAGTGCTGGAACAAGAAGATTAAATCGGATATCGAAGAATTACCAAAGGTCACACTCACAGTCCGTTGACCAGCAGTGCAAAATGAAGACATGACTCAATTTAGCCATGTGAAGAAAGTTGTATAAAATAAAATTGTACAATTCCAACATGGCAAAAAGAATAACAAAGAACTTGGCTATTAATGATACTGATTATGGGCCAACAGGGGTATTTATACGGCAGACATAATGTCATTGTTAGTCACATAATCAATATTAAGTAAGACATTCCCTGAATGAACTTGACTTGACAACTTAATGGGTATGCGAAAAAAAATTATCGACAGGTCTGTCAAGTCAAGTTAAAATGATAAGAAAATAAGGCCCATTTAAAGGCAATTTTAGAAGGGGGAACCTGTTGTCACTCACCAGGATTACCTAAAGTTTCCCTTTAGTGATTCTGAGGGAAAACGGTCGTCAATTTCTTCCTGGCATATCTCGCCCAACAGATTTCTAAGCTTAGGATCAGCAAGGCCAGGAAATAGGACACTAGGAGGGATATAAACAAAGGAGCAGCATATTCCATGCCCACCTGGATTAGGAAACTATTAGAGAACGTGTGCAACTTAGTCTTGCTGAAGAAACGACTATGTTTTGCTATGATCCCGGTTTCCAGCATTCGCACCTGCAGTTGGGTAAGCAGTTGGCGATAGGTGGAGTTCAGGTGAACCATTCCGTAGACAGCGCTCTCGGGTCGCAGCATAATCTCGTTTAGATCGGAGATCTCACGCGGCAGGTAGTGCTTCTCCACAAAGTGATACATAAACGAGGCCTCCGATGTGTACACGAATCCCGGCTGATCCCGCACCCGGATCACTCCCTCTTCCGGAGAAAGCCAGACACTGTTGGGATCCCGCTTGCTCTCCACCTTTTGTTTGTAAAGGCTGCGAATGTCAGGGCGAGGCGAAGACTGTGAAGTTTAAGATTATTAACAAATTTTAGAGATTATTTTAAGCATATTATGGGAGCTGTAACTCTATCTATCTGGATCAGCGTACATTTTTAATGAAACCTTCTTGGAATCCTTTTAATAAGATTAATAAAAACGAAAATCACTCACCACCAGATACGTCTTGGTAAATGGCACTGTATCGAAACCCACGTCCAAGGAACTGTCAGCCAACTGCTGAATGGTCCTGATGTTGGATCTCACTGGAGATCCGAGCAGAGTGGACACCACAATGGAGGTATAGTAGTTGTACATGAGGAACGAGGTCAGCATCACGGCAATAAAGGCCAATCGTCCACCAGCTGACCTGGGCATCAAATAGGAACCCTGGATACAGGCTGCTCCAAAACTGATCAGGCAACTGCTGAGTAAGGATGGCATGAAATCCAGACAACGTTGCATCCAATGTCGCTCCAAGTGAAAGATCATCCAGAGCATAAATCCGGCAAAGATCAGAAGTCCAGCGAAGGCAAACCAAACACTCGGCATGAAGGGCTCCAAAAACACGGCTGCTTTTATTCCGGCATTGTGCGGGGTACGGAACATGCAGACCGCTCGGAATTGGGCCTGTTCCGTCATGGGATGTACGTAATGAAGGCGATTCCAGGAGGGCACAAACGGAGTAGTACATAGCTCAGCGGATTCATTAGTCAACATGCCAATAGCTCCGCCAAAGGCATCCTGAACGCTCCAAGTTCCACACCAAATGTAGTGTAGTCTTGAGTGTTATACATATAGTAATATAGAAAGGAATCAAGCTTTAACCATGCCACAAATACTTGCAGTTAAAGGAGCAAATATATTATGTAATTATAAGGTTTTTTGTTTTGGCAAAACTTGAACTCACTTAAAGCCAAGAATTTCCTGAGTGTGCAAGATAAGGCGATTGCCAATGCGAGAAATCGAGTCCATGTGGAAGTCCCTGTCGCTGTTAAGGAATTCAAGAAGGTCCTCCTCACTAGAATTAATGGGTATAACAGAGACCTGTAAGGAATATATCAATGATGCTTTTATGTTTTTATTTCCCTTTTTAGCTAACCGACCAAAGCCGCCAAGCGAAAGGTAACGCTCGATAAATCCATGCGGTGTTGCAGTCTGGGTCGCAAATGCAAATCAGTGAGATAATCCTTAACCTGACAGTGACTTCGATTGCACTGCAGGCTCTGGTCTATGGTGATATTGAGCTGGCCCCCCAAGTGACTTCCTTTATTGTAGACATCGTGCAGGATGAAGACCTCTTCCTCCTGGCGACTGACATAGGTCACGTCCGCATTCACACTAAGATTGGCTCCCTCAAATAGCTGGCTTAGCTTAGTGAAGTTGCCTGCTTCGTCGTAAAGCAGCCAATGCAAATTTTGATTATAAAGTCGGGCTCGACTAGACTGCATACAAAGAACAAATTAAATAATTATTATCTACTAAGATTTATATATTAAAAAACTTTAAATTGAAATCTTTAATGTGGATATTCTAACGTCTACTAAGTGTAATGTTAGTAAACGCTCACCTGATTAGTTACGAGTTCGGCTTGCTCACAACCCATGTCCAAAAAGACACCCAATCTAACCAATTCACTATCCAAGTAGTCCTTGTGGATGTTGGCCAAGCTTTCAGAGTCCTGTTGCAGGTCAATGTATTGCGAATAAATGCCGTTCTCGTTCAGCATCTTAGCCAAAGGAAAGGCCTCTAAAATATAGATTTAGATTAGAGACGATTGGGAATAATTAAATATTCATATCAAAATCATATCCAATCTTACCCTTTATCGACCAGCAGTGAAATACCATTAGACTCCTCAACTTGACTTCCAGCAGATTGAAGACAATCAACCGAAACAAAGGCAAACTGGACATCTTGCCTGTTTTTTCCTTGATTTTGACCAGAGGGTCGCCTCTTTTATAGCCTAAAATCAAAGACGTGAAACGAGGCCAATTAAGTCATTATGGACAATTTTTGGGGACAGTTGTCAAATTTCGAATTTAGATAGACAAGTCAGTCAAATTTTGGCAACCATTTTAGGCAAAGCAAACACTCTGCTCGCTGAGCATGAAGCAACAAGTGGGTTGGCCAAGGCGCCTGCGCAGGATTCGGTAGCGTAAACAAAAGTACAGGAGGGATTTATGAATGAATGGCTGGCGGTGGGTGGATGTGGGTGTGGATGTTAATGGATTCCTCAGCCGGGTTGATTGTGGGTGGGATTGTGGGTCAGGAGGGCAGCGCCGCAGGCTTTAGTGATTTTGCGCCTTTTGCATGGTACCTCCTCCCTCGCTATGTGTCCCCCCTTCAAATCCTGCCACCCAGCGAATGCTGCACAATTCAATCTTCTGGCCTGGTCTCAATATCATTTCGACTCAGTCTGCGTTGCGCGCTTGGCGCGTTTTGACGTTTCTCCGAATCTCCGCATCTTTCACTGGAAATTTGCTCGGTCCCCGTTTTCAGTTCAGTTCGATTCGGTTTGGTTTGGTTTTTGCCTTGGTTAGTTAGTTGGTTTGTTTATTTTCGCCACTCGTTGTCGCCGTTATTGTCGCTTGGCTCTGGAGATTTGTGTGTATTTTTGGTATGATTAGTACGCAGCCACGAAGGCTGAAAAAACACAGCTGGATATGAGTGTTACGGAAAGAAAGTGTTTCAGTTTTGAATGTGAAAAGTGGCTATAAATTCTAAAATAATATGAAAGAGTGCATCAGAAATAAATGCATAAAAATAGTTTGTAAATAAAAAAAATATGTAAATTGTAATCAGATATATCTGTGACTAAGCAATTAAAGTCCGAAGAGCAATTTAATTTAGTTTTCTTACTTTTTTCTGAATTAATCTATCTCTCTAAAAAAACACATTTTAATTTAAGAAACCGTTTGGAATGATAATAGTTATGTAATTTCTTGTAAAAGTCCACAAGCTTGGCAATACAACTTATTCAAAAATCCAACACGTCGTATGCTTAATTTTTAAATAACTATTGCTTCTTTATTTATTCTTGATTAGTGATTTAAAACTAAAACTTAATAAAACATCTTAAACATTTAACTAGAAATAGGTGTGACATAAGTACAGAATTACGATTTTAGAATAAAATCTGGGACTCAGAAATAAATAGAATTATTTTTATATCACACTCTTTATAAATCATTAAAGACAAGTTTGCTGAACTGTTTTTCCAGTATCATTTAAGCTGTATAGTTAATAGCCAACTCTGGGTAAGCCCACATAACTTTAAATTGAGCAAACACAAATCCGTTTGATTTTGTAACCAACTTAAGGAACATCCTCTAATTGAACTGTCACAAAGTAATTGCAAAACCCTCTCACACCTCCACTTGGTACTCTGTGTTCCCACAATTGAGTGCCAATTAAACTGTCTAAATCAACCTAATTAACAAGGCCTTTATACATAATTAAAAACGAAATATTTAAAAAGTGATAATGGTAATTAAACATCAAAATCAGTACATTCCATTACGCAGACTAATTGAGCATTGAGATAAATATATATTTACAATCAAAAATAAATATAAAAACTAAATGCAGAAAGAAAAAAAGGAAAACCAAATGAACATATTAAGAATCAATTGAAATGTGGTCATCCGCACTGGGCCAACAAATGAAAAATTCACAATAAACCACAAATATGACATTTTCGTTTCCATCGAAACTAAAACAACATCGATATGAACTTGGACTGCGAACAACATTCAGTGGCGGAGACTGCAGACATTGAGTGCAAATAAAATGCAATTATCGCTGATTTAAACGGCATTAGAGAATCATAAATTTTCCATGAGCACCACATGGCCGCAGGGACGAGGGCGGAAAATTTACTCCAACACCCGCAAATAATCCACCAGAGGATTTTGGTAAACCAGCAGAACCCAAACGAACTATTAACAAAAACTGGTTACTGGGGGAATTGATTGGGCGACGGCAACTGGATGGAAAATAAAAAAGAAAAGAATAGGAGAAACAATTTAAACAAATTGTTCTTAGATCGCTTGACCCAATTCCAAATGAAGTGTTTTTGTAATAAGTTTAGATAGTGAAGTAATTTTACAATAATTAAAACTCGAAAACCAAATGAATGCTTTAGGTTTTGAACGTATCGTTCTTTTTTTATGATAGATCTAATATTTTTATCAAGAAGTACTTTAGTATTTTATTGTGGAAAAAGTATGAACAAATTCTGCTTGTTTTAAATAATTTTTTTGATTAAGACATTTGATAAAATACTTTAAAAATAATCAGAAAATCAAAAATAATCAAAACAAAATATACAAAAAGTATTCTTAGAAAGAAAGCAAAAATAAAAAGTAATATTTTTTTAGATTTGATTTATTTAATTCTATAAATATTAAGTGAAATAACTTTAAAAGGTCAGAAATTAAAAAACTAGAACTTTTTTAAAGAAGTTTTCCCTTAGACATTTTCTTAAATTCCTTGAAATTTTACAACAACTTTTCCACCTAAAGAAATCTTGTTTTTCCCAGAGACCTTACCAGTACATAATTTGGTTCATTATCGCATAGTTTTAGGTTGCCATAGACAAGTTTCCTATGCCTTCTTTTTTCACTATGCTGCCTTTCAAAGGCTTTTATCTTTTTTGGCAGATTTTGCATTTTTTGTTGACGGCGCTTGAGGCTACGAAACATCTCTTAAATAGAAAAATGCAAAGCATAAAAAGAGGCAGCTGGGGCATCGCACTCTTGAGATTTACATTGTAAAGTGATCCCCATGCCTCGTCGTCTATATACAGAGTTTAGTACATAGGGCGGGCTTACACAAAAAACTGCATTTAAATTAATTGAATTTTGTTGATTTTTTTTCATTTTTAGTCGAAGGGGCTTGCTGTCCAAGGCCCACAGATCCACAGAGCTTCCCGTTCTGTCCTTCGGTTCTATTGCTCTTATTGAATTGGTTTGGGGATTTGTTGGCTGACCCACAAGTCAAGATTGTGGCGTGTCTGGTGAGGCAAGTGCCACAAGTTTACTTAAGCCTCGTCCGAATGCGTTTTGTGTGTCATTATTCCAAAGGGGAGCGGAGTGAAAGGCTCTTCCATTTCCATTTTTTGTATGCTCTCTCTCCTGCTGCATTTGTGTTCATTAAATTTGCAAGTAAGTTGAAATGTTTTTGTTTACTTCCACAACTGCCCTTGCCCAGGCCTGGCCAAATGGAATGCTCAAAAATTATAAATGAGTTTGAGTTCCCATTAGTGTCATAGTGTAAGAGAGACAATTTTGATAGTTTCCTTAAAAATATTACATAAATCGTCTAAATATACTGATTAGTAAATATATCTTTCATTTTTATGAAGGATATATTATTATTTTAATCATATTATATATATTGAAATCACAATAAATGAAGAATCTTCTTCAAAATAAATATTTTTATAAGTTCCATCAGGGAGAATATTTATGTTATAAGTAAAAACTAAATTCGACTTAAAAGAGATACACTGTATTACTACTGCAACTTGACTCGCATTTAAACCAACTTAAAAAATTAGCCTAGAATTAAAAAGTCTGTAAGAGGATATCAATAGATTAGAAATCGCCACATTAGCTAGAGTCTATGTCCTCCAAATTAGTTACTGAACAAGGGAACCCACTTAGCAGAGACAAGAGCAAACATCTGTGCATTATAATGCCCCGACAAGAGCGATTCAGCTGCATTTCACGCTTCCCTAATCCTCGCCAGCTCCCTTCGACAAACATTTCCGCCGAACGTGAGCCAGCTGGAGAGGAATATCCATATCAGACAGAGGGCCAAAAGCCAAGGGAAGCGGAGATCGTGAATTCCGGAGACTGAGAACTGGGAACTGGGCACGTGCTTGTCGCTCAACTGTAAAATAATTAGAGCAATTGCATTGGCCTAGGGCCATAAAGTTCGTGGTGGGGCAATCGCATCTCATGGCAGCCAGCAAACTGACCGCACAGGCGAAATTTTTGACTTTCATTTAATTAAAATGCGATTTTAATGCTACTTAGGTTAACTGGAAAACTTGCGGCATCATTCTCATTCCAATTTCACACGCAAGGCCACAAAGCCGTGAACTAAGCTGCCCCAGCCACATATATTATTCCGCATGCATCCGTGGGTTGTGGCCAAATTGAAACGCTCATCTCATTTGCAGGCGAGCAAATAATGAAGCCAACAGACTGCTCCCGTCGCCTTCCCATATAAACCACCTGCTGCTGGCGCTTCCGATGAGCCACAAAATATTGTGGAACGACCCATAATGCACCCATAGATAGGCACCAGATGCCAGGCACATCAAAATAAGGAACTCTCTTTGTAGTTTGAGGGGAAAATCCGGCTTGACTGTTACCCTGTTCGTTTCCTTGCTGCAAATGGATCTCTTGAATTCGTGTTTGTTTGTGATTAATATATCAAAGCCTTATAATTATTAGCAATTCAACTGTGCATTTAAAAGTAGTCTGGCTGGGGATAACCCTTCACTTTCAATTCAAAATCGCTTAAAATATCTTTTATTAATCGAATTAATATAAGTTATAAGTTACACTTCAGATAAATAATGCTTTAACTGTTTTGGAGGACAAAAAACAGTCAAAGTTCTTTAATTCCATTTACATTAATTTGAAAAAATTGATACGCTTTTAAAAATCGTAAAATAAAATAAAATAAAATCGTAAACTAAAGTCTAAACAAATCCGATTGGCAACTGTGATCCTCCTCTCGGATACCCTCCTTTCTAACTGAACGCCTTCTAACAATGCATTTCCACCCAAAAAAAAAGGAAAATATGTGGCAAAACGTTCCTCAGCCTGGCAAAGGGTACAAAAAGAGGGTTGAGGTTGAGGGAAACAGAACCGTCAGCAGCCTTCAAAAATTGAGTGCAATTTCGACGCTGATGAGAAAATGCGTTGAACGTGCTCAAGTTGCTCTATGGCAGACCGAGGAAAATTGTTAGCAAGGCGAAAGTGGGTATTCCTAGATTTAACTTTAACCCGTTCGCACCAGTTAACAAAAGGCGTGGAAAACGGAGGCGGCTAAGCTGGAAATTATAAACGAAAAGGGACGCCCAGACATCATCGGTCGTTGTGTGTGTTTTCGGGGGAAGTCGGTTGATGTTTGTGCTTCTGACAGCAATTTGTTTGTTTGAAGCAACTTGGCCATCAAGAAACATAAAGTGAAGTGTAATTAACGGCCAAATAAAGACCAGTATGTAGCTCTGATTTCATGCCAAACGAAAAAGAAAGAATCTTTGGGACTGCTCATTAATTTGGGAAGAAGGGTTGCGGTAAAATGGTGATCATGTTTCGAAGAAAATTTAAACGAAAGCTGCTAAATATAATAACAATTACTTTCTTGAAGCTTACAAAATATTTCAACTAAAAAGTATTTGTTCTTTGAAAAATTCTTGAAAATTGATCACAAATAAAGCCTTTGTCTTATTCAAGTGTCTTGGAAAATGTTAGGTCATTCTCTTCCCCAATCTGATGACTTTCCTTTGTGACAAATCAACTAAAAATAATGTGAATTTCCTTCAGGCTAGGCCATAATTAGCCAACACAAGCGCCTAATCAAGTGGCAAGTAGCATTGACGTCGAGGCTAAATATGCAGCAGATGCTGGCTGATATATTAGACGGCCGACTTGAAGGCAATATCCAAGTGGCCGAGCGAGCACTCCAAAGTATTGAAAATAGTTATCGCAACCTGGGGCGGATGTGCGGATGTGGGCGAAGGTAGCCACACTGGTCGGATGTCGGCATTGGCCAATGGCCATGCATAAAATTAGGTTAGTGGGTGAGACATAATTAAGTTATAGGGTCGCATTGTTTTTCCCACTTTCTTTTCCCTTTTTTTTTTGCATTATTAAATGAGATGTTGTCTTGGTGCCTCGAGGACATCGGGCATGGGTAACCATCGTCGTTGGCATTATTCACTCGCCGCCTTTGACATTTCCGGTTGATTTTTCATTAACGAATCGCCTTGCTGACGAGCTGGTATTACGGCAGCGGCATCGGATCCTAAATCCCCGACATAGTTGATCTTAATTACTTGCCATCCGTTAAGCCAAAGTTCAGCCAAGATTAATTTTGCATTATGCATACGTTGGAAATGTGAATGCGGCCGCAGGCATCAAGTTTACACTTCATTTTTTTTGCAAAGTGGACTCATTAATCTTCGACTTCTCCCAGAAGAACAATTTTTAAACTCAAGATTACGCATACGCAGTGTGATATTAATAAAATAAATTTATTAAGATTCTCCGGTAGGAACTTTCTCCTTGTCGAATTATACCCATTTCGCAAGGCGAACAATAAATCTGATTATGAATTGATTTATTAACACAGATTTAATAACACCACATTAATGGTTCCTCTTATCAAAGTTAAATTTTCGCATTTGCTCGCTTAGTTAAGAAGGGCAATTATTATACAAAGAAATTTTAGGTAAAAATAAAAAACAATATAAATTATCAAAAACTACAATTTAACAACTTTTAAGAAAAAGCTATCAAGCAATAAAGTTTCTATATTACGCATACGCAGTGGTCATAAACGAAGTAAAACTCGAATAGTAAATCAAAAATAATTAAATGGATATTTATAAATAAATAATAATGAATATGAAATAGATATTGATTGGACTTTTGATAAATGATACTAAAATGTTACGTGTTCCAGAAACTAAAAAGAGTGTCTAAACTAAAAACAGTAAAGTTACTGTCAACTGCCAAAATATTATTGATGTGCCCAGATTTAGCCCAAATAAATAAAAAAAAATCAACAAAACTAATTAGCAAATCGTTGAGTGCACAAAACTGTGAGTTTGGTCAAATTACCAACGACCCCTAATCTTAATAGTTGATAGCTGATAACTAAAAGCTGAAAAATGCCGCTGGCTAATTGGCCAATCAAAAACTGCCAACTGCAAGTCCAACAAGTTTCAGCAATTAAAAAATTCTAAGGAAACTCGTGGCAAAGGAGACGAGCAAGAGGACACGGGCCAAGACAAACGGAACTAATGCCAGCCTGAAAGGAATCTCAGAAATTAAGAAGAAAACGCTTCATGAAATTGCTCTCGACCCGAGTGCAACTTCCGGTGCATAAATGAAAATAAATACGAGCAGAGAAGACGACGACAAGTCAACATACAGTCCAGGAAAAAGGCACTGTCATCAGCAGCAGCAGCACCAGCAGTAGCAGGACCTGTAGAATGGGAATTTTAATAGCGATGGGATCGGGAATGGGTAAACAAATGGGCATGGCATTGGTAATGGGCATGGGCATGGCAATGGGAGCCAGGGGCCAGTTGGAGCGACAAAAGTTAGACAAACGGATGTGTAGATTAGACCGGCAACAACAGCAAAAGACTTGTACTAAACAATAGTTGCAGCCAGCGAACAAACAGCAAACAAAACCAAACAATATGTGCACAATGCCAGGAACAACAGATGCATCCGGCTCCGGCGATGCATCAACTGACCTCATCGCTTCAAGAAGCCACTCCTGCCACCAAGGACATCGCTTAAACTTGCGCATATTTAAACTTTTGATTAGCTGCTGGCTCTTAGTGCTCAGCATTTACCCGAATGCCTGCCACTTGTCCATCAGCCCCGGTTCAGGATCCATCTGGGTCTCGGCCGACAGCATCAAGGGACGCGGCGATGCCCATCGCCTGGACGAGATGGGCTCCCAATCCCATACCTCCTCGTCCTCATCCCTGCCGTCCTCGTGGCTCACCCAGAGCAATAACCATGCAAATATATCCGAGTTACTGGATAATCTGCTGCGAGGCTATGATAATAGCATACGCCCGGATTTCGGTGGTGAGTACTGTAATTAGGGGGAAAAGATTATTCTAGTTTCTTTAAGATATTGTTTTAAACTAGAAGGGTTGAGATTTTTCAGGGTTCAGATAACTGAGCAGTTCAACTAATCAATTTTTAGTGATTTTCTTGTCAAAATCCTTATTTAGGCAGCTATCTTACGATTTGTACTCCAATCTTAACTCCAATCGAATATAAATTATTGAATGTGGTGAAACATACCAAAATGGTCATTAAATTTTTATAATATTTAGTTCTCACAAGGGATAACTCATAACGATTTGAATCCTTCTAAATATTTATTATTATTATGATTTATGACTTGTGAAAACTTTAATGTCAATTTCATTAACATAAATCATTTCAATTTGATAATATATTGATATAGCTGTTAGATAAGTTCCTGCTTATAGGCCTTCTAAAGCAACCATGCCTCCGATGCTAAGGATTCTTTAGCTGAATAGAGTAGCAAATAACCCCCAAATAATTTTGTCTGCCTCGAATCTTACGTTGTTTACCCTTTCTCACTCTGGCCCCTTCCCGGGTGTAATCAGCATTGATTCGCAGATTTTCCGCTCAACGGAAGCATTTAATGAAGTGGAAATCGCTGCGAGGCGACACATCACATCACTCAGAAGCGGCACCAAGGTGTTGAAGCCTCCCTTGATGATTGCCTTCCAGCGCAGCTTATTTGGTAAATAGTTAGTGTCAAAACCGACAAATATTTACCTACAAACAAATACAAATTTTATTGCGTTTTGCAAGGCTTCAAGGGATTTCCTCCCTCGAGGACATCGCCCAAAATGGATGAGCAATTCGATTCGTTTTCAATCTTGCAAATGGCCGAAGCAATAAAAATTTAAATATTTTCCAAATTTAAAATGCCATCCACTCAATTCGAGAGCTTTTGGGAGAATGGATTTCGGTTAACGTGGCGAAAATTGTTTTCGCTCCTACAGCTTAAGACCAAATTACATTGTTTTTAACACTTCATTAAGAATGGGCCGTGGGACGCCCCTTTCCGCGATGCGCCCACGTCGTGTGTGGCGCCAGCTGGTGAGGATTCAAAGGATACGTGGGCAATGCACATCCGCATCCGCATCCACATCCTGCGAACGCGACGCATGTTTGCCGAGCGAGCTCAGCAGCAAAGTCATTAAAAACTGTTCGCATAGGCAAAATACAAAAAATTCCTGGGGGCTTCGCGAGGGAGGAGGCGAATCTAGGGCCTGAAAAATTGCATATTAGTGCAGAAAAGCTAGATAAAAATGGGTGTCGGTGGGGGGATGGTTCAGATTTTCCGAGGGTTTGGGACTGTCTGCGAAGCGGCTTAAGTGTCATTGTTCACACAGAGGAGCATTTAACATTTTCATTTAGGGCCTGCGACTCGCATATGAATATTCATAGTTGAACAAAACCGATACGGAGAGTGCGGGGATTATATTGTTGGATTGCGTGGCCTTCACTAGAGAGAAATCCCATTTTCCATAACTAAACTAGGCTTACCATGAATATGGAAATGGAAAGGAAGCTAAGGTAATATTTCAAAACTTTGTGGGTTACTTTTAGTGACAACAATTAAACTACTATATAAAAAATACTATACTATATTCCTCACAACGATTTGTAATAAATTTTAAAATGTTTCAGGACCGCCAGCCACTGTGGAAGTGGATATAATGGTTCGCAGCATGGGACCAATATCAGAGGTTGATATGGTATGTAAAGGACTCTTTAATTAAATATATTTATATCCTTAAAATTATATTTAAATTAATAAATATTTTTTAAACTTATTTTTAAATTCTATAAAAAATAAAATTATACTAATTTAAGAAGCTATTAGTATAAAATTATTTTTAATATTTAAATTAGTTGTGAAAATAGTAGTTTGTTTTTCACAGTATGTCCAATGAGTTGAGGCCACATATATATCGGATACCTTTAAATATGCTTTTAAGTTGCATAATTTCTATAAGGCTTAAAGTATTTTTTCAAAATAGCAACCTTGTTGATCTACTGACAGTCTTACATTTCCTGCTTCCCAATTCAATTTGCAATGACATCTCCTGCCTGACTTCTTCGACTTTTCCGCAATTCAGAGTCTGCACTTTTCTCCATTTTCAGACCTACTCGATGGACTGTTATTTTCGGCAATCCTGGGTGGATAAACGTCTCGCATTCGAGGGGGCCCAGGATACGCTGGCATTGAGCGTCTCGATGTTGGCCCGGATTTGGAAGCCGGATACGTATTTTTACAATGGCAAGCAGAGCTATTTGCACACGATTACCACGCCAAATAAGTTTGTGAGGATCTATCAGAATGGACGCGTGTTGTACTCGAGCCGGTTGACAATTAAAGCCGGCTGCCCAATGAATCTCGCCGATTTTCCCATGGATATACAAAAGTGTCCCCTGAAATTCGGTTCATGTGAGTACGAAAGAATTTCGAAAGAATGCCAAGTGGCATACGGAACTCAGCGCTGCAGTATAATTATGCATAATGGCTGCTCATTGCGCTTTGATGTGATTTGTTCTTCTCTCGTGTCGGCAAAATGTCCACTTGTTGGGTCCGAAGGACAACGAATCTGGGTTGAGGGATTATGCTGAATGCCATGACATTGGATAGGATGGTATGGGGATGGGATAGGATTGGATTCGACGTATCGTTGGCGACTAGAAATGTGAAGTGAGATGTGTTTTGAATTGAGAGGGGAAATAGAAAGAAAGAACGAAATGGCACAAGGGCCGGAAATATTCAAGTGGTTCCATGCGTCTGAATGCTGGAAGCGGATTAGATGAGGTAATGGTTTAATGGGATATCCAAAATGGTTGGAGAACTCTGAATAGAATTGGCAAGATAGAATTTTCTCAGTTTATAGTGAAGGGAACTTAAACCTAATGGACAAATTTTAATCATTTTAAAGTTCCGGTATTAGCATATCTTTGTAATTTATGGCAGAGTTCTGGTTCTGGTGCTTTAATGGCTTACTGATTTAGGAGCCTCCACCATTTAAATAATAAACGTTTTCTTGAAGAATCCTTGTTATATGGAGCGTGATGCTAGGTCACGTGGCCATAATTAAAGGAGTCTGTAATGAGTTGAAAGCGAGTCTACTGGCCAGTGTAGGGTCTAAGTAAGCGCGAGAGTTGGAACGGGGGAGTAACGAGTCATTAGGGAATACTCTTGCAACACAATGCACCTGGTGCAGCTTAAGTAGTTTGTATGCAAAAGTGTGGCGCTTTTGTCCGTGTTGACTCATATGAGCCTCTTTTGAGTCCATTGTTTAGGCGTATGTAAGTATTCTTGTAATTGGTCTGTAAATTCGTATATGCATTGCATTTAGCGCATGTCGCCAGCGTGCAAGTAGCCGCCTATTAAACTTGGTTGGGTCCGAGGTGAAAATAGAGTAAGGTAATGGCCCCAGGACGCATCCTTGAGTTGCGCCGGCATGTTTAGGGTGTTTAGTGAGAGCAGCTCACAGCTGTCCACAAGTACAGAAAATGTGCGGTCCGTCTAGATTTGTATGAAAGTCCTTCAAGCCAAGCTAGCGACACGCTTGTTCCATGTCCTTTTGTGAGTCCGAATCGGTGATGGGGGATATGTGCTTAAAAATTCATGATCAAGAGGTCCTGCTATAGAGGGGTGGTAGCTAGTTGGCAAATAGATAGGTTTCGTAAAATATTCTTAATGTTATTTATGGAATTTATTTATGACAGAATTCTCTGACCTCTCACGTTACACAACGATTTCTTCAAAAGAGTTTAAAAAATGAATTTAATTACGGAACTCGCAGAAGAAATAACCAAATTAATCATAAAGACAGTTTTAGTTGGCCGTCCTGCGAACCCGAACAACTACTCGTCTGCGGTTCCCTCCGGTCTCAGATCCTGACCCACGGCGGCTCCTTCCTCCATCCCGTCGGATAACCACGCGCCTGATAATGACACGACGGCGTCTGTGCTTCTTCTTTTTTTTGCCTTCACTGGTGGTGGTGGTGGTCGCAGAGGAATCCGTAGTGGTGGTGGTGGCAGCAGTGGTAGTGGTGGTGGTGGTGGCGTCAGTGGTTGTGGAAGTGGTGGACGAGGCGGAGACCTGATTGTGGTGCAGGATCATCACGGCCAGGACGACCAGAGATAGAGCCAGGAGGGAGCGCATTGTAGTAATGTTCTTTGCGGATCGGGAACTAATGTCAGTGAACCAATTTGGTGGATATTTATAGTGACATAGTCGGAGAAGAATTAGATTTTATGCAAACACAGATGTGTTCCCTGGGAATATTAGATGTTGTTTTTTCTGTTACAGTTACTTTGCGTATTCATGTCAACAAAGTTTGCTTTGTTCATTTTGTTTACACCTGTTAAGACGTAACTGGAATTTTTACTTTAAAGTAAACGCAAATAAACGCACCATAAATATGCGTAAATTATTTAAACAATCATGTTTCTTTGCTGAAAAGGGAAGAGAAATGTAAACAATGTCATAAAAGTAACCCAATACTTCACATACTTTAAATATCATTTCATGGCTGTGGGCAAATAAAACCAGAAATTGTCACGACATCTAATACTTATAACATTTTACTTCATTGGACATTTTTATTATTTAGATCCCATTGTGTACTGCAGAAGAAAGTTAAATATTAAGAAAATATTTTAAATTGCTCAGTATATGTTACTTGTGTCTGATAAAACCAAGAATCGGAGACTTTGGGCACTATCATCCCCATAATATCATCATAGTTGGGCGTGTACCATTAATATTATTATGTTACAACTTCCACTATGACCAGTGTTCCTCAATATATTCCTTAATTTTTAATAAGCAAAAACTTCCAATAAACGCTTTGTATCCAATGATAATAAAATTAATACCCAATAACACTTACTACACGGGAAAAAACTGAAAGAATCACACCAGAGCATTCGTCTTGTTTTCTATATTAGAAACAACACAATAGAATATAATTATAAAATATATTTAAAGTTTGTTTACATTTTCATACCCTTATCTTCCCCTTCAATATAAATTATTAAAGAAACAAGTGCAATTAAAATAATCTCACGATAGTAGATAAAGGTTCACTAGCATCAGGCTTATAAGCTGCAGATTGCAGATAAAGAGAAATAACCATACAAGCTATCACCACACAAAAAATTCCCATAGATTTTAAGGACGACTCAGGAGATAGATCGCAAATACATTCTCGGCACATCGTTTCAAGAAAATATATTTGAAAATGTTATCTTCTTCTTAACTTTAGTTAAGTAATTTTACATGGCGTTCTTTTTTTTAAATAACATAGCTATAAGTATTTTTAGAAACAAATTTTTAGTTAACAGTGCTTAGGAAACAATTTTTTTGAATGGCTTCGTTTTGTAGTATTTTCAACTTCTAACTTAGTTAACCTAAAATATTAAAATATCAATAGTCCTGCGGTAATCAGATTTGTGGTATCTGACCAGGTAGACATATTTCTAAAAACATTTTCTGAATATTGATAAAAATATTTTTTTTGGATACGTTAATATATTGATTTCTCTAATGACATAAAGAACTTTACCAGCTGATTTTATTCACACTAAGACTAAGTAATTGGGACATTAAGGGACTGTTACGAACGCTTGGCGAATGTTACCCTTTTTAAATGGTGTTAAAGTAAAACCCTTTCAAGAAAACAAAAATTCTAAAATTTCTTTTTTTGTTTTCATCAAGATACTATATAAAAACATTAAAAAATCTCATAAGCTTAAAGTTTTAAACATGTATTATATATATTTATTTTAAAGAACTTGGAATTAAACCATTTCAGGATGAGTATTTTAGTTAGCGGTCCTTCGAACTCGGACGACAACCCTGCGGCGGCTTATTCCAGTCTCAGATCCTGACCGACGGCGGCTCCTTCCTCCATCCCGTCGGATGACCACGCGCCTGATAATGACACGACGGCGTCTATGCTTCTTCTTTTTTTTGCCTTCACTGGTGGTGGTGGTGGTCGCAGAGGAATCCGTAGTGGTGGTGGTGGCAGCAGTGGTAGTGGTGGTGGTGGTGGCGTCAGTGGTTGTGGAAGTGGTGGACGAGGCGGAGACCTGATTGTTGTGCAGGATCATCACGGCCAGGACGACCAGAGAAAGAGCCAGGAGGGAGCGCATTGTGGTAATGTTCTTTCCGGATCGGGAACTAATGTCAGTGAACCAATTCGGTGGATATTTATAGCGTCTTAGAGTCGGAGAAGAAGTTGATATAATGCAAATACAGATGTGTTCCCTTGGAATGTCTTAAGCTTTTGTTCCACTTACAAAATCTTCAAGTATTTGCGGGATTTTTTTTGTTTTTTTTGTTTACAGCTGTTCGGACGTAATGGGAATTTTTACTTTCGCGCAAAAAATAATATTCACTTTCTTTATCTATGCGATAGCTAAGTAGTGTACCGCTATTATTAATAAATTGTATATATCAACTCTGTCATGTAATGGTAGTCATAATATTCTTATGAAAGTCTAAGATGTGCAATCCTTTGAATTCGTTCACACCAATAACATCCCCCACCCCCACCCACTGGGAGATTCTAGTGTTTGACTACAGCACTAGCCCTGAGGATATTTATTGAAATATTGAATATTGATCAGCAAATCGTAATTCATGCCAGTCAACAATTAAGGAAAGTCTTGAGTAATAATGCTTCAAAGGGCTTATATGTATGGTCCAGACTTATATAACTTCAACGTCATCTGGTGGTAGCACATTTATATAAAAATTGGTTAGCGGTGTACTTAGAACATATTTCCTAATATTATATAATTTTAATATATTTTCTGATATCCATGCTTGTATGCATTTTAAAAGGCTAAACTAGATTCGTTGAAAAATATGTAACAGGTAGAAGGAAGCGTTTCCCCTATATATTCTTGATCAGGATGGATAGCGAAGACGAATGAACCATGTCTGTCTGTCTGACCGTCTGTCCGTATGAACGCTGAGATCTCAGGAACTATAAGAGATACAAAGAGATTAACCACGAAGATTCTTGAGGTCCCTACGCAGCGCAAGTTTATTACAGCATCCTGCCACCCCCACTCTAACGCCCACAAATCGGAAAGAACTAAAATCGCTGAAATCTCAGGAATTATTAGAGCTAGAAAGTTTAAATTCAGAATGTATAATCTTTAGATGCCAGCGCATCTTTTAGTGGGCCACCCATACGCCCAAAAGACGGTTTTCGCATTTTCTAGAAAATCTAATATCTCGGTAACTGTAAGAGATAGAAAGTTCGGATTAAGCATGTAGGTTTTTATGATGCTCCAAATACAAATTAATTTTTTCCCATCTGGCTACGCCTACCCTAACGCCCACAAACCCCGAAAAACCAAAAATTCTAATATCTCGCAAACAATAAGTGCTACAAAATTTTTCTTAAGACTACGTATTTAAAAGATGACACTGCAACTTGACACAAGTTTTTATTCAGCCACGCCCACTCTTACGCTTACAAACCGTTAAAAACTGTGGCGTCTATAATATTATTATGAATGCTTTCGTTTGACCTTGTATAACTTATTTCTGTTAATATCTATCGATTTGCTAAAGATTTTTTAAATCTGAACATTATTTCGCTTGGGGAAAATCTACAGAAACAAACAAAAATATATTTAATATTAAACTATTATGTATTTAATACTAATCGACAGGAGTACTATTTTTTTATTCTTCCCTTCCTTGCTTTGCTAATTGTAAATCACTGCAAAACAACTTTTAAAAATTTAACAGTTAGTTTAAGTTAAGGCAGGTTCTTACTCTTGTGGAAAGGAAAAGGGCAATTTTTTTCTTTTGTGCGAAGAACACTAATTATTTTTTAAAATAATAAATTTTTAATATTATATTTTTATTATTATTATTTATTAGAATAAAATGAGTTTATAGTTTTGGCTTAGCTCGACCGATGCTCGATTTTTTTAGATTTTGAACTGAAATTCTTTGATCACATTTTTGAAACATTTATCTACACGATAAGACAAGAGAATTTAATTTTTTTCACAAGGGTATAACCTGCCTTCCTAGATTTCCTATAATTAATATATTTATACCCGTTACTCGTAGAGTAACAAGGGTATACTAGATTCGTTGAAAAGTATGTAACAGATAGAAGGAAGCGTTTGCGACCCTATAAAGTATATATGTTCTTAATCAGGATCAATAGCGAAGTCGATTGTCCGTCTGTCCGTCCGTCCGTCCGTCCGTCCGTTCGTCCGTATGAACGCTGAGATCTCAGAAACTATAACAGATACAAAGTTGAGATTAACCATGAAGATTCTTGAAGTCCCAGCGCATGTTTATTACAGAATGCCGCCACGCCAACTCTAACGCCCACAAACCGCGGAAAACTGTGGCATCTATAATATTCTTATGAATGCCTTTGTTTGACCTTGTATAACTTATTTCTGTTAATATCTATCGATTTACCAAAGATTTTTCAAATCGGAACATTTATTCGCTATTTATAAAGAAATTAAGGTTATAAGGCCTCACATGGGCAGTGACGTCACTATAAGCATACTCAACATACTTCCTCTGACAATAGGTGGCGCCTTGTGAATTTCCACTAGCAAAATAATATTTTAAAAATTTGTAAAACAGTAACGGGTATCTTATAGTCGCGGCACTCGCCTATAGCGTTTCCTCTGGTTTTACGCTTTAATTATGGAAAGTTTTAATTAAACTAACTCTGGATTAAGGTTACTGTTCATGAAACGGTAGAATTGCTTGATTTAACGAAGACATCTGTCTACTCTTGGGATTTTATATAAGAGAGACTTTCTTAAGGGCACTCAGAAAATCAATTTGAAAAGTTCTTACCTGCCATTCAACAGTTTGTAGTTAATTCATTTTACTACTGGATTTTCAACATTTTAAATTAAAGATAAAAGTAATGTAAGAGTGATATATGTTCGATTGTGATTTATTTGCAATGCCACGCAAAGAGCATTATGGAATAGCTATGATCGGGCTGCTCCAAGTGTGTACCAATATATTCATATAATGTTTCTGTTGACCAACTTGCGACGAACTACACCCGTACGGCTCTCTGTCTCCTCGCGGTTTTTGTGTACTCGCCTTCGGGATCGTCTTCCTCCACGGTGGCGACGGACACGCCAACGATGGCGGCGTCGAGTCTTCTTAGTCGTGGCAGCTACCTTCGAAGCCGAGGCAGCCGTAGTGGCTGAAGCAGAGGTAGAGGCAGCGGTAGTAGTAGTGGTGGTTGTGGTAGTTGTGCTGGTTGTGGCTGATGCACTGGTGGCGGTACTGGTGGAAGCGGAAGACACCTGACGGCTGTGGAGGATCACCACGGCCAGGACGACCAGAGAAACAGTAAAAAGATAGCGCATGATGCGATGATGTTTCTTTCAGTCTATTGGAAACTGATGACAATGGCCCCCAAATGGATGGATATATATAGTCTTTTCGAAGCCGTAGAAGTAATAGGTGCAATGCAAATACAGATGTTACTTTTGGAACAATCTATTGCCTTTGTTTCATTTGCAGTTCTTTCAGACTGTTTTGTTAGACTGTTTACACTTGTTTGAACGAAATTGGAATTTACGCTTTTTTGCAAAACGTATTGTGTCTTATTTATTTAAATAAATTATTTGATTGTGATGGAGAACACCCGGTCGGTGCACCATTTGCTAGAGAATAGTCTTTAAAAATGTCGAAAGATATCCAAGCTTTTGCTAAGTGATCATAACTCGGAAAGGTTAATTCTTTTAGGATATTCCATGAATTGTATCATTTTTTAACGAATCCAGAAACGTGAAAGGTTAAACACTGTAGAAGCCATATTCTGAAGCAGTGTAAAAAGTTCAAGACTAACATTTAAACCAACAGACTCTTGATATATTAAACCAAATAAATATTATATAAAAACTTGCAAATTAAATTTTTAACAATAACTGTCTGAATAGCCAAGGCCTTCCGTTAGTAAAATTGATTTAATGGCACAGAATTCAGATTTGTAATTGTTCCAGCATACGAACCTGCTGAAACCCCTCTTAATTACCATATCCCAAGACACCTCCTTCACCTCTTCTGACTTATCTGCAGTTTTTGTCCTGCCCATGACATCTCTATTATTTTCGAGTTACATAAAAAAAAGAAGGATACCCCCTGACATTTGATGAATTTCCATCACATTTCCTCCTATTCAAATGCAAAACAGAAAGTATGCAAAGTAAATAAAGGCAAAAGGTACTAGTTTAATATTTGGAAACATTTTTTGGCGATAGGAAAGGTGTGTCTCCTGTCATTTCTCCGAAGCCCACTAACTGCCTTTCCAGCTTATCGCAAATGAACAAGCCGGCAGCCAACCTAGAAATGTATTATTACTTCCGATTTGTTGGGAATAATGCTGGTTGGCAGCAGTCGAGAATTCAATTACCCCTCTATCTAGTCCCCAACTCCCTCATATGTACATTGCCTGCCGCTTAATGTTGACAATTTCCCATTTGATGCGAGCGAACTGAAAATATTGCCAAAGTCAGCGATTGCCAAACAGAAGGAGCAGATTCAGGCGCTGGCTTGAAGGATGAGGCATGCGGATATTTCGGGTGGTAGGTAAACCTTTTGCCACATATGGCGCAATGTTTGGCAATTTGTGCATTTTGTAGCAGCACCACCAGCAGTGGCAGCATCAAAATAAAATAACTGAACACACGTGAGGTCGTGATTGAAAGTCGAAAATTGTGGGTGGCTCTGGTTGGTGTTATGGTGTCTTTTGTAGGAAAATGAATATCCTATAAAATAATGAAGGTATTTTATTAATAATCGGATATTTCAGATTTACTTGGTATTGTGATTGACTTTTTAAATAATTTTTAAGTTGATTCCACATAATATTTGTTTGTTGCTGGGTTAAGTTTTTTCTCCAACATTATCAGATTTTGAAGTGCATAAAAGTAGTCAATTGGGAGTATCACTTATCACGTATTTTATGTTTAGGGGTTCAATTTAATACCTCTTTTTTAGCCTGATAAAACATAAACCTAACAGTTGAACATTTTTAGTAGCTTAGGGAATCTAAGCTTCGGTTCTTCTATGGACATTTAATGTATTCTCGCATGCAATGGTGTTGAGTTCCGCATGGCACCACTTTAATAGATATTTGTCCAAATTTGTATTGCATTAATCTGAAAAACAATTGCAATAGTTGGCTACACCACATCCGATGTCATCTATCGCTGGAACAAAGAGCGACCCCCAGTCGCAATTGCCGAGGACATGAAGCTGTCCCAATTCGATTTGGTCGATTGTCCGGCTGGAAACTTAACGGACATTGTGTACAAGGCGGCGGCTCCAAGACCACAGCGTCGTCCATTTAACAACAAGGACCCACCACGACCCACCAGCAAGGTGCTGACCACTTTTGCTGGTCCGGCGGCAAAGAATCAGCACGTTCGGGGCACGGGACTTAAACTAGACAAAGGAGCCTTTGGAACAGGGCGGGATGCAACTGGAGGAGTGGGATCCTCCACTGGATTAAGTGGCACCATTACTTTGGAGACCAATCATCCATGTAAGTGACTAAAAATATATTCTTGAAAGAAACCCGCTTAGAGACTGGCTACAAAATCGTTTTACAATATACTCGTACATTTAGGAATTTTACATTTAGGAATTCAATATAATTTTAAATATTATTAAATTGTAAACCCCTTTTCAGCGGAATACTCGATGCTGATGGTGAACTTTCACCTGCAACGGCACATGGGCAATTTCCTGATCCAGGTGTATGGTCCCTGCTGCCTTCTAGTGGTTCTCAGCTGGGTTTCCTTCTGGCTAAATCGTGAAGCCACCGCGGATCGCGTTTCCCTTGGGATAACAACCGTTCTGACGATGACCTTTCTCGGACTGGAGGCTCGCACGGATCTACCTAAGGTGTCCTATCCCACGGCTCTGGACTTTTTTGTGTTCCTCTCGTTTGGCTTTATCTTTGCCACAATACTCCAGTTTGCCGTGGTGCACTATTACACTAAGTACGGTTCGGGGGAGTGCTACTTTATTATTGAGGAGCTGGACTCGGATTCTGGGGAGTCGGAAACGGAACCACTCACCTCGGATTTCCGCGGCAGCACGGAATCAAAGATCTATGAAGTCATTCCGCTGTCCATGTGTGCGATAAGTATGCCGCCGCAACCCAATCGCCTGGGCATGCTTACCTCCAGGAATAGAGGACCACGAAATAGACGACATGGTCTATGGAGCATGAAGCTATTGGGCCTCTTTGATTGGCGACGAAGGAGAAAGCCCCCCCGTGTGGACTCCGATGAGGAGGATGACGAGCAAACGCAACTAAGGGTAAACGAGGCTCCCAGCACATCTGCTGCAGCTGCGGCGGCACAAGCTGCTGCCCAGGCTGCTAGGATAAGTCCTCCAACTGGTCGCCGGCGGATGTCCTACTATCGACGCGAGGAGATGGAGGCGCGGAGGAAGGGCAAAAGGACACCACAGTACAACTCCGTGTCGAAGATAGATCGCGCCTCGCGGATCGTCTTTCCTCTGCTCTTCATCCTGATTAATGTGTTCTATTGGTACGGCTATTTGTCGAGGAGCTCCAGGATTTTGGCCAACACGCCAGATGCGAGCACCTGATGTTACCTTTTAGCAATTTAGACAGGGTCCTCGAAGAAATCAGTAAGCGATCGCCGGCAGCGAGCAGACAACTAAAGCTGGACGTAAGCGATGCATCAGCAGCAAGCACTTTCTGGTGATTCGCCGTTTACAAGCCGCTTATGATAATGCGTGGGGGGAATATCGGTTGGGGGATCGGGAAAAGCAGGGGATGGGTTTAACTTTTCAGATTCAGTTACGCTCTTATTCTGATTTGCTACCAAACGTGACACCGCTTTATGGGATTTCTTTTCGCGCTAAATTGCTAAAGTACAGAAAACAGAACTCAACTCTAACATATCAGAGGACTTGTTAAAACGGGCACCCCTTCAAAACATCATGCTTTAAGTGTCAAAATAATGTAGAGAACCTTTCGAAAAATGTGTTCGGTTTTTCTAAAATATCCATTTTGCTTTTTCAATGAAAACAAATCAAAGAATGAACAATGAAAATATATTTTCTGTGATATTTGTTTACATTATTTTGACAATTAGCTGCCTGGGTGTCCTGTAAATTTGTTGTACAGCTAACCAATAAGTTAATTAGTTTCTGTTATATGTGTATTTTAAATGTTTAATGTTGATTTGAAGGTCACAGCACAAGGAATTTGCACTTAGTTGAGGAATTTGTTTAGTTCACTGCAAATTACTACTTTTATATGGGATCACAAAAAATAGGGAAAAATGTTAGGAAATTGCCGTCTCCGCTTTTCTGTCCCGGCAAGTAATAGAGGATAAGCAAGTATTTCAATAAGTCACTCAGCCTATATTGTTAATTCAAAGAAAAATTACTAGGCCTGAAATTTATCTAAGAACATATATAGGAAAAACCAACCGGCAGTCTTCACCAAAATATATATAAATATGGTTAGTGAATTATTAATCGGTTTTTTTTATTATTATTTCAATTGTCTTTTTTCAAAATTTAACTACTTTTATGTGTTTGTTTTCATGCAGTTCGCACGGAATTTGTATATGATATGTATAGTTTATAATAATTTTGTTCGTGAATAACTTTCCGGCCCAGCAGTTTTTCACCCACTTTAATATATAACGAAAATATCCAGCAGAGAGTGTTACTTGCCGGCAGATAAAATATGTACAACTATGTGTAAACACACGAACTAAAGCCAAATAAAAGTCTAATTAAGAAGTTGATAACTAGTTGATAGCTGCATGGGAATCGTGTTGGATTTATGGCTCACAAATAGGTGAGCAGATCGGCCAGTCGAGGGAGATAAAGATCTGGCTGGGGCAGCCGGCCTTTTTCCCGCTGGACATCAGAGAGATTATTGTAACGACCAGTGCCCACCAGAAGCGATAACATGCCACAATTACTGGCAAAGCCGACATCTATTTTGAGGCTACGGAAGATGAGGGAAACTCATTAGAAGAACCTTCAAAAGATGCGTTAATCCTGCTTACCAGTCACCAATCATAAGCGTTCGTTCTGTTTGCAACTCCCCGGACTTGATGAGGGGCTCAAGGACCAATGGATTTGGCTTGCCCATCTCGAGGGCTTCACGCTCGGAACACGCCTCAATTCCGGCCACAAAGGCCCCAGTGCCGGGGATACAGAACGCAGGATACTTGTGCACGGCATCCCGGTTGGTCACAAGGAAAGCAGACTCGGGATTGCTGCATAGAATGTGACAGGCACGGGCCATCTTGCAATAGCTAAAGTACTCATCCCAGCCAACCACCACGGCACCAACATCCTTGGCCGCCTTAGGGTTTCCAAACTCGCGAGCCACAAAGTCCGGCCATTTGTCGCCCAGAGCCAGTTCCTCCGTTCCCCCGGCTCCATAGCTGTCGATTCCGTGCTGCCTTAATTCCCGTTCGATGGCCGCATTGCCCACCACATAGACCTTGTGACGGGTCTTATCGAACTCCGGACTCTCAACCAGATAGTCGGCAATGGCCGCCGTGGGCGATATGATGTGTCGGACGCTGGGTAAATCGAATCCGAGGCGCTGGGAGCGCTCAAAGAGCTCCTGGCGCGTCTTTAGTCCATTGTTGGTTATCAGGTAGACTTTTTTGCCCCAGCGATGCTGCAGGGCATTCAGCACATCCGGAGCACCCTCAATGGCCGTGTCATCCTGCCAAATGGTGCCTGTGTGACAAATGGATATTTAATTTGCTGAGTTATTTAAGAATTTCGAGCAATAAAAACAATAAATTAATTCTTTAAAAGATCCCGTCTTAAGCATTTTAATTTTTTCATGACATATCAAGATATTAATTTAATCCTAAAAAACAATTTAGGTTCATTTATAATTTTAAAAATCTACCAATTCTTTATTTTGGTTATATATTTATGGTTATGATCTGTTTAACTTAAGTACGATTCTGTTAAAAATCTACATCCCTTCATTAACTCTTTATTAATAATAATTAAAACAAACATATAATTTGAGATTGAAATTTATTATATTATAAACTAATAAATATACAAAACCGTCAGTTATAGATGTTTTTACATGTTCTATGTACACGTCAAAATGACCTTTTTAAAAAAGTGCTAATCGAAAAATAGCAATTATAAGTTAATTATTATGACTACAATTTTCGGAAAAAAACTTCAAAAACAGGTAACTATTTATTATCTTATCCAAAACAAAAACTAGCATGACATCGACATTATCTTCTTCAAATTTAAATCGTTTAATTTTTATTACAAACCTTAAGAACCGTGATCGCATAAGCTCTTCCCTCACCCATGTAATCTACTACTGATATTGGACACAGCGACAACTCTGACAAAAGCTCTCAACGGTGCTCGTACTCTTTACCGCTCTCTGTGGCACCTTTGCCGCCCTTCAAACTCACCGTCGCCATCGCAGAGAATCGTGTCGAAACTTTGGAGCCACTCGCTCACCTGCTCCCCGGATAAGTCCGTCAAGTTGATAGCACTGCCTCTGGACATTCTGCTCCGTAGACCGCTCTGCGAAAAGTTTGCGACTCGACTAAATCGGCGACAGACTGGCTGATTCCAACTCACGATGATTGGAAAGAATCTGCTATCTCCCTTGCGCACAAAGCTCGCTCCGGAAAATGAATTGAGACGGGCATATCGATTAAGTCGTCCGTCTGACAAAATGCTTCTGAATTTATTTAAATATTTTGTTCTGTGGTATAAATTGTACTATAAATTTTCGTTAGGTATTTGTAATTTTTCCTGTCTATTGCCGGTGATTGTAACTACTATACAAACACATGTCCATACTACATACTGATTACTGATTAGTAACCCAGATCAAAATGGCTTCCCTGCCAGGCTGTCCAGAATCGATGGCAGCAAATCCCCCAACTTGGGCAGGTACACGTCTGGTATGAGCTTCTTGTCCTCGGGATTTTTACTCAGCTTCCACTGTTCCACATCCTTCAGCTGATGAATGCCGGAACCCACAAGCAGAGTCTGGAATCCACAATTGTAGCCAAGGAGGATGTCCGTATTGGCCCGATCTCCGATCATCAAAGTCCGCGTAGGATCGATCTTCTTCTCTGTGATCAAAGCCTCACAAATGGCCGGATTGGGTTTTCCAATCACTACCGGATCCCGTTCGGCACAAGTTTGAATGGCCCGTACAAAGCTTCCGCTGCCAGGCACTATCATATTGGGCATAGGGAATCGCTCATCCGTATTGGTGGCCACGAAAAGGCACTCTGGATCGTTCAGGTAAGAGGCAGCCTTCATCATCTTGGGGAAACTGAAGTGTTCATCGAAGCCTACGACCACTGCTCCGATGTCCGCATCCAGTTTTAAATGCTCCGCCATGAACTCAGCCAGCGATCCCTTCATGGGCTCCGGTCCCACCTGGGTGTGCTGAATGCCGACGGCGTCCAGTTCCTTTGTGATTCCCTCGCTTCCGATCACATATACACGCTTATTAAAGTTCCGACGCTTGAGATACGCAGCTGTAGCGTGGGCAGTTGATATGATGCCATTCTCCTTAATGTGGAAGCCCAGCTCTACGCCTTTCTTCAGAAGTTCCGACCGGGTCTTTGTCGAGTTGTTTGTGCAAAAGTAAAAGGACTTTCCCATAGCCTTCAACTGGTTCATCACATCTGCCGAGCCTTCCAGGGCCTGGCCATAGATCCAGAGAACTCCTGTAATAAAACATAAGGGTATTAGTTCTGCTAGTCATGGGTTAATAAATCTTTAAACTAAATAAAAGTTTACATATCGCAACTTTAAATCTATTTTATTTGCTGAAGTGTTTAGGGAATGATTTGTAAAAAATGTAAGTCTTTTAAGTATTAAAAAATTAAAAAAAAACATTAGAAATGGAAAAATTTATATTTCTTGTTCCATCGATGAACAATATGTTCATAAATATATTATCTTTAAGAGGGTTAGAGCATTAAACTTCTTTTTTTTGTGTCAATCCTATTTAAAATTATGACTCAGAGGTTATGAGGGCATCCGAAAGTCGACTTCCCGCCATATCACGCACTTCACTCATTGACATTGAAATCTGCGACACAGCAACAAACACAGAAAACTATTCGGTTGCTGACGTACATATATTGGCCAGATAATATGGTATACACATATCTTTATGTAACGCAACTTCCTGGGAGGAATCCTTTTTGAGAAGGGAGTAGGGAGTACATCTTCTACCACCCACCATCCACCACCCACTTACCATCGCAGTCAGTAATTACTGAATCAAAACTCTGGAGCCACTCGGTCACCTTGGCGGAGGACAATTCCAGGAGATTGGTGCACGTCTGCTTATACATGCTTTTAACTACCTTTCGCGAACTGGTAGCAAAGTTAGAACTCATTTATGGTATTGCAATGACAGCTATCTTCTACACATCACTTTTAATTTATTAATTGGGTCTCGATTGCGAGGAACTCCCTGAGAAATAAAGCAGCTGTTGGCGCCTGTAAAAGCTATGTTACTATCTGACAGATGTCATAGACGCTGTTATGGCACCATGTTAAAGCTAACAGAGTGCTAACAAGTGTTTGGCGGCAAATTTGAAATTGAAAATCCGCTAAACACATAGCTTTAAAACGGTTCAATACTACGATATTACTGCAGCCCAGAAATTAATTGTAAAATATTCTTTTATAAATTGTACCAGAAAAATGTTTAACCTCATAAATTAATTAACTGACACGTTGATCATTTGTATGCTTGTTTATTATTGTTTTATGCGCCTAATCACTAAAATTAATTACTTATAGTACAGGCATTTTTATTTTGTTGAATCTCAGCTTTCTTTTGTGTTTTAAAACTTGCTGGAAGAACAAACCATTGCAGAAAAATATTTGAAATACTGACCCTACATATTACAAGGTTGATGGACAAATTAAAAAGGGTGCAAAAAAGCAGGCGTTTTGGGGCGTGGCGAGGGCTGGTTGTGGGTGTGTGTATGTAAAGGGAAGAGCTGGAATCGAGAGCGAAAACGTTTTGCGTTTTGTACCATAACTTGCGTTTAAATAAATCTCATTAAGCTAGCGCGAAAGAACGAAAATTGTTGGCTAATTACAGAAATAAACTATTTTACAGTTACGATAATGATAAATTAAAAACTAGTACACGAAACGTTATCGAGAAAATTGCATTTAGAGAACCGCTTCAGGTCCGTCTGCGTTTTTTTTGTTGGTTTTTTGTGTTGCCATCGGGGGTGCGTCTGCTGATAAGAGGTAATGAGCCAAGTCTATTTTGCTAAAGGATCCTGCCTAGAACTGCGACATTAGCAGGCTGTTTCCACCGCCGCCGCTCCCCACGCCCCCGCCTCCCCCACCGCCGCCACCCCCTGGGCCACCACTTGTGCCCAACACAGACCCAAGAAGACCTCCGCTCGACATCTGCTGTTGTTGCATGGGCATCTGCTGCTGCATCTGCATCGACGAGGAGAAACTATTCATGCCGCCAACAACGCCTGGTCCCATGCTGGCCCCTAGACTGGACAATCCAGGTCCAGGACCGCCGCCAAGCGATCCCAGACTGGTGGCGCCCATAACACCTGCTGCTCCGCCCAAGCCAGCTCCACCGGGAAGTAAACCCACGCCCGGCTCAGGACTCTGGTTCTTCTTTTTTCGTTTTTTCTCTTTTTTGCGCTTCTTGCGTTCCTTATCGTCCTCATGGCGCTTCTGTTTCTTGTGCTTCTTCTCGTAAGTCTCCAGGCCGGCCGAATCTACAAGATTGAAATCATTGGGTTATTTGGGGTTTACGTTTAAGGCGAGATTACAGCCATCTTACCCAGCATAGTGGATTCCTGTCCCGTGGTCACGCCGTCTTTGTGTTTGTGCTTTTTATGTTTGTTTTTGTGTTTTCTCGCAGGTGTGACATATGTGGTTCGATACTGTTCCGGTAGCTGAAAGGAAAATAGGAATTTAATTAATCGGTAAAATGTAAATGTGGAAAAACATGACAAATTTAAGATTTCGAAAAAAATGATCCCAAATTTATAGGTTAACTCATTATTTCACATTTAATAATTTTTTGAGATTTAAGTACGATTTTATCTCTGCAAACATTAAAAATATACATTTTTAAACTTTTTACAACATTAATTTTCAAAATTAATTTAACAACAAAACTTTAAGTTGAAAAGTATTTAGTTACCAAATAGTTACACATAAGCTAGTTAATTATACAAGGAAGGAAAAATCGAATTCATATTACGAAGTCAATAATGATTTATCAACGTTCGTAATTGATTGGGCTCAAACAATAAAAAATTTATCAATTAATTTGTTATCTGATTTGAAAACAAATTTAAACTTTTTCAGAGCAATGTGGAAACATTTTGATCATATTTCAAATAATATAAATGTTTCTTGATTATTAATATGTATATATTAATATGTTTTGATCAATTTTAAATTGACATCCTAATACACCAAGTGGTGTAAATACACAAAAATGGAAAGTTGAATGTAATTAAACATTAGATATTCGTAAAGCAGAGTAAATGAAGTAAAATATTAAGACCCACCGGTCCAGGATGCAGGCGGAACCCGGCCAGCTGCACGGGGGTCAGTGGGAGTAGCTCCTTGCCACCAATGGGCGGTTTTTCGATTACGCTCCGCAGCGTGCTGTTCTCGACGGGATGCGTGATAAGGTCGTTGATGCCGGGGATGTTCTGCAGAAACGAGGCCAGCGACTCTTTAAACTTCTTCTCCTTGAACTTTGTGAGTGTGTGGTGCAGTCCGTATTCGGTCATGAGATCCTTGTCGCCTGTGAGTTCCGCCTTAGCAGGCGGTTCCTTCATCGAGTAGAACGGCCCGGTGTGAATGATCGTGGGCGTCTTACCCAGCGATATAGTTGTTTTCAAGGTACCGGAAGAGTCCTGGCGTGCGACTACGGGGGATCGGCCGCCGCCATGGGGAGAGGACTTCGGGGAGTCCATCATGTTCCCGTAGTTGCTCATCATTTTGGAAATCTTGCGATTCTTGGCAGCTCACGTACACACTCGCACCGCACTCACACAGCCGCACACACTGGCACAGCAACGACAAGACAAGGCCAGCAGAAGGTATCGCCTGTAACGGCTCTCTGGCCACGCCAACCAAGCACACACACTGCAAAATGCGCCGCGGCTGCCCGGCACTTCGGCAAACTCCTATCTAGGCGAAAACTCAATAAATTGTCTGCTCTTGTGACGTTTTCTAACAGATTTCGGGGGCAAGTCTCGCCATCTTGTTGTGTCCGCGAACCAGTGTGACCGCATTGCGACAGCTAGCGAAAAACTGAGGCTGTCACGAAAACGCGATGCGAACGCGCTACAAAAATACCAAAAATGTGCTGAAAAATACCTCTACTGGCAAATACCAAGCAGGATTGCATTGTAAGTAATCGAATATAAAACCTTATCTGAATAAAATTAAAAATTAAATTAAATATTGTTTATTATATCAATCCATAAACTTAGATGTCTTTTTAGCAACACATACAAATACAATTTCTTAGTTTAAGACTACTTACTTTATTGTGGTGCCGTCTATTTTTTGCAAAACTTAGAGGGAGTCTCATTATCATAATAATTAAATTACTATAAACATTTTTTTTTAATAAAAAATTAGACAATGACTGTTTTTTTGATCTAAATAGTTGTTTACAAAAATCTTTGTCAGTGAAATTTGCACCTTCTATATATTAACAAGTAATCGCAATAAATCAGAGAGGAAATACTATCGATAACATTTGTCCATCATATGACCAATATCGAATGCGCATCGCCAGCCCTGCGACCGCTCCGAGCTCCACAACACGAAAAACAGTCGGAAAAACACATCAAATTAGTGTTGTGTTAGTAGTTAAATAACGATTATCCTCATAACTCGCCCGCACCAGCCATGCAGTCCACGCTTCGACATGTTGTGTCCGCAGTAGCCAAGGTAAAGATCGGACGATATTGTCAATTCCCCAAACACCTTTCGCCCCCCAAGTTATGCAATCTAACCTCACCGAAGGGTCGTGGGCAGGAAAAGCCTGGAATATGCACTTAGATCACTTGCAGTGCTCATATGATCGCATACTTGAATCACTGGCGTTTGGGGGATTTGTTTGGCCCCGTTTTCAAGGTCGCTAATTGGGCCAATTATCAGCTGATAGGCGGCCAGAGATTAGTACAAAATGCGTGCGCCTAGCGTGATAAATGATAAGGTTCCAGAACGTCTAGTAATCGGCTGTCTTTCCAGACTCCTCTGCGCACCAATGCCGCCATTCTGGGCGCCCTCAACGCTCGCTGTTACTCCAGCACCCACGAAGCCGACATTGTTGTGATCGGTTCCGGACCCGGTGGTTATGTGGCTGCCATCAAGGCCGCCCAGATGGGCATGAAGACGGTCAGCGTGGAAAAGGAGGCAACTCTGGGTGGCACCTGCCTGAATGTTGGCTGCATACCCTCAAAAGCGCTGCTGAACAACTCCCACTACTACCACATGGCCCACTCCGGTGATCTGGAGAGCCGTGGCATCAGCTGCGGCAACGTTAGTCTTGATCTGGAGAAGCTCATGGGTCAGAAGGTCAACGCAGTAAAGGCCCTGACCGGCGGCATTGCCATGCTTTTCAAGAAGAACAAGGTCACACAGCTGACGGGATTCGGCAGCATCGTTAACCCCAACGAGGTTCAGGTCAAGAAGTCCGACGGTTCCACAGAGACAGTCAAGACCAAGAACATCCTCATTGCCACCGGCTCGGAGGTTACACCCTTCCCAGGTATTGAAGTAAGTGTCAAATAAGATTTTACCACTGAATTTTTTTTTATAAACTATTTTACTATCCTTAACAGATCGATGAGGAGGTTATTGTGAGCAGCACTGGTGCTTTGAAACTGGCTAAGGTGCCTAAGCATCTAGTTGTTATTGGAGCTGGCGTCATTGGCCTGGAGCTAGGTTCGGTGTGGTCGCGTCTGGGCGCTGAGGTCACTGCCATCGAGTTCATGGACACGATCGGCGGCGTGGGCATCGATAACGAGGTCTCCAAGACCTTCCAGAAGGTGCTCACCAAACAGGGTCTGAAGTTCAAGTTGGGCACCAAGGTAACGGCTGCCTCCCGCAGCGGCGACAACGTCACCGTGTCGGTGGAGAACGCCAAGTCTGGAGAGAAGGAGGAGATCCAGTGCGATGCCCTGCTAGTAAGTGTGGGACGTCGTCCCTACACCGAGGGTCTGGGTTTGGAGGCCGTGGGCATTGTCAAGGACGACCGCGGCAGGATCCCCGTCAACGCCACCTTCCAGACCGTGGTGCCCAACATCTACGCCATCGGAGACTGCATCCACGGACCTATGTTGGCGCACAAGGCTGAGGATGAAGGTCTAATCACCATCGAAGGCATCAATGGTGGCCACGTGCATATCGACTACAACTGCGTACCCAGTGTGGTCTACACTCACCCCGAGGTTGCGTGGGTAGGCAAGAGCGAGGAGCAGCTGAAGCAAGAGGGTGTTGCCTACAAGGTTGGCAAGTTCCCGTTCTTGGCTAACTCGCGCGCCAAGACCAACAACGAGACGGACGGATTCGTCAAGGTCCTGGCTGACTCTGCCACCGACAAAATCCTGGGAACCCACATTATCGGACCCGCTGCCGGCGAGCTGATCAATGAGGCAGTGCTGGCCATGGAGTACGGAGCAGCTGCCGAAGACGTTGCCCGCGTCTGCCATGCGCATCCAGTAAGTATTCCCTCAAAAAGAAAAGCTTATATAATTCAAAAATCACTCTTCGTTCTTATCTGAAAGTTTCATAAGCATTGCTTGAGATTTTAATTAATTTAAATTACAAAAAGATTCAGCGATCTAATATACCGAAATCTCTTTTTTCAGACATGTGCCGAGGCTTTGCGTGAGGCTAATGTTGCGGCTGCTTTTGGAAAACCCATCAACTTCTAAGCACTTTCCCAAGCCTGCCAGCTTTTTGGAGAATTTTGCACCGCGTTTGAAATTTTTGAATAACCCCCTAAATCGAAAAATTATCCTGACAGCTGATACGACAGTCTCCACATAGTTGTAACTCTCAATGTAGGAACAGTAAAGTGGAAACTATAAATATTGGTAATAGCGCCAGGCGTTAATTGCAATGTAATATGTGTATTAAGATAGAATAAATACAACATAGTTTGAAAACTCGAAACCTAAGGCGTTCTATAGATTTCTCGTATTTCAAAGTCCTTAGATATTCTGGTATCATATAATAAAGCTGAAAGCTAAAGAAATGCTATATTTCATTTTATGTAGTAAACTCTGCGTGCATGCCCTTATTAATTTTATCTTAAATACTTTACAAATCTTTATTGTGGAATAAATTAAATTTTGCGTTTATCAGATCAAAAAATCACCTGATAAATTTAAATATATTGCCAATGTCATAAAATAGCTATTTTACATGAGTCTGTAAAAGATTCAGGCGGAAAAACCGCCAAGCCGTGTATCACTGTGATCAGCTGTCGCACCGGCTTTTCGAAAATCATCTGGCAACGCTCGCGGAGCACAGTGTCAAAATTTCTGGCGTTTGAAATAAATAGTTATTTTTTGGGATTGATTATTCAGTTTAGCACCGCATTATTCCAAACATTTTTTGCTTAAAGGTTTGGGGTACAAAATTCATAACTCATTGCAATGTTCCGACTTGGCAAGCTCCGTGGCAGCCTGTCTAAGGTTGCCAAAAATGAACCATCAGCTGTGCGGTTCCAAAGGCGCTGCATTCAGGCAAGGAGTTTCTTGCCGGGACTGGCCAGCCGGACTTCTGGAACGCCCTCGGCTACAGCCCAGGTTACCAGTGGTGGTAAACAGAACTCTCAGTCGCAGGTTCAGCCATCCGATAATGTCCCCAAAGATGTGAGTATATCCGCGGTATTGGTTTACATAACACACTGCAGCATTTATACCCTCACATCAGAATAACAGCCGATGGCCAAGGAAAATCTTTAGTGGCATCCAGCCGACAGGATCCCTGCATCTAGGTAATTACCTGGGCGCAGTGCGCAAGTGGGTGCAATTGCAGAATTCCCGTGACGATGTTACGGTCTGCATTGTAGACCTGCACTCCATCACAATGCCCCACAATCCGCCGCTACTGCGCGAGAACATTTTCACGATGGCCGCCACGTTACTTGCCTGCGGCATGGACCCCGCCAAAAGCACCATCTTTGTCCAGTCCGCCGTGGCTGAGCACGCCGAGTTCAATTGGATCCTCAGCTCGTTGACGACCATGCCGCGTTTGGCTCAACTGCCGCAGTTCCGGGAGAAGTCCCGCCTGCTAAAAGATGTCCCCCTGGGCTTGTACGTCTATCCGGTTCTTCAAGCAGCTGATATAATGCTCTACAAGTAAGTTTAATTACAAGCAGTAGCTTATTAGCCAGCCACACAACCCCGTTAGGCCCCAGGACAGTTCCTGTGTCAGGTTTTGGGTAACTTTTATATTGATATCCCATATTTTTTTTAGGGCCACCCATGTTCCTGTGGGAGCTGATCAAATACAGCACATCCAACTGGCCCAGCACTTGGCCAAAACTTACAATGGTCGATATGGCGAGACGTTCCCTGTGTGCCACGCCATTATCGAGGACGGTGATGCCTCCCGGGTGCTGTCCCTGCGTGATCCTTCCAAAAAGATGTCCAAATCGGAGGCCAATCCTAAGGCCACCATTAATTTGTGCGACTCTGCTGACCTTATTACGCAGAAGATAAAGAAAGCGGTCACAGACTTCACCTCGGACATTACTTACAATCCTGGCAAGCGCGCAGGCGTCAGTAACCTGGTTAACATACATTCCCAAGTTACGGGACAGTCCATTAAGACAGTGGTCGATGAGGCCGCCACCCTGGACACGGCGAAGTACAAAGACAGAGTGGCCGAGGCTGTGGTTGAACATTTGCGTCCGATCCGGGAGCAGATTCATCATCATATGACAAGGCGCAACGAAATGATCTATTTGCTGGAAGTGGGAGCGGAAAAGGCGCGTCAGCAAGCCCATCAGACGTTGAACGATGTGAAGCAACGTCTGGGATTGGGCACCAGTGTTAATATTCCGGCTGCCGTGCATGTGGCCCCGCTTTTACCTGTACCTGAAGTTTCCAAGACCTCGGCCAGCAGGCGAATGTCTGCAGCGAATGACGGCAGCGTCCACGAGCGTCACGAGCGAATGTATGGATTCGGGGATCAGCCAAGCGGCGGACCTGGTCAACCGACCACCGGGGAACTACCTGAGATGACAAAAGCGGCAGTTCCGCGAATGATCCGTCGTCCACCAGTCGTGCCCGCTCAATCTCTCCGCGTGGAGAAGCAGCCGGGCAGTACCCGGACACGTCACGTATTCCAGATGGACACATGCAATGCACCACATATTGGGTTCAAGGCCCCGCCGAAATTTGCGGCCAGCATGGTCACCGGAGGTCTATCGAAGACCATGCGACCGACTGTTAAACCTATATCTGGCTCCTTGGGATTCGGGCAGCACTCGCATGGTGGCTCTTACAAGAACAGCCAGAACGTTAACCCCAGTGCAGTGTCCACTATTGCCCGCGAAGTAAATGCTGCTAAGAAGCAGGAATTCAACTTAACCAACTCTGCCTTCTACACATCTGCCCTTGAATCATGTACGAGTTCCAAGCGCCCCAGTGAAACCACCACTTCCAAGGCTGGAGACAGTGAGTTTATCATTGTCGCAAACGATGAGGAGGAGCAGTCTTCCTCTGAGGAGCAACGCGAAGAGGTTGAGGATGAGGAGACTGTGGATCGGGAAAGTGAAACTACAGAGCGCAAAGCCACTGAAGCTACCAAAGTCGAGATTTAAGTCTAGGAAACATTGCAATTGTTATTAGTGTAGTACAAGTATACTTAGATAACATTTCTGTTAAATCTGCCGTTTTTATAATAATAGTAGACTGGAGAGGACTTGTCAATATTGAAAGATATGTCAATAATTTAAGAAGTATTTTAAACTGCAATTTGATGTATCTAAATCGAATGACAAATGTAAAACGAATAGCTACAATTATTGTTATATATAATTTTATATACACTATAAGAGCAATAATATGGTCCCTTAAAACGTAAAATCCCACGTTATTAAATGGATGGCTTGCTTAAAGTGCAAAATTATAAGCAAATATCGCCTTTAAATAAACTAAAACCATTGTTTAACATAAGAATATTCGTGTTTATTGCTTTCAGCAGTTTACTTATTGTACTGTTTGTAGTTTTTGGTATCCTATTTTACGGTATGAGGCTAAGTGCATGTGTAAATTACATAGGCGAGTATGTGGATGATGAGAATCGCGGGCTTCATTGCGTATCTTTCAGGCAAAATATTATATTATAAATGAATAGTTTAGGTAAATATCATTGTACACTTAGGATGTACTGTGCATCAATATCAGGGGCACTTCGTTGCTATATTTCGAGTTCTCCTGTCCGCCCAACAATGCAGTGTTGCTGCAATCCCGCATCATGGCAATGGAATTGTTGCGTTGCTCCCGCTGCCTTAATCGGCTATGACGGATACCGTAGGACAGAAATATGGCTAGTCCGATGGTGATCCAGATGCTAAAGCGCACCCAGGTGAGAATGTCCAGTTTGATCATCAGATAAATGTTAATCAAAATGGAAATTCCAGGTAACCAGGGCACCAATGGTACCTTGAACGACAACTTCACACCCGAGGTTGGCTGCCGCGAAATAACAAAGAGAAGCAGTACCAGAGGAATAGTGCCCAGCACTAGTTTAATGCCATCGAAGGACGTCACGTTGACCACATCCTCTTCGAACTTGGTAAGTATCTGAGAGAAGACAACGCACCAAAGAGCTAGAAATAAAATGATTTGATTTTTTAAATTTAAGCCAGCCTTGAAATATATGAAACTTACAGAACAGAGTTACACTGTAGGTAACGATCCTTGACGTCTGTTTCGTGGGCACTGCCTGGCCATTTAGGTTAAATATGCGCCTCCAGAGGGCACATGGACGGTCTTCCTCAAGGACCATGGCACGTCCATTTCCTACACTGCGACTTTCCCTACGATCGTCTACTTCGTAGCGCAGCATAAGAACACAACTGGCCACCATAGAGTAAGCCAACAGAGTACCAATGGACATCATGTTCACGAGCTGGCTGAGGTTGAAAACCGCTGCCAGGATGCCAGTCAACAGACCCGTGATCATGGTTCCCTTGAAAGGAGTCTTGTACTTCTCGCTGATATCACCTAGGAATTTAAACAGCAACCCGTCGTTGGACATGGCGAAAACGATTCTTGGCAGCGGGAACATGGCTCCCATCATACTGGAGCACAGTCCGAACATCGCTCCAATACTGACCACGTACTCGGCCACATGCCAGCCGTTTATGCGAAAGACATGGGGCAAAGGTGCCTTCTCATCCTGTTCGAAATAGGGCAGCATCATGGTCAACACTGTGGACACTCCAAAGTAGGCCAGGAATATCATGGCCAGTGAGACAATCACAGCAAATGGAATAGACTTCTTGGGGTTCTTGGCCTCCTCTCCAGCTGTTGCAATGCAGTCAAATCCAATGAAGCCGTAGAAGCACACAGCAGCTCCCTTGATTATGCCCGAAACTCCGTAGGGCATAAATCCTCCGTTGCCATAACCCTCAGGTACCTCTGATTTTGGAATGGTCCAGTTGCTGCTGGATACTGAAAGCAGGCATTTTTTAATGAATATTTTAAATCACATAAAATGTATTATAACATTGTAGTAAAATGTTTGCAATGTTATTCTAATCGTTTAAAGCTTAAGTAAAAATTAAAAACTCACCCTTAAAAAGTCCAGCGATGATCACAAACAGCACTACACCTAGATTCAGCATGGTGAAGACATTGTTTACTCTGGTGGACTCCTTAGCTCCCACGGCAATAGCCAGGGAAAAGAGTATGGTAACCACAAACGCAAACAGATCGGGATAGGCCCCCATTCCATCGATGTTAAGGGGCATGTGGGTGCCCAGAAAACTGCTCATCGGATTTCCGCAAAGCTGATCGAGATAGGTGCTTAAACCCTTAACGACACTGGCAGAACCTAACCGAAGTCAATATTGGAAATTCAGAATTTGTTGGCAATTAAATCAAATCAATCAGAGAGACGGCGCCACTAATTGAAAACTAACCAATTGCGTATTCGAGAATGAGATTCCAGCCGATGATGAAGGCGATAAACTCGCCAATGGTCACATAGCTGTAGATATAAGCGGATCCCGCCTTGGGAACCCGTGCTCCAAATTCCGCATAGCATAGTCCGGCAAAGATTGAGGCAATGGCAGCGATGAGGAAACTGACGACCACTGCAGGACCGGCATATTGTTTGGACACTTCTCCAGCGAGGACATAGACACCAACGCCCAAAGTCGATCCAATTCCCAGGGCAGTGAGATCGAAGGCGGACAAGACCTTGGCCAATTTGGATTCATTCGAGTCCTCCAAGGGCTTCTTGCGTGTGAGCACGCGAAACGCATTCGTCACGCTCCAGCTGGGCATTCTGGAAAAAAGTTCATTAAACAATTATTATAATGGGTAAGTGTGCAATTGGGGCTTAGGGCTTCTGCTGATCCGTGCATTATAAATATAAAACGCCGTACTCTCGATGTTTACAGAACCGACATATTAACACGTTCGCAATTTGTGGAAAGTGCCTGTGGTAGGTGGGACAAGAAATTGTGCGGAGTTGGGTTTATGGACTGGGCCATAAGAAAATTAGTGGGCGTCCGTTAATGTGTGAATGTGGACAACGGCTTTATGACCGCCAAGTCGCGTCAAGCTGATCTAAATTGGAGTCTTGTGATCACCGGGAATCATCCCCGATGACTAAGTGGGGAAATCTGTTTTGTTTAATACCCCCAAGTATTAACTAAAGAAAAGTCTGAAAATTCATCTGCTTAAAAAATATGTTGATCTAGGGGTTAAAGAATTATTAAAAATAAAATTCTTTAAGATAGCTATAAATTTAATTGGCATTTTACTAGTGATAAGAAAGTAAACATAGATACAACTTTTTAAAATCAGTTTTATGAGTGTGAAATAAACACTTTGTTGACACTTAAAAAATCCCTGTTTTGGAAAAGTTTTTAATTCGAATCTTTGAAATTTCTTGACATTTCTGGAACACTATATTATATTTGAACCGGAGTTACTAAAGCTTAACACTTTCTCCTTACCTGATTTTTATTTAATCAAAAAAAAACTTTTCTGTTTTTATCACTTCAAATTGGTTTACTGGTTTTAAGATGGTATATATCACAAACCGCAAGCCATCCTTAAATCAATGTTAGAATCCAAGTTTCAATTATTTGAATAAGCAAATAAAGAATGTATCTGTATCTGGTTGCCACTTAATTGAGTATTAAAGAATCCACAATTCAGAATTTGATCGAGTTTCGTATGGCGCCGGAAAGCGTTTCACTTATTTCTGAGCGTTCGTCGAGCACGCCAGTGCCATTAAATAGCGAATCGGTTCTACGGTTCCGGGAGATCGTGGTGAATTGGAACCGGACAGAAGCTTTCGCATCCTCAGGTCGGACACCATTGTGGTGGAATCATGCCTCTGACGCTGCTAACGCTAATTGGTAACCGATCCCCTCCTACCCCGGCTGGGGAACTCTCGGTTTTAACGGATGACTTAGCAGGTCAACGGGCCAAGTTTACCACAAGCCCTAATGAATTGTCGCGTTCGATTAGCGGTTCAAATAGTTGAAACTTATTGCCGTTGTTAAATAAATGGATGAGCGACTAGGTAGTTGGATCCTTTGAAACACACGGCTTTCTTGCCAATTATAGTCTTTTTATATCTACTTGGATATTTTTTATTTAAAATATTAACATTAAAAACTTTATTTTTGGTATACTAATATTATTGACTTATGTTGATAAAAAGTGGATTAATATATATCATTTCATTTTATGAACTTGATATCTACTCTCTTAATGTTTTGATTTATTTATATGTGTATGTATGTACATACTTACATACATACATATGTATGTACAAGCAATTGTCGATAGGTTGGAAAAGTTTCTGTAGATAAGAGTTCGTAGGAAAAATAGTGTTCTTTGTTATATTTAAAAGAAAATATGTAAGAAAATTATAATTTTTTTGTGTGTTTCATATTCAGGTAGATATAAAAAAAGATTTGTTTGTTAAAATAATAAAAACCAAATTTGCACGTGATATAGGTGACGCCTAATTCGGTCTGATTGGAAATTTTTACGCGGCAAACGAAAAAGCAGCTGAAAGGTACATATGGATGTATATATGTATGTATGCATGAACATATGTTTTTGTTTAATAATCATTCCACCCCCCTGTAGAGTATTCTTGAGTTGAGGTGCTCTCACCCCTAAAATCTTTTGTTTTCATACGGGTCTACTAATTTAACTTTGTTTGAGCTTTTCATTGGCATTGCCGCGTGGAGTTTTGGCCATTGTTTATACGCAACTCAGCTGATTCAAAGTGATAGGTGCTATTCGCGTCGTGTGGCTGGGAGGTGGGTGCTAAACCGTGGCTAAAATTAGCCACCGCGTTTGATTGCATTTAACGCTAATTTTAGACACTTGTTGCATGCGTGTTCTTAAGGTTCCCTAACCCCCCACAGAACTCACCCATAGTACTCGGCGAACTCCTCCATTGTTGTCATTCGAATCGATTTGATTAAATTCAATTAATACTGTGCCGCTCATCAGTTTGCGTCCGCCTTCTGCTCTTCACATAACCGTTCTGCCGCAAACCATGTGTTTTGGTCTCTTGACTACCGGCCATAAAATCACATTTCCACGCAACACATTGCATCTGCCGTTCTCTCTCTGCCTCTCACAATTTTACACAGAAGTAGACATGAGGGGTCTAGCTTTGGTTCTCTTAAACAAAATGTACCAATATATTTATGTTTAAAAAATAGGATAGGTTAAGAAATATTTTGTCTTTAGATTAAAAACACATTATATGTAAATAGTTATTTTTTGATTCTATTAAATCTTTCCCCCATCTTACGCCCATGTCCGTCGCCTATTGGCCTTTTTCTGAGCGGGAGAGAAACCGGGTAGTCGACTTCTTCAAAACTCAGTGAACTAGATATGCTGACGATATTAATATACTCAACGAGGTGGACTGGCAGCCCTGCTTTCGCCGGTAAAAACTCAATACCCTCTCTCTTTGAGGTTCTCTTTGGGCCTTTGCTATTGTGCTTATTTCATAGCCACTTCAATTTCATCAGCCTTCGGATCAACCCTTAAATTTCTTAGACATTTTTTAAAGAAAAAATAAAGTTTTAAAATCCATGTTAATAAATTATATTTGTTTTTTATTTGGTAATTTCCACTTATGTACTTAAAAATAAAAAAAAAAGTTTGCTTAAGTTTTTAATTTGTTAGTAAAAAATATGTACATCTATAATAAATCCAAAGTTGCACCTAAATTGTATACCTTTGAAAATTAATTTATGATTTCAAAATTTCACAGAAATCACCAAATAGAAATTTATTATTTGTTTGCAATTAACGTCACATTTTCGTATGCTTATCAGTGGAGCAAAGATTCCACTGATTGAATGATTCATTGCCTCCTACATAGTCGTGTACATATGTACATATGTACATATGTATGCATCTAAACACATATAGACATACGTAAAGGAAATGACACATATGTTAAAATTTTCGGATTAAAGATTTACACGTGTCTACGTAAACATATGTAGGTATTCTTAAAACAGATTTATTCAAAGACATAATTAAACTTCTATATACATATATTAACATAAACTAACCGACTATGAGCTCAGTTCGATACCAATTGTTCAAAATAACAAAATAATTTCCCACAAACTAGTAAGACCTCATATTTGGAACAGCTTAGATAATCTAATTATTATTGCCGTAAATATCAGATACTCATTAGTATGTTAACCTACTCAATTTAGTTCAAAATGTGTTAGCATCAGAAAACACCATTAGAAATTTGTTTAGATATATTGCTTTAGTCACACTTGGTCATAATGAACCGAGTTTAACATAATAATCGAAACTAACTTCAACACAGTATGGTGATCAACTGAGTTAGTTCCAAAGTAAATATGAAGATGTGGAGTTGTCTCTGCATTGCAGCAGGATTGCTGCTTTTTTCAAGCCTAAGCATGGTCAATATGGCGCCTGAAACGGATTTTTGTCTTTTAAAAAATTGTCCAGCTGATAAAAAACTTCCACATATTGGATGTAATAATAAGGGGGTAAGCGAAAAAACTTAAAGCATTTAATTATGTATTAGAAAAGGATAACGTTAACGTTTGAATCTCTTAAGCTGGATTACCAGAAATGATTCAGCAAATCATAAAATTTCCTAATAAGAAATTGTTTTGACCCTTTCACTAGTAACTAGTAATATACATATATGTATGTTGTCATTTTAATTACAGAACTGGTCCTCACATTGCGGAACCGACCCTAAGATAATTTCCATTCCCAAGTTCATAAAGTTCTTCATCGTGAACTATCACAATACATATCGCGATCTTGTGGCGGGGAGCCAGTTCCACAGGCTACCCAATGCTGGACGCATGCTTAAAATGACTTGGGATCCCAATCTGGCTTATTTGGCTGAACTCCTGGTGAAACAATGTGATCTCAAACCCTCCGAACACTGCTGGTCCACGGAAAAGTATTCTTCTCCAGGATACCATGCGGTGTACAACAAGTTTAATGGAAACGAGGATACCTTCAGGGTAGTAAGATCCCAATTGAATTCCTGGTACGATCAATATAAACACGTCACAGCACCCAGCCTAATAGATGGATTATCCGGTAATGGGTAAGTCATGTTCTCAATTCGTATTTCGTGACACGAAGACCAAGTTTAATTTCATTTTTAGCAAAGAGATTGGACACTTTCTGAGAATGATGGTGGGCCCCAGCAACCGATTGGGTTGCGCCATGGCCAAGGTCGAGAAAGACGGGATGACTCAGAAATGGCTATCGTGCCTCTACAGCTGTTCGCCCCAGAAAAACACCTTGCTGTACGAGTATTCCTCCAAGCCCGGAATGTTGTGCAGCACCGGTGTTGATAGCAGGTTCCAACATCTTTGCAACAGCAAGGAGCCTGTCGAAAATTGCAAGCACTCCGAGTTATTCAAGCCAGTCCTGTCCAATGACACTGCATCGTTGATCAGAGGTATGATGAACAACAAACGAGCCAGGACATTTTGTAGTGGGCATTGTCCAGTGTGTTGCAAGTTGTGGGGTATGGTAAAGGAAAAGGTAGACCTTTGGAGTAAAATTGTAAGTCGCTTTACAGGTGGTTTTGGCAAAGGTGGAGGCGGAGGTGGTCCTCCAGGTGGTGGTGGAGGAGGTGGAGGTGGTGCAGGAGGAGGTGGTGCTGGAGGAGGAGGTGGTGGTGGTGGAAAAGGTGGTCCTCCAGGTGGTGGTGGTGGTGGTGGTGGTGGAAAAGGTGGTCCTCCAGGTGGACGTGGTGGAGGAGGTGGAGGAGGTGGTGGTGGTGATTATGAAGGTGAAGAGTGAAGTCTACGTGAGATAATTTTGGGAACTTTATTGTTTTATCCAAAATATAACTAAGCATTTATAAACATCTTACAATTGAAAAAATTATATTGGAGTTCCCATTTATTGCGATAACATTTAAATAAAATAAAATAAAAACATTGGAATGGAAAATAAGCTTCAACCGGCGGTAAAGAAAAAGACCAAGAAAGGCCTTGTAATCTTAAAATGTTAATAAATTGCGGAATAATATATAGATTTTAAAACATAATTCCAAACATTATAGCTCTTAATTCTCATTCATATGGACAGATGGCCTTGGCTAAATCGTCTCATCTATTGGTCCTGATCCAGAATGTATAAACGGGTTAGCTTTTGAAACGCTTCCTTTTACTTGTTACATACATTTCAGCGATTACAATATACGCTTTTACTCTTTCAGTAATATGTAATAATTAACAGAAAACACCATTAGAAATTTGTTTAGATATATTTCTTTAGTCACACTTGGTCATAATGAACCGAGTTTAACAAAATAATCGAAACTAAATTCAACACAGTATGGTGATCAACTGAGTTAGTTCCAAAGTAAATATGAAGATGTGGAGTTGTCTCTGCATTGCAGCAGGATTGCTGCTTTTTTCAAGCCTAAGCATGGTCAATATGGCGCCTGAAACGGATTTTTGTCTTTTAAAAAATTGTCCAGCTGATAAAAAACTTCCACATATTGGATGTAATAATAAGGGGGTAAGCGAAAAAACTTAAAGCATTTAATTATGTATTAGAAAAGGGATAACGATAAGGTTTGAATCTCTTAAGCTGGATTACCAGAAATGATTCAGCAAATCATAAAATTTCCTAATAACAAATTGTTTTGACCCTTTCACACATTCTATATGTCGTTTTGGATATTCTAGAAGAGTAACTAGTAATATACATATATGTTGTCATTTCAATTGCAGAACTGGTCCTCACATTGCGGAAAAGACCCAAAGATAATTTCCATTCCCAAGTTCATAAAGTTCTTCATCGTGAACTATCATAATACATATCGTGATCTTGTGGCCGGGAGCCAGTTCCACAGGCTACCCAATGCTGGACGCATGCTTAAAATGACTTGGGATCCCAATCTGGCTTATTTGGCTGAACTCCTGGTGAAACAATGTGATCTCAAACCCTCCGAACACTGCTGGTCCACGGAAAAGTATTCTTCTCCAGGATACCATGCGGTGTACAACAAGTTTAATGGAAACGAGGATACCTTCAGGGTAGTAAGATCCCAATTGAATTCCTGGTACGATCAATATAAACACGTCACAGCACCCAGCCTAATAGATGGATTATCCGGTAATGGGTAAGTCATGTTCTCAATTCGTATTTCGTGACACGAAGACCAAGTTTAATTTAATTTTTAGCAAAGAGATTGGACACTTTCTGAGAATGATGGTGGGCCCCAGCAACCGATTGGGTTGCGCCATGGCCGAGGTCGAGAAAGACGGGATGACTCAGAAATGGCTATCGTGCCTCTACAGCTGTTCGCCCCAGAAAAACACCTTGCTGTACGAGTATTCCTCCAAGCCCGGAATGTTGTGCAGCACCGGTGTTGATAGCAGGTTCCAACATCTTTGCAACAGCAAGGAGCCTGTCGAAAATTGCAAGCACTCCGAGTTATTCAAGCCAGTCCTGTCCAATGACACTGCATCGTTGATCAGGGGTATGATGAACAACAAAGGAGCCAGGACATTTTGTAGTGGGCATTGTCCAGTGTGTTGCAAGTTGTGGGGTATGGTAAAGGAAAAGGTAAAAGACGTTTGGGGTAAAATCGTAAGTCGCATTACAGGTAGTTTTGGCAAATGGGGAGGCGGAGGTGGTCCTCCAGGTGGTGGTGGAGGAGGTGGAGGTGGTGCAGGAGGAGGTGGTGCTGGAGGAGGGAGGTGGTCCTCCAGGTGGTGGTGGTGGTCCTCCAGGTGGTGGTGGTGGAGGGAGGTGGTGGTGGTGAAGGAGGTGGTGGTGGTGGAGGAGGTGGAGGTGGTGGAAGAGGTGGTCCTCCAGGTGGTGGTGGTGGTGACTATGAAGGTGAAGAGTGAAGTCTATGTGAGATAATTTTGGGAACTTTATTGTTTTATCCAAAATATAACTAAGCATTTATAATCATCTTACAATTGAAAAAATTATATTGGAGTTCCCATTTATTGCGATAACATTTAAATAAAATTTAAATTAAAAACACAACATTTAAGTAAAAACATTGGAGTGGAAAATAAGCTTGGCCAGTATGTCTTCAACTGGCGGTATCGAAAAAAACCAAGTAAGGCCTTATAATCTTATATTGTTAATAAATTGTGGAAAAATTTTTAGATTTTAAAACATAATTCCTAACATTCTAGCTCTTAATTCCGGGAATCTCATTCACGGACAGATGGCCTTGGCTTAATCGTCTCATCTATTGATCCTGATCCAGAATGTATAAACGGGTTAGCTTTTGAAACGCTTCCTTTTACTTGTTACATACATTTCAGCGATTACAACATACGCTTTTACTCTTTCAGTAATATGTAATAATTATTTAAGAATCCCAAAAGTATGCATTAAGAACTATTCATCAAAAGAGCTTAGTTAAGAGATTTAGCTCTCTTTCATTCGGTAACACCCACTCCAGAATCTGGTTTGATGTTAAATTAAAGGCGATATATACTAACTGGTAACTGGCTATTAAGTTTTTCAGCTCCTATTCAGTTGCTCTCCGCACTTCGAGTCCGGCGGATCAGAGATCAGAACACGGGATATATTAGCTCCGATCGCGAGTACCTGTGAGTGGAATTGGCATGCAAAAATCTAACTGATAAGCTCATTGTTATTTGGATTATTTTATTCTCTTTTGGCCACTGCGTTATTTACTTGTCTGTGACCAGAATAAAAGTGTGTGAACCCAATTAAATGATTCGGCAATAAAGGCAGCCGGATCATTAAATACGCTTTCGGTGTTTATCAATTGGCTTGGAGTGACAGTTGAAAACTATTAAACAAAACAAAATATATACTTGTTGAGATATAGGCAATAAATATATATAAAACTGTATAAGATAAATTAGTAATGAAAGCGATAATGAGTTGTCAAAACACACTATTTATCTTCTTATATATCATCACCCTTAACATTATTAAGTAATTCATTTATTATATTTGTTATTTTTGATTATTTTTAGAAAGACTAGATTGTTTTTAGCACCATAAACTGATAAATAACAATTGTTTTAACAAAAAACAATCATATTCCCAAACCGAATTCTCAGCGCTGTAGTGATCATAAAATATTTCCTACTTAACTAATTCCCAGACTTATCTCATTTGCATTTACTCGTAATTTTTGTGCTCATTATTTACGCCTAATTTGTTGAAAATATTTGCCGAAAAGCATATTGCCTTGTTGTTTGCATACAGCCTATCAGTAGTTTTATTTAATTTATTTTGTTTGTATCCCGGCTATCTGTTATTTAATTGATCATTAACGTATTAGCTAAGCTACAGAAATTTCCAAAAATTAACTACTAAAAACTCCATAAAATAGGTTAAATTGAAAGCAATTTTACTGCTAATATATCCGGAACGATCTGGCGAACTCATCCATCATTTAGCCACTGACTTGTCGCCCATTTGGTATGCAAATATATAAATCGTCAATTTGCACTAATTCCAAGTTGTTTGTTTTTTTGTTTTAGTAGTTTCCCACGTCTTCCTCACAATATTTGCGGCAATGTCAATTCATCTGGGTAAATTCAGCAGTTTTGCTCAGTTGTTAACTGTTGGATTGAGTTTATGTGTTGCCTTAAACGGGGTTATAACTGGCGCATCCGTAAAGCCCAATATCATCATTATAATGGCCGACGATCTGGTGAGTCTAATGTAATATTTATTAGTGCTATACAGCATATTGTATAATTTGCAAAAGGGTTTCAACGACGTAAGTTTTCGCGGCTCCAACAACTTTCTCACTCCCAATATTGATGCACTGGCGTACAGTGGTGTGATTCTGAATAATCTCTATGCCGCACCTATGTGTACTCCAAGTCGAGCAGCTTTACTAACTGGAAAGTATCCTATTAATACAGGTAAGTACGGTCTATAGAATACGTATTTCAGATAAGAAAGTAAAAAGTAGTATTATAACTACATATATTCAAACATATTGACTAAAGATTATCTTATAATTTTGCTTCAGGTATGCAGCATTATGTGATAGTGAACGATCAGCCTTGGGGTCTTCCACTGAATGAGACCACCATGGCAGAGGTTTTCCGGGGAAATGGCTACCGAACAAGTCTCCTGGGAAAATGGCATTTGGGAATGTCACAGCGTAACTTTACGCCCACTCAGCGGGGTTTCGATCGGCACTTAGGCTACCTTGGTGCCTATGTAGATTATTACACACAGAGCTATGAACAAAAGGTAAGAAACCTATTTTATTTTACGTGATAACATTCTACAAGATGAGCAAGTAGATAAGCCACCAAGAAGTAGGCAATGGTTTAGTAGAACAAAATTTAATTTCTTCAATAACGTATGTCTCTTCCGTCTAGAGTAAAGGCTACAACGGCCATGACTTTCGTGACAATCTCAAGTCCACCCACGATCAGGTGGGAAAGTACGTCACCGATGTACTGACCGATGCTGCCGTCCAGGAAATCGAGGATCACGGATCGAAAAATGAAAGCCAGCCACTCTTTCTGCTTCTGAATCACCTGGCTCCCCATGCTGCAAATGATGATGATCCCATGCAGGCACCAGCTGATGAATTAGCCCATTTCAGTTATATACAAAATGAGACACATCGTTACTATGCCGCAATGGTTTCGAGATTGGATAGAAGTGTAGGCCTGGTCATAGATGCCCTGGCTCGACAGGAAATGCTCCAAAACAGCATTGTGCTCTTCCTGTCTGATAATGGTGGGCCAACCGAAGGACAACACGCCACCACAGCCTCGAATTATCCATTAAGAGGGGTAAGTGGATATCTACAGCTATTAAGAATATTCTAATATAATAATATATTTCATTATAGCAAAAGAACTCACCCTGGGAGGGTGCCCTGCGATCCTCGGCTGCCATTTGGAGTACTGAGTTCGAGCGGCTGGGAAGTGTCTGGAAGCAACAGATCTATATAGGCGACCTTCTGCCTACATTGGCCGCAGCAGCTGGAATTACACTGGATCCGGGACTCCATCTAGACGGCCTGAATCTTTGGTCGGCTCTCAAGTATGGATACGAATCGGTGGAGAGGGAGATTGTCCACGTGATCGATGAGGACGTGGAGGAACCACATCTGTCCTATACACGTGGCAAGTGGAAGGTAATTAGTGGTACTACCAGTGGAGGAATTTACGATGGCTGGATGGGTGAAGGGATAACGGATGAGAATGATCCTCGCTACGAGTTCTACGAGGATGTCATCCGGAATACCAGTGTGTGGCAGCATTTGCAGGGGGTGTCAACCGGTCCGGGCAACATCACCGAACTGAGGGAGCAGGCCAGAATTGAGTGCCCGGATCCTGCGACAGGGATCAAAAGCTGCATGCCCCTCGAGGCACCCTGCCTTTTCGACATCGAGGCGGATCCCTGTGAACTGAGCAACCTGTATGAGGAGTATAAAAACTCAACCATCTTTCTGGATCTCTGGTCCCGAATCCAACAGTTTGCCAAACAGGCTCACCCTCCTAATAATAAACCAGCGGATCCGGAATGTGATCCAAGATTTTACCATAATGAGTGGACATGGTGGCAGGACGAGCAGGCCTCTGGTTCAGCGTCATTAGGACAGATGAAAGTTATAAACTTTTTCCCGATATGTATACTTGTATGTATCATCAGTCTTGTGATAACTATATGAGTAAGTGAAACAGCTTGAAAGAACAATCATATAACTAACACGTTTTCAATACCAGCAATAATACCTATTAGTTTCTAAGTAAACTATTATATTAATGTACTTACCCGCGTAAATTAAAGAATCTAATTAAGGAATGATAAGCAACGGCAATATCTTTATAATAATGATAACCTTTTGCTCTCCCTAGACTACTCACAGTGAATAGAGAGTTTGGAGAAAAGTAATTTAGATAATTAATAGCTTAAATTTGACCAAGCCGAAAACATTCCTGGGCAATGTCTAAACGGATCCAGTACCCAATAGGCAATTCACCCGATTATCTTATCGATCACTTCTGTGAAAACTGATAATTGCAAAACCCCCTCAAATCAATCAGTGAATGAAAACTCTGTCAATCAAAGGGGTTCACAAAGTATTTTACAGATCATAGGTAAAATATGAGGTATTATTTTTCGACATTGCAGGCAAAGTAAGATTTTGTGTCCGAGACACTTTTGTAATCAATATTTATCGTTTTTGTTGATTTATATAATATGCCTAATTAACACTAAGGAACTATAGACTAGCTCAGGCATAAATGTAAAATGTTAATAAAATGTTTGTAAGCTTTGTAACTTTGTTTCTTTAATTTAATTTCAATTAAATAAAGTACATTTTAAAAATAATGTCAATAATGCAATTATATTGCCATTTGTTGTTTTAAATATTTTTTTGGAATGATAGTTTCACTTTTGTTTGAAAATTAAATTTGTTATTTTTAGAGAACACACTTGACAATAAAATGAAAATGTATACCTATTCAAATCGATAAGATATTTGTGACTGCTTTAATAAATTAAATGCGTGTTGTAAATTTAGTAATTTATATAAATATAGAACTTAGTCAAGAGCTTTTGTAAGTGCGTTTTTTTTTTTTCTTAAAGATACATTTAAAAAAATTTTATTTATTATTGAGTTTATTAGTTCTACTTTAGCATTCCATTTAGCAGACTTATTTTCATATTCATATAAGTTAATTTAGAAACAATATACATTAAACAAGAAACGGCCCACAAAAGTATAGATTTGTGGAATCAAAGTATAGTAAATATAATCGAAACATTTTGCTATTTTCTTAAGGATTTGCTTAACCTTAAAAAAACGACGTGTCCTAATTTAATAGCTCTAACTGGGATAGATATTGTTGATAGTTATAATAATATTCGAGCTGATTGCGCTAATTCCCTTTTTAAGATTAAATTCAAATTCAAGATTAAATTCAAAATTATGTGCTTCCTACAAGGAATTCGATAGAATTTATATTGATTCCAATTTTTACTTTCATTTTATTTAAAACGTCGGTAAAGTCTCTTAGAATTAAAATTAACCTATCGTATGACTTTTCATTTAGTACCAAAGGCACACTTTTTTTAATAAATTAAGTTTTATTCATTTTTAATTTTAATTCCAAAGGTCCTTCATATTGTTCCTAGAGATCTTAATTTGAAATTAGTCGCAAATTAGTAGTAGTAGGTTCCATTGGCCTTGGGCTGAGCGACCAGGACTTCATATTTGTCGAACTTACGCAGGGCCAAGGTCTCGTGCTTGATGATGCAGAGCTTCTGGGAGCTAAGAAGAAGGGTGCCGATCAGAATTCCACCGTCGGTCTTGGCACGACAGCAGAAAACCCGCTCATTCTTGACGGTAGTGCCCACGGCGACGGCTCCCTTTTCATAGAATCCATCGTAGCTCCTCACCCACACGTAGTTAACATTGCGCTCGGCCACCAGGATGTCGTACACCAGGAGCTTCGAGGAGACGGTCTCGGTGTTGAAGTAGGCAGTACCAGTTTCAGCAACTACGCGAGCGGGCAGGATATCACGGATGTACTTTACACGGCCCACATAGGTGTTAAAGCCATAGGGATCAAAGCCACCCAAAACGGCATTTTCAGGAATCACATACGACAGGTTTCCAGCTTTCCACACGTGCTCAGTGTCTATGGGAATACCGAGTGTTACGTGGTTTCAGGTAATCCTTTTTGGTTTCAAATTCTTACCATAAGTCGTGGGAACTGCGCTGGCAACTGCGAACAGGGCCAAAACCAAACAGGCAACTTTGTACATCTTGACGGACAGTTTGATTCACTTTGAGTGCCTTGGCCAGCAACTTAACTGCTTTTATAGTTGCCTCCTTATCTCCCGACTTCAATTACACTTATCGTTATCAGAAGATTCGTATCAATGGCATCGATTTCGGTGACTAACATGGAGAGTGAGTTTTCGCATCGTAGTTTTATTGTACCCTCTAAAAATAACAGATATTCGAAGTGAAAAATCCCCCTCTTTTAGTTATTTCATAAGTTTGGTTTATTGTATAATCTTTTAGTCAGGCAAATATTAAAATGAATGCCTTTAACGGAAGAAATTGCAGCATTATTATAAAGTTACCAATTATTTACCCTTCATATATGAGAAAACCAATAAACAGTTTTATCATATTCAACATGACAAATCAATTAGGAAACAACAAAAATGTTTTTTTTATCGATATGTATGTATTTTATTCGCAAGCTTATAACGAACTACAAAATATATAGCAAAAACGAAGCACATTTACACTTTCTGGACAGGATCATACATACATACTTCCTGTTACACATACAAATCGCAGATCCTAAGGTACCTTTGTGTGTAATAAAACCCCATTAAACCCCTTCTGACCGGAATGAAGGTGTTACTTTCCATTTTCAGAGCAGCAAGAGCGTTCACCAACTCAGCAGCTCCTTACTCCCAGGATGGATTTGACTTTTAACTGACATCACAATACCGGTTTATGGTTTTTTTTATTTCTGGCGTAGTTCTTATTGTAAATTATTTTCAAGAGATTAGATAAATCGTCATATTTCAAAAGGACTGAATTTTAATTGGTGTTATTGGTAACTTAAAAAAAAAACATTTTTTGGAAATCAGAGACAAAATGCAAAACAATTCCTTAAATTAAATTTAATAAACGTAAACCTTTTTATTAATCTTTTACTTGCATAATAAAATTGTATAATAATAGATATAAATAACATAGTTAGGAAAATGTATATTTAAATAAATTAACTATAAAAAACATAGGGCGAGTATTTCCAACACAAGCTTGCTCGTTTAGATGATAGCATGTGTTAATAAATAGTAAACGACCATGCCCATACATTATTATTTTCCCATAAGTCAGGGAAGCAGCTTTATTTCCTAGAAAAGTGATAGTGCCAAAAATTTAGTTTAGTTTGTTCCCAATTAAATGTTTTTGCCAAAGAAAGTTTTTCGTTCAATAAATATTTATTTTATAAGTGCCCGATGTAATCATCTACATAAGGAGAAAATGGATCCACATGACGTTCCCGAACGAGGATTTCGTATTTGTCGAACTGGCGGAGCGGTAGGTTCACGTACTTGACGATGCACACTCGCTTAGCCAGGTAGAGGGTTCCAATGAAGACAGCATCATCGCACCGGACACGACAGATGAAGACACGATCGTTGGTGGCGTTGGTTCCCACGGAAACGGCATTCTTCTCCCGGTAGCCGTCGAAACTGCGTTTCCAGTGGTAGCTGACAGTGGCGTTGGATACCAGGACCTCGAAGGTTGTGGCATCGTTACCCAAAGTGTCCGTGTTGTAGGTGGCCTTTCCCAGTTCAGGAACCACTCGGGCGGGCAGAATACTACTGGTGTATACCACGCGTCCCACGTAGTTGTAGTAACCATCAGAGTCGATGCCACCCAGAACAGCTTCGTCGGGCAGATCCATAGTCTTGTCCATGATCACCCACTTGTCATCCGTGATAATATTTCAAGGGGTAACTCAAGTGATAAGATTGTTGGTTTCTTTTCTGAAATGATAATTAACACTTGAATGTTTCGCCTTAGTTACTTGCTTGATTTTGTGGGTGTTCGTGGAACCCCCGCATTGGAAGTCCCCTAAAAATGGTGTGCAAGCAGATCATAATACCTTTTTTATACCCGTTACTCGTAGAGTAATAGGGTATACTAGATTCGTTGAAAAGTATGTAACAGATAGAAGGAAGCGTTTTCGACCCTATAAAGTATATATATTCTTGATCAGGATCAATAGCGAAGTCGACCGTCGGACCGTCCGTCCGTATGAACGCTGAGATCTCAGGAACTATAGCAGATACAAAGTTGAGATTAAGCATGAAGATTCTTGAAGTCCAGGGACAGCGGAAGTTTATTTCAGCATCCTGCCACGCCCACTCTAACGCCCACAAATCGTGAAAAACTAAAATCACTTTCCACGAGTTCTTATCCGGCCACGCCCACTCTAACGCCTAAAAAGCGCGGAACACTGTGGCGTGTATAATAATATTATGAATGCCTTCGTTTGACGTATAACTTATTTCTGTTTATATCTATCGATTTACCAAAGATTTTTCAAATCGGAACATTATTTGCTACTTATGAAGAAATTTAGGTTATAAGGCCTCACATGGGCAGTGACGTCCCTATCAGTTACTCGACATGCTTTCTCCGACAATAGGTGGCGCTTGGGTAATTTCCACTAGCAAAATGATTATTTTAAAATTGTGTAAAACAGTAACGGGTATCTTATAGTCGCGGCACTCGACTATAGCGTTTCCTTTTGTTTTAAAATGTATAAACAAACATGATTAATAATTGAATACGATAGGGCTTTTAATGGGATTATTAAAGCAATCGAAGAGTAGTACATAAAGTATTTGATAAAACGTATGAAAGATATACATTCTTTAATAAGTTTAATAGGCGAGTATATGTTTTATTTTTGAAAACAGTTTTGAAGTATTTGGATATAGGAACCTCGATATAAAAAACAAAAAAACCTATAACTTTATTTTTACCGGAAAATAAAGCGAGTTCTAATAAAATTAGCCTCGTGTATTGTCAAACCTCCCAAACTTGGCACAAAAATCGGCAAGGTCAAAGTAGTACGAAATCTTATGCTAGAATACTAATTAGTTAAATAAGAGCACAGAAAACCCGTTTATGGTGTATCAACTTAGTCCCCTTATCGAAGAACAAGCTATAGTAACCCTGATCTTAGTCAACAAAGTATAGTTTAACTTAAAAACACTTATAATTTCGTGTATATCCCGCTCTTTTCCCTTTAAAAGTTCGTTAAACTTAATAATACGCTTTGCTTTTCTTTGTTTATCTGTGTTTGCAAAACCACGCTTTGCTTTTGCTTTTATAGCAGTGTGTTTGCGCTTTTGTACGATTATTGTTGTGGCTTTTTTATAGCAAGCATACTGACTTTGCACGACGGTTTTTCGCGCACGTTTTGTGACGTCATAGACGTCGGAGTCGGCAAAAACGTTGTCACTTTAAAAGCCCCAAGATCCAGCGGAGCGTTTAGTCGAGTGGAGAAGCCGCTGGGAGAAGGATCACCAACGATCTCCCTTCATAGCTAATAACCTTTAGCGGATTCCGGAGAAACAGTTAAGTATTTAGTATTATTTTGAAAGTGAAACACAATTCAAAGTTATAGTTAAAAGGAATGCGTGAAACATTAAAATATTTATTTTTTGTTTTGTGGAAACAAAGAGACTAAAGAATTAGAGTGCAAAAACTTCTGATCTAAAGTTTCCCAGAATTCTGGACTTACATTTCTATCTAATACGCCTAAAATACTAAAAGGAATTTCAATATTAATATTAAGACCTTCGAATCAAACTAATTAGTGAATAACATACCGTATGCGAAAAGTAGTCAAGTTTTGAGTTCTGAACCTGTTTGTTGATTCGCTAATCACATCTTTATCTGAATTAAAAAAGGCTGTGCTTTTATAAAGTCATAATAAAGAGAGCAACTTTTTGAAGTGAAATTAATACTTGAGAGTATGCAGTACTTTATGACTGAAAAGATTCAGTAAAGTCGAAACGATTGCGATCACTTCAATGAAGTACATCTAGGAAATGGTAAATAAATCGAAATTAAGTTTATAAACTATGGAATACATATTTAAATAACATTTTGAACATATTTACAAACCATAACTGGCTTCAATGTTTATTTTATCAAGAACGTATATTAAAAGATACAGATCGGAAGTATCTTAAATCTAACTAATTTGCCCGGGTAACTTGTTTTCTCTTTAATAACATTTCCACAAGAAGTATACTTTTGTAATCCCACGATTAAATGTTGCCATATTGCCTTTGTTGGCCAACAACAGTTCAGTGTGGTTAAACTTAGTATTGAAATTGATGGTCCTCCAAATGTCTTAGCTTTCCTAAAAAAGATTCATTTTTTAAATCTTGAAACAAACTAGTTTTGATTGGACTAGTAAGTGTTTAAAATCCGGGCTTTACCCTCAAGAACCTTTCCATTAATGCATGATGAACTGGATATTGATTACATCAGATGTTTATTATCAAGGTCTCGATATTAACAAGCTGTGAAGGTCAACTGTGACCGACCGCTGGGCGTTCCCATTCTCAGTCACAATCCACGTGTCGTGACTAAATTTCCATCCCATTCGCACGACACTTTTATTTCCACCCAAATTATGTATCTTAGTTTAAACTCTACTAAAATGCTTAAGACAATTGCACAGTTCATAGATTTTATGGTTTGTCCGGCTTATCTGCCTCGATTTCATTATTGCCAGGTTTTTTATGACCTATTGCGACAATTAAACCTCTGTTTTAGCCAAGATAAAAAGAAATTACACTCCTCACAGCGAAGGTAAGCCCAAGTACAAGTGTGCAAGCGTTCACTTGTTTTTCGTTTTATATAATGTCTTAACAATTGTTGCTAAAAAGCCACAAAATAAAACGACAACACTTGCTACAATGGTTGAATGAACTTTTCGGCCACATGGCACAGTGGGCAATGGGATAGGTCAGGAGGAAAGAAGCAGTTGGGGGGCAGCACCTGTGGTAGATGGCCGATTGTACAATTGCCAATTATGGCGAAGAAAATTCGGCAGATACTGCTTAGTTTGCAATAATACAATTTAATCGGCTGCATGGCGGGATTTCAACATAGTACTAAAGGCAAACAGGATTTAAACAATAAAGTGTATACATTAAAGCTCAAATTGTCAATGGAAATGTCTGCCGAATGGGAGTTTAAAACAGGATTCATTTTAATATTGCTAAGTTTTATTTTTAGACTCTTTCGAGACACTTTTTATTTCCTATCCTATCTCTAGACATAATGAGTAACATCAAACTAGGTTTGGCTTGATAATGATTCCAGAAATTTGAATAAAAAAAAAAAGATTTTAGAAGTTTGAGTGTTTTATTCAGTTTTATGTCTAAGCTAACAATCCGTATGAATATTTTATACAATTTAATAATGAAAAATATTTATAATTTGAATATACTTTAGGCTCTGGACTTCTAAGTTCTCAATTTATTCACAATGTCAGGAAAAATCCACCGTCTGCTGGTAGTGAGTGCCATACTCAGTCTGGCAAATGGATCTGGATATTCCGAAAAGCCAAACATAGTCATAATACTGATAGATGATATGGTAAGTTGTTATTTTCAAGAACTAATTACTTTGTTGATAAATCTATTAAACATGAATCCCTCCTAAATATTCAGGGAATGAACGATGTGAGTTTTCATGGTTCTAATCAGATCCTCACGCCTAACATTGATGCTCTGGCCTACAATGGCATCCTGCTAAATAAGCATTACGTTCCAAACTTGTGTACACCATCCAGGGCCACTTTGCTAACTGGAAAATATCCCATACATACAGGTAATATGTAGGTTACTCCCCAAAAAGGATTACTTTTAACTCTTTTTATTAATTAATTCAGGAATGCAACACTTTGTGATTATAACCGATGAGCCGTGGAGTCTTCCTCAGCGGGAGCGTCTGATGCCGGAACTTTTCCGAGATGCTGGGTATTCAACCCATTTGGTGGGAAAGTGGCACTTGGGCTTCTGGCGCAAGGATCTTACGCCTACGATGCGAGGATTCGATCATCATTTTGGCTATTACAATGGATACATTGACTACTACGACCATGAGGTGCGAATGCTGGACAGAAACTATTCAGCCGGACTGGATTTCCGGCGGGATCTGGAACCCTGTCCCGAGGCAAATGGAACATATGCCACGGAAGCCTTTACTTCGGAAGCAAAAAGGATAATTGAGGAGCACGATAAGACCAAGCCGCTGTTCATGGTGCTCAGTCATTTGGCAGTGCATACTGGAAACGAGGACAATCCCATGCAGGCTCCTGAGGAGGAGGTGGCCAAACATGCTCACATCAAGGATCCTAAGCGACGCACTTATGCTGGTGAGTTTTTCTAGAATTTTCTTTCTGGCTTTTATTAACTTTTGTTTCTTAATAACAGGAATGATTTCTAGTCTGGATAAGAGTGTTGCCCAGACTATTGCAGCTCTGAAGGAAAATGGAATGCTGAATAATAGCATTATTTTGCTCTACTCAGACAATGGAGCACCCACTTTGGGCATTCATTCTAATGCAGGCTCTAATTATCCTTATAGAGGGGTGAGTAATTTAAATTAAAGTTTATTTTTAAAATCGAATATTAATAATTTATTTAACCAACAGCAAAAGGAATCACCTTGGGAGGGTGGCATTCGTTCCGCTGGAGTTTTATGGAGTCCTCTGCTCAAGGAGCAAGGATACGTATCGAATCAGGCGATCCATGCCATAGATTGGCTACCCACACTGGCAGGGGCTGCCGGCGTGTCCTTGCCGCAGGATCTTCAGCTGGATGGTCTTAACCTCTGGCCTTCGCTGAGCGGCAAAGAGGAACCAAAGCCCAGAACGATGATTCATGTTCTGGACGAAGTCTTCGGTTATTCATCGTACATGAGGGATTCTCTTAAGTATGTTAACGGAAGCAGTTTCGAAGGACAATACGATCATTGGTTGGGTGAACTGGAAGCAAACGAAGACGATCCCTTGAGTGGGAACTACGGACAGCATGTACTGGCATCGGAAGTTCAACGCATTTTGGGAAATCAGGGATTGACCGAGGATCGCATCCTGGAGATGCGAAACGAAGCCACAGAGGTGTGTCCATCAATTGAAGGACAAAATCCTCTTGATCCACAATTCAAGTGTGAGCCCCTTAAAGGCGACTGCTTTTTCGATTTGGCAACAGATCCTTGTGAAAGATACAATTTAGCCCAACTCTATCCACTCCAATTGAAGGAACTTGCTGATGAGGTGGAACAAATCCGCCGAACCGCGATTCCTAGCGCACGAGTTGCCAAATCCGATAAAAGGGCTGATCCGGCCTATCACAACGGAAATTGGGAGTGGTGGAACAATACGGAAACCGATTCAAGTTCGGGTACATGTTCCGCTAACTTATGGGTGATCATGGGAAGTATTATAGGCTTAACTTATCAATATTGTTTATAGTGGTATGTTCTGAATAGTGTAATTATAAAAATAACAATTGAAATTCAATTATATAAAATAATATTAAATATAAATCATATTTTGATTCTTATGTATTTTGTAAGGCAGGTTCCACGTAGTGACGAATAGAACATTAAATTTTATAACAGAAATAATGAATGTTGAAGGTGCTATCGACACGACTTTCTTACTTGTTTCGGATGTTTTTTTTACGTAACTTTGCTTCAATTATTATCATCCATATAAGCTGATAATAAATATAGTAAACAACTTTCGCATAAGAAGTAATAAACGTACTGGACTGAAAGCACTGACCTATATAGTTTCTCTTACTCGATCTTGTTCATCATCTTATTTTATAAAGCGCTGCCATACTTTTAAATATGAAAAATAAAGAGAGCCAAAAAGTAGGCAACACGGTTTTAGCTTGTAGGGGTCCACAAATATCTAAGTACTCAAGAAGATATTTCTTGCATCTTGCATATAACATAAAATAATATAACATAAAAAAGAACAAAATAAACTATTGTTAAACTCACGAAAGTCGTTTTAAACTAATTTTATTAGAAACAACAATGGACAGACATCTAAATTCTCTATAAACAGTTGAAAAGATTCACTTAAAATAGGCAACTGCATTGGGTTATTGATTGAAGGGGCTTAGGACTAAATTTACAGAATTACATAAAAAATAATACAAAATTATGCAACATATAATAACAATACAATCCAGTTACTCGCTCTTGAATACTCTCTAGTTATGCGTATTTAAACACTTATATCTGTACATACGTAATACAAACGGATAATACTCTTAATATATATAACTCCAGTGGAAGTACTCTTAAAAATGGGTTTCTTCCGGACCCCTGGTAGCTGTTTTTCCTGCGTGGCCATGGAGTTCTCCTTCTCTTTGGCGCTATTCGATCATATTGAACAGTAGGCAGGAGAATATCATACCAAAGATCTAAAAAATTAAAGTTGTTTTAGTCTCAATTCAACATCATTTAACATTAAGTATTTGTGGCAATAGGATCATAAATTATCTAATTAACATTTTAAGTGGGATATTATTTACCATCAGAATAGCCACCGCTATGGAGGTGCCTCCTATAACTGCCGCATGATCCCTGATGAAGTTTGTCGTCACATAGAGACAGCCTTGGTTATACAGATTCGTGATGGTTGGGAAGATGGTGCACTCCTTACGTTGGCCCCCAAAGAGCTCCTGGCAGCAGGATTCGGGCACTGGTCCGTACCTGTTCCAATCGTGCCACGTGTCAACTCCGCAACACTGCAGACGCTCCTGGGTCAAATCCCAGGCCTGGGTGATCTCCCTTCTGCTGCCATACAAAGCCATGGTGGATCGCATTTCCTGATAAAGGTAGGTTAAATGATGTGGCTCATATTTATCAATGGATTTGCCTCACCTGCCGCATGGTCTGCTGGACTCGTTCGCGGAACACGTAACCCAAGACGCCGCCAATTAGCATGGTGACGAAAACTAAAGCCACTATTATGAAATACTAAAAAGGGGAAAACGAGTTAAGGTATTGTTAAATGGTACTTGCATCATAGTCGAGCAGAACTTAATAATTACTTTATAAATTGTTACCACTAATATGTACTTACCGTAAGTAAAAGGCATTTGACCTCCTTTCCAGCACCTACACAACCCAAAAAGGACACCAGGCAGATGATGATCGATGTAACCAGCAGAACATAAACAGCTCCTGAGAAAAGATTTGTACCGAGCAACTCATTGACGAAACTGCGGTCCACCAGAGTCCATAGAGTAAGACAAAAGACAATGGCTCCACCAACCTAATTTTAATTTAAAATTAATTACTTATTCCAATTGTATTAGCCAAATACTTACAAATATCACAAAGTTAGCTATGAAAAGGCTGTACTTGACGAACTGCCCGCAGCAGTCCATTCGCGAACTGAAGCCCATATCGTCTTCCTTTTGATAAACAATAAGTTAATTTAATTCGATTGGGAAAACAAACTTTAAATTGTTTACTTTTGTTTAAAGGTGACAAGTCCAAGGGAGTATGATGAAAGGAGGATGATGCAAAGGATTGGGAATAGGAAATGATGCTGAGGCTCTGGATGACGTGGTAACTCTATATGATTAAAAAAGGAATGGCTTTAGAGTTAGTTAATACATTTTAACAAATTCTTAATTACTTAAATTATTTATTTATATATACTAAAGAAAGATATTTAGTTTAGTTTCTAAACATTTTTCAAAAAAATAATCCTTTCAATGTGAACTAAAAATAATAATCTGAAGCTGATGAACAAACTATTTTATAAGAACAGAAAAGAGCCTTTTATTATTATAATTTAAATAAAAGAATTTTCCAGGAATTTTAAAATATTTCATTATTTAATTGCTATACTCAACTAATTATTTTATATCTAATAGATCGACAATTTTCCAGCTGTAAAATCGAGAGTGAAGATTGGTGAGAGGTGCGCAAGCGCAGATGTGGTCTCGGCCGACTGTTTTGCTGTTTCTAAGCCGGGTCCGAACCGCGAAGCGACCGAAGTACACTTAACCATGACCCACTTTTGGCAACAGCGCCGCCGCAGCCGTGCTGCCAACGCAATGCGCCTAGACAAGCGTTCATTATCGGCGGTTGCTGTTAACGTTTTGTGGATTTTGTCAGTTACGGCTCTTAAAAAGCGTCTTTGGTTACTTACGGGGTATTATGCTCACTTCAAGGGTTCGCTGCGTACCGATTCCGAGACGAATTCCCAGCTGAAGTTGGAGCAATCAAAACAAATAAATCAAAGTAATAGCCTGACCGAAAAATTGCTAGCTAATTGCAGGGGTTTATTTTTTACAAGTGCCGCCCCATCCCCGAAACTCTGATTCATCTTAGCTGCGACTGCGATGTTCTAAATGCTAATTAAAAGTAATTGCAGGCTGAGCAATCGGTTCCCCCTCATCCTAGTTGGGATAAACGACATCTCATTTCGAGCATTATTCCAACCAAATTCAAATAAGTTAAGCCGCAGTAGAGTTCGCCAGGTAATTGTCGGGGCCATTAAAAAATGTTCTCACACTGTCTGAATATATTCACTATTTTTCATTCGGCTTTATCATGTTGGGGGAATCGTGCCTGAGATGACAGTAAGTCATCTGAAAGTCACTATTAATGATGGGGCGTTGGCGGAGGGGCTATATTACTATATCTGATTCTACCTGAAAGCTGGAACCAATTAGGTTTATTGTAATTGTTAAGCTGTACGTGCTACACATCATAATGGATCACTTTTAACTTGGATTCTAAGTTCTCTTACTTATGGAAAACTTAGAATATTAGTGGAGAATATTTTAAAAAAGATATTCTGCTACTTTCCTTAACTTACGGTTCTAAAACATATAATTTCCTATTTTTTGCAGATTATAGTTAGCTTAAAGATCAACTGATCTTTTACTGATCTTTTGTCTTAACTTAACTAAACAAAATGTTCTTAATAAAATGACAGCTCGCATTAATTCCAGTATCGATTTGATAATAATTCTTATTTATTTATACAAACAAATTTACATTTCATTTAAAATCAAAACCAATGCTGAACAATTTAATTCTTATACTTTTCAGTTTGTATAAATTTATAATCCATGTGAAAAAAGTTTAAGGGGAATTGTTCCTATTTGATGAAACAGTTTTTTGTGTTCCTTGAATGGAGAAAACTCCTTACAATCCGCACCTCATTTAAGGTTATATGATGTAACACTACCTTATTAGAGTGTAATATTAATTAATAAACAAATTTACTTACAAGCTTGCCGTCGCGTAGCACAAACGAAGTTTTCGTTAGGTAACCAATTTTGGCGGTTTTCTTTTCTCAGCGTTAGTCTATGTAAAGTGCCTCAAAGTTGTTGTTTTGCAAAAACACAAAGCAAAACTAGCCAACACGAAAGAAACAACTACTATTTTAAGTTGCACTTGAATGCACAGAAACTCTAAGAGTGGGAATTTGTTATGGACAAAGGCGTGGTGGCTATAAAAAAAAGAAGGAAATAATTGTAGACAATTTTAGTTTTAGTTGGTATAAAATAATAGGAAAGTATTTTCGCTTGACATTTGTTTATGTTTAAATGTTTTTGTTTACTATGTTTAGGTGTTTAAGTGTGAAAATCAATTTTATTTTTCATTGATCATTTTACTTAAGCATTTATTTTAACTTTCGAATGTTTCTCAATAAAATATTCAAATATTATCCACCACATTTATCAACTCATTTTATAACTTTTTGTTTTGCTTTTCTGTTGATCTTTGCTTATTCGTTTTATTTCATTCAGATCGCAAGAGGCTGCGAAGTTTACGTAGATAACAATTTATGCAATATTCGTTAATATTTACTCTCGATTTTTTATTAAACTTTTTTTATTTAATACAGGTTTCTTGCATTGGTTTTGAGCGTCACTCGCAGTTGATAATTGTTATTGAGTTTTTTACTCGATTGTTGCTGTTGTTGTTATTGTCAATTGCAGTTCTCCCATGGCAAACAACTTTTTTTTTTGCCGTCTTGCTTTTAACATTTGCTTTTGCAGTTACGTCACAGATGCCAAGGTATCATTATCCTTAGCTGGTAGTTATCACTATAGGTATTATCAGGATAAAATTAGGAGTTCAAACTATATATATTTTTCACTCGATGTCTTTTGAACATCGTTTCAAGAGCTCGCCTTACAGAGAATGAGTGGATCGGAGGGATATAATACCATATAGTACTTTATATATGCGGGACGGAGGCGACGTCTCTACCGCTCGAGAGCTCGCTTGAAACTGGTTGTGGGAACAGTCGGTGCGATCGGTTTTTTATTAGTTTCGCTCACAAAGAGCTTGGTTGTTGGTATTTTTTTCTGGTCTTGGCTCTCGAAATTACACCAAATCCGACTTGAGCCTCCGATTTTTGGCGGCGGGGAACTGCTCGCTTACAAACCGCAAACACTTCTGAATGTTTTCGTACTTCTCTTTTATTTATTCATCTATTTTTCAGTTATTGTTTTGTTTTTTGTTGTTGAAGAGACTTTGCCGACTCCGCATGTGAAAATGCGTTGAGCAAACAAAATGTGTTCCGTCTACAGCCAGCACCTTTGTTTCATTTTGGGCAATTGCAAAAATCAAATATTGATGGGCAAGCGAATTTTGATATTTGCTTTAGTTTTCGGTCTGCTCGTGGACTGCGGATCATTGACTTTTGGTAGACCAGGAGGTAAGAAGGATTTACGAGAATTATTTATTTTTTTTTAGTATTTCAGCTATTTAACATAAGAATAATTGATTATTGCAAAAATACTACTACTACTTGAACTACGGATATTGGAGTCTTGAACTACTGATATTGGAGTCTAGTCTAAACAGATCAGTTATACTACATACGCACATAAATATATAGTATATAATATATGCATTCATACCATGTTCTTGTTCAGAATATACAGCTTTGCCGATTTTGAAAGCTATTAAAACTTACGGCCATACTTAAGTTCCGTCAAAGTTTTCTTTCTGAAAATAAAACATATTCTAAGACACATCTTTAATTGATCTTAGGTCATTGTTCTTGTATTTGTTTTCTGTTTTTAACAGAAGTTTCTAACACATGTCCAACTATACCTTTCCTAAAACAAATTATGTAGAATGCCGAACGAATGCCAATGCCAAATCACTATCATCTTAAATCATACATCCATTAGTTAATCAGCAGATATTGAAAAGAATTAAAAATGATTTAATTTTTTCTTTAAGTTTCGGTTTAAGCAGAACCCTAAAAGTTAGTTCTTTCTTAACGTTGTATTACGATTAATATTGCCTCTGTTTATCACTTTCAGTGGCTGCATCAGAGGGCAACCTTCGGCAATTAACAGCTCAATTTTGTTGTTAGCCTAACAAATAGTTTTGGCTGAGCTGAGTAATTTCGTAAGCAATTTCCAAGCTAAGGTCAGAGAGTTGGCTGCCGATACACAAATATCTCCACCTGCCCCAAGAAATCGAGGGGAGCTTCACTTGCACTCGGCACAGCACTGTTGAAAAGCGCTCAAATTGTTGGCTTGTTTAGCACTTTTATGGCCGTGTTAACAACAACCGCCCTCCGCCGACCCCGTAATTTCCCACACGTATGGAAGTTGCAAGGCAGAAATAACGTAGAAATAAATAAAAAAAAATATGAAAAACAATTACTCTGCCTGTTGACTTTGCATCTTATACACTCGCTGTGGGAACCTTTTGCGTTTTATAGATGCCATAAAATCAATTTCCACGTGATATAATATATTGCACAAAAATCGAAACTGGCAACTGAAGTTGTGTGTGATTCCTTCTCAAGGGGCCAAGGCATCATTAATACTATGGGGAATTCTTAATTCGATTTTAAGCAAGTCAATTTCAAATAGGAAAATATGTATACTTACCGAGATCCGATTAGTTGAAAGCCTCGTTGAGCTTTCTGAAGGTGACAAGCGTCAGAAGCGTTAAATTGTAGCACTTAAAATGATTGAAATGAGTCAAAGATGGGGACTACAGTAAAATATATAATTAAAATTGAAACAACATAATTAACACATCAAAATACTTAAGTGTAGAATGTAAATTTGTGTGAAACATTAGAAGATTTCTACTTATTTTATAAAAATAAAAATAATAATAAATATCACACAAAAGCTGATCAGAGACTCATTCGCCATTATAAATTCTAAAACTTGACTCATGCCCTCTCCACTTTCTGATCTCTAGATCAAAGTTAACTTAATCAATAATTAATTTACATATTCCATTAATAAATTAATGAATCTATGGGAATGCATTGTGCTCTTGAATAATTCATTAAGAAAGTTGAAAGGTTACACAGAGTTAATTATATAGAATTTATATAAAATACAAAAATTCTTAACTGTAATATAAACCTTAAAAATAAATTTCTGTTTCCACGCAAAATCACCTTCAAAAAATTTGAACTTGAGGACTTGGCATTCATTTTAGTGGACAACCACAAAACGCAACCGACTCTCAGATCTTGACCAACTCAAGTCGTGTAATTTTTCCCATGTGCCACACAAATCCAAACAAACTCCAAGTGCATTCTGTGGCCTCGTCCAGAAGCCATTTAATGGCTAATCAGTCGGAACAATTGTATTCCCTTTTGGCCGCCGCTCAAGCCATATTCCATATACTCCGCCCACGAAAACGCACAAATATTGGGCAAACAAACTGCCGAAAAGTACATCTGAGTTTAGTCATGTGCCCGCTAATTGCTCGGTGTCAGCTCCAGCGATTGTACGTGGCGATGTGTCAGCCAAATGCTGGATATTCTGCCTTTCGACCAGGTCGGGTATTTCCGTTCGAAGTGCCAAGTATCTCTAGATTTCTGAAATATATATAGTTAGAGTTCAGACCTAAAATCTGATACTATTCGGTAATAAACGTTTGGTTGCATATTCTAGATCATTTTCAAGAGTTGTATAAACTAATAAAATATAATAAATGATAAGCTCGTTTCCTTGTTTCTTTGCAAATCCAATCCTTTGGAGGCGGTTTGGATTGTGAACCATTAACCTAATATAATAAATATATCATTTCAGAAAACTCTGAAAAAGCAACTGTTTTAGGAAACTATGTTTGTAAAACAGATTACGTGAACGCCTTAGGCATTCATTTTGGGATTAAAAATAATCATTTAGAGAATATTTTAGTGAGGTACCAATAAATAAAGTGCATCCACCACAAAATACTCCAAAATGCGAATACATCACTGAAAATGTCTTTTTACTCGTAAAGTAAATGGTATATTAGATTCGTTGAAAAGTATGTAACACGTATGAGAAAGCGATTACAAAGTATCTTCATAAGGATGTATGAACGTTGAGATCTCAGGTATCAGGTGGTAAAAGGTTGAGATTAGGCATGATGAAGGCCCAAGATTATCTCAGCTTCCTTATTATGAACGCCTTCGTTTGACCTTTTATAACATTTTTTGTCAATAGCTATCGATTTACCAAAGATTTTTTAAATCGGAACATTATTTCTTTATATATTAAGAAATATAGGTTATAAGGCCTCACATGCAGAGTGACGTTACTATCAGTTACTCAACATGTTTTTTCTGACAAAAGGTGGCACTTAGTGAATTTCCACAAGCAAAATTATTATTTTAAATTTGTATAAAACATTACCTGGTATCTTATAGTCGCCGCACTCGACTATAGCGTTTCTTCTTGTTAGAAATGAATTCGTAAGCAAGCTATTCCAGTCAATATGAGGATGCTTTCCAGCCATGTTTGGATAAAATATACCAAATATTTCGATTCGTATACACATATACTTGATAAAAAAAAGCCTATAAAATAAAATAGATCAAAGCTCCATTATGTGCAAAAACCAATATATGACAGGTAGATCAATGGCTAATGTTATATTAAACCAACTTTATGGATATTCCATTTATATGTACAATGTATTGTCATAAAATCTAACTTCTCATTTAAGTCTGCTAAATGTTTATGCATAGGCAACTCTCTTAAAAAATACCGAAAATGTGTACAGCATACTGAAAGCTTTCTGTAACAAGCCCGAAGATATGCTATAGAAATTGGACAACATTTTAAGCCAACAAGTAATAACCCGAATAAGCATGGACAATAATCAAAATTTCAACAAATTCAGTTTAATGTTTATGTACAGTTTATACATCTCCATACATATTAATCCTAATAACTAATTGTGTGTGTTTGAATTGTTCATTTTGGTACAAATTGCACTAAATCAATGCGACTCTTTGATCGCTTGAAGTTCTTCGGTTGCCTTGACTGGTGGGCTGTGTATGCTTTAAGTACAAAAATCAATATTTTTTGGAGGCACTTAAACAAACTTAGCCTATTCTGCTTGATTGTAGACGGCGACATTGTTTCTATTCAGTTTAAAATAAGTCTTAGCAACTAGGAAGAGGGTTTTGGTGCTACGATTCACAAGCTATCACTTGGACATATCACAAAACTGGGTTTAACTCCACCTCCGCCTTGTCAGGGGAAAGAGGAGCAGTATCAGGATCACCCTCTCACGCCGTTCGACAGGCATTTGCATATTCCACACAATCGTGCAGCGTTGGGAAGATCTCAAAAGGTCCTTCACTGAGGGCCATACTGTGTACCAAAGTATCGTACACCCGATCCACTGGGCTGGCCAGCAGCAAACGGGCTCCTCGCACCTTCAGCTCCTTACTCAGATCGGTGAGAGTGCGGCATCCCGCTACATCTATGTGTCCCAGCATTGAAAAGTCCAGGATGAGCACCTTGAAGAGACTAGATGACTCTTCCAATTGATCATTGATCGCCTTGCCTCCGTTTTGCGATACTGGGGAATAACTGGTTTTGCTGCCCTTGCTGGGACTATTGCTATTGCTGCTGATCTTCGTCAGTGGCATCTTATCCAGACCCACTGCCTCATATAGAGCACGTCGGAAGAACAAACTTGTAGCAAAGTTAAGTGATCCACTGTAGCGGAAGATGCGGGTCTCGGGCACCTGCATGGCATTCCGATGTTGGTTGAGATCCATATAGATTCCAGGGGCCTCTGGCATGTATCCCAAAAGACAGGAGTAAGGTTTCAGACCCTTGATGTACAGAGCCAACAGAGAGATGCAGATGCCAATCAAAAGACTGTAAGGGAAAAATAAGATAATTAATATGGATTTCAGAAAATAAATATCAATAGATATTGCTTTGTAATATTAAATTTCAACTCACCCAATGTCTATATCGATGATCACCACGCAAAGGAAGGTTGATATCCAGGTGAACATCTCCAGTTTGCCCTGCTTAGAGAACTTTTTCAGCTCCTTGGCTTGCATGAACATCGGCTTTAATGCCACTATGATGACGCCCGCCAGAACGCACTGAAAGCAGTTATTAAATATTAAATAGAGAATACAATACTAAGAATATCGAATGTTTAACCTACCCTGGGTAAACTACCAAAGAAGGGACCGATCCACATGAGAGTGACCACCACCAGTGCGGCGGATACTAATGAAGCAATTTGCGAAACTCCACCCGTTTGATCCTGGATCACGGATCTCGACAGAGAACAAGCCATGGGAATGCAGGAGAAGCAGCCACCCACCATGTTGCCAATGCCCATGGCGAATAGTTCCTGGTTCGGCCTAACCTCATAGCCATGCTTCTTGGCGAAAGTCAGTCCCATGGACATGATAATGGAGTAGGTGACTATAGCAATGGCTATCGAGTCAACAGCTACCTTTGGCACAAGATCCAAGCGCGGCAGAACGGGTTCCGGCAATCCGCTTGGTATTGTCCCCACCGGATTCACCTTGTAGTCGATGTGGAGGTTGAAATACTTGGAGATCAGGGTGCCACCGATTACCATTATCAGCTCTGCGGGCAGGGGAAAGCGGCACTGTTTACTCAGGCGAGGCTTTAAAATCTCATTGCAGATCATCATAAAAACGATCACGGACATACAAAAGCCAAAGTTCACAAGATTCGTATCTGGGACACCCTTGATTACATCAATAACAGTGTATATGATCTTAAAGGCGCCTTTGTGTCGGGGCACTGAGATGCCGAGGACATCCTTAAGCTGGGCAGTGACCACGTGGCAAGCTGCAGCTGTCGTAAATCCATTGACCAGAGGTTCGCTCAGCAGGGATGACAATGTTCCCAGCCTTAGAAAAGCCATAAGAAGCTGAAATATATCATAAGCTAAGATATCTACAAGATTCTCCAAAGACAACTTACGTTCACAATGCCAACGGTGAGAGCCAAAGACGTGGCCACCTCCACTTTTGTGATGGGATCCGCACTTAGTGCGGAATTTAATAGCTGAAGTGGTAATGCGGTGGTTGAGGTGATGGCCTCCGTAAGTACAGAGGAATTTGACAGCAGGAGAGGTGATGCAGTCGATGTTTCATTCGACAGCAACCCAGATCCATTAATTGCCAAAATGTGGTGATGGTGGTCCTCCACATTGGCATATGTATCCACGACCTTCGCCGTCATCATGCTGGCCACTGCAAAGGTGCCAATTGAGATGTGCTTGGATGTGCCTAGGAACATGTAGGCTAGCACCGGAAAGACGGCCATATAGAGACCATTTCCTGCCGAAACTCCTGCCAAAATGCCATAGGCCATGCCGTGAGGTATGTTCATAATGGCGACTGTGAAACCAGCGATAATATCGCCAGGAAGATCTCTTCTTGGGGAATACTGAGGTAACCATTGCAGTATAGGAATCACGCCGGTGAAGAGTGCAAAGAAGTTCCAGCTCTGCCAGCAGTTCCGCAGGGAGGAGGGTATGCTTTTGTCCCGGGCCGCATAGCCCGTTTGTTTGATCACCACCTCGTGGGTGAGGACATCCCGATGGATGCTGTACTTAGGCTGGATCTTTGGCTTACTTGTTGCACTGCCACCATTTCCGTTTGTGTTGTTATTGTTAAGTGGTTTGGATCTGTAAGATAAATATGAAATATTATTAATATCTATTTTATTAATAGGTTTGTAGAAACCTTTTATATAACTCACTCAGGGCTCTCTTTATCACTAGGCATTTTGACTAAATCTTCTTCTACTTCTATGTCCTTGTTGTTCCTGACACGTTCCGCATTGGTGTCTGTGAAGGGATGGATGCGTAGATCGCGTTGGAATTGCAAGTGCCTGAAGCGAGAATACGGGCAACTTTGATCCGGGGAAGCGTCTTTAGGTTTCTTGGGTATTGTTCCAGTGGCTCTACTTGGTGGGGGTTCGTGGGTATGTACAATGGGTATTAATAAAGTACCAGGTTCGTTGTCGATATGTAAATCCTGGGAATAGTTCTCTATTAGTAAGTGACGCCGCCTCTTTTGGCGATCGTGCAAGTCTTTTAATCGCTTCCAAGCACCTTTGGGCAAGGATTTAAGATGGTGTTTTGGTTTCTGAAATAAAATTAAAATTTAATAATAAATAGGTATATAATAAAATAGGTATATATCTAATGGTGTATGAGGAATGCGTTTAACCTAAGAACACTAAACCTTTCTAATTTAAAAAGTCAGTTCAGTAAGTTCTTTTGACCTTGGTACTTTAGGGCATCTTATCTAAAGCCATTGAAATTACTTTTTTGAATCTCTTAAAAATCTTTAAGCACTTGTCTTAATTTGTTTTCTTATCAGCATTGACACTTTTTAAATACGAGATAGTGAACGTTGGAAAGTTTCTGACAATACACTTAGAAGTTTATAATCTCAATCACTGAAGTGAGTATTTCACAACAGTTAGATAACTTAGGCCAACCGCAAGCGATTAGCATCACTTTCGATCAAAAACAACGAGTTTCTCTAGATGCTAAGCTTATCACCCACCACACACGACTAAGCATCTATCATCACTGACAGATCTTTAAATATAATATCCAAAAACTCGTGAACATTTTGGTTATTCTGAATCACGATTTCTTAGCCCATGCTAATTAACTTAATTATTTGATCAGCATGTGTTCTTTTTGCGAACGCAATGTTTTGGCGAAAATTATAGAACTCCCTGAAGACTTTTTCACTATTGACATTTATTACGCATACGCAGTGTTGACAAGTGTCTACTGTTGACGTATTTTCTAAAGATGTTCATCATCAATTACCGTCTAGCGAAAGCCACTTGCTAAGTGCTCAATAAAGTAACGTACACTCGCGACAAATGGGATAACAGTAGAGGGCATTTTGCGGATTTTGTTACTCGTTTCATTGGTTCAAGCCATAATCACCTTTAATAATCGGTTCATGGTAGATAACTTTTATGACTAGTGTCTATAGGCTAGCTGTTGTTAGCAACAAATGATAGTTAAAGGTTTAATGAACAAATAATAAGAATAGGGGGGATGACAAATATGAAATAAGTTAGGAGCGAAATTAGGTAAATTTCAGCATTGCATTAGTTTGAAAAGGAACTACAACCTTCACCACTCACAATTTAACCAAAAACAGCGCATTTCTCAATTGAGAAGATCTAAAATACAATTGTTTCTAAAAACAACATTTAGGCCTAGAACAATTAAATAAAGCGCCATTGTAAAACACAGCTTGTAATCAAATACCCACGATAACTTCTTACTCAGTTCTTTAGTCAACCAACAAAGCCCCGTTACCAACTGACACAATTCCTGCTAAGTGACCATAAAATGGCACTCCATAAACCAAAGTAAACAACTTCATAAACCGGATCTACAAAAAGGCAGCCAGGCATAACAACAAATAACTCCAAAAATATATTTTGAAAGCTTTATTTGGCAACGTCACTTGCATCATATAGTACTTCCCCAGTTTTTGTTCAGTCGAAATCCGTTGAGACCTTGCTGCCAATGTCAAGTTCAACAATTTGCAAGGTGACTGAGAAACCAAAGGTATCGGCAGTTATATGCTAAGTAATGCTTAGCAAGCATCTGGAATCAATCAGGAGATCAAAAAAGATCACTGGCTTACCGAGATCAACCGTTTCAATTACATTTGCATTTCAAATGGAAGCGTGTGAAATGAATTTGTTAGAGTTTAGGTGGTTGATAGATACAAGGAAACCTTTGAAATATTTTGTATTTGAGCAGTAAATAAATGAAATATTAAAAATACTATAATTAACAATAGATCAAAGGAATACTTTTTTCAAATGCTTTTAAATTGATGACCCATAATATTTTACGCTCCACAACTTCGTATGGCCAAAATCAGTTGCCTTCGTTTCGACGGAAATTGTGAATTTCTCTCTCTCTCTCTCTCTTGCACTTGATTTTCGAAAGTAATGACTAATCCGAATTTATCCATAAAAAACGAGCTTATTATATACATATATAGAGCAAACACCTCAAATCCGGTTTAATTGTGATGCCCCTGGCTCATTGTTGTGTTGCCGGTAACTGTGAGGGACCTCATTAGTTCTACCAACGAACCGGTTACTGTTAAAAAATAGTGCAAAAAACGGGAGCCAACATTTGGGTCAAAACCAAAGTCGCTTATGCAATAGGCCTGGACGCACATGACCAAAGCGAGATTAGCCCAAAAGGGAACCGAAGGTTAGGGAAAGGCCTTATGTATGAAAGGAGAGGGAATATTTATGTGGACACAAGTGTCTGGGCAAAAATCGCGGCTGAATTCTTATCGAAAGTGTCCACTTTGCTTATCAGCAACAAAAGCACTTCCATCAGACTCGTTAATCAATGTTTTAACCTCGACACAGAGACAATTTCGCAATTCCATTGTACTAAAACATGTGGCTTGGTGTCTTCATTGATGAGGAGGGTTAAAACTGAATATTATTTTTCTTAATGTTATATAACAAAATTTAACCAATTTTGTAGGAGCTTTAAGTGTCATTAGTTTAAATTTTAATACTATTGTTAGGGGCACGAAACCTTCTTTAAAATGTTATTGCTGGAATTAAGAATTGAAATACGTTAAAATATGACACAAGTATTATTATTTTTCATATAATTATAAAGCCTTTGAAATTTTCAAGGGGAAACGGTATCAGTTTCAAGGTTAAAATTGGCTCTTTTTTTATGTCAAGTCAGCACACTGAAATTTGAACTCTTTCCCCGTGTAAACTGAAGGGGAATCTCCGGGCAGGTGTCTATCGATATATTGACCCCCCTCTTATCAGTAACCAATGGCCATGAAATAGTTACAGTTTAGCCCGAGCATTCCCACATTTGTAGTCACCATATGCAGTGTTTTTGATATCAAAATATTGATTACGTAAGTGGGAACCAACTGCCAGAGATAACGCAGAAAAACTTCGAAGAGAACTTTTTATGGAATGAAGTTGGTTGATCGTCGGTACGTACTTCAATCATGATGATTGATTTGCCGTGACTTCTGCTGACGCACTTGAACCGACTTCTTTGTTCCGGCTAATGAAGAAAACTGAAGCAAATACTAAAATCGGATCTGAACCCGGGCCTCTGTTTTCTACATTCAGCTGATGCTGTCCCCTTGATGTGATAAATCTGACGTTGAAGTACATAAACGGGTATTTCTTGGCAAAATATTTGTCTGGCGTTAAGGAAAAATTTATGGAGCACGCGAGCTTTTTTATAAACTTAATTTTTAATAGAATTAAACAGAAAGTCAAACAGAAGTTCTCATTTTGTTGACTTTTTATTTATAAAAAATAAATGTAGGATTTTTTTTAAGATGATGGTTTATTTAAATAAAGTAGCAACAATTATCTACAAAGTGCGTTGTCTGATTCATTCATGACAAACAATTATAAAGCTACGAATATCTATATATTTCATGATGTCAAATGAGTCACTTTTTATTAAGCCCAAAATAAATTGGTAGAGAGCGATGGCACACGTTATTATTATATGGTTTGTGCTAATAATAAAGTCAAAATTGTTTGACCCTTTTCTTAATTTATAGCAGCGAAGTTAAAGATATCTTTGTCAGCTTCACTTTAAGACCCATTGTTTAAACAGCAATGAGTAAATCGAGCAAAACATTGTGGGTTCCTTGCGTTAACAATAAGGTCAAAGCTCAATTCGTCGCGTATGTTTGCCTTTGGGGTTGGATCGTAAACTATATGGGGCACGCCCTTATCAGCGGATTAACCCTTGCTGGTGGAATCCAGTTCCATCATCGATTTGACCCCACAGTGTGCTTAGCTTCCGTTTAGATATGAATTGCATTCATATTCGTTTCGATTGGACTTTGAGTTTCCCTTGTTTAGGTTCTGTGGAAGTGCTGGTGCGGCAGTTGGCAGATTTTTTATATCTCTTTGTTTAGATTTCGATTGTGCGGCATTTATTTATTTTTCTGTGCTAGAGCCAGGGGTTGACTGTCAAGGGGAAGTAGGGGAAGAACCTTTGGGGCTGCAACATTTCCAATTTTTCCTACTATGCGCACGCACGAACTTCTGACAACGCAATGGAAACAACAAAACAAATACAAATCAATTGAGAAAACGTTTAATTGATCAAAAAATATTTGAGAAGGCGCTGCTGTAGTTCTCAAACTATCTCTATTTTTACAGATTCATTTTGCAATGTTGAATATACATATGTATGTGTATTTCTTAAATATATCTTATTTATATATATACATGCAATTTCTTCTCTATAAGCACAAATGTACTCCCTAAAGCTTCTGATAAAGCTGAAAAAACAGTCTATACTTTAGAGAAATGTGATATTTCCGAGCAAAAAAGCGAATATAAGCATTAATTTGCTAATCCATGTTAGTTTATCTTTATTGTGTTTACCAATTAATTATAAAGTCTATTACGGTAATCGCAATTCATCGCGAAAATCTCATCTGTAAAGTTTCACCCAAAACAGGTGTGAAATTGGAGAGTTTTACTTTTTGCGTCCAAGGCCCTGATTATTGGCAATCTTTACAGCTCACGTATGGCTGATAATGCTTGAAATAATCAGCTTAAATGTCTGATTGATTGATAAGTACTTAATGTGCTTTATGTACTTTTTCACTTTAAGCGAAAAGAAATAAATTAAGAACCTAAAATTAAACATTTCACAAACAACTTGTGTTTTTGTTTGCGGCGGAAGACGGGCCTACATAATTCCAATTCTAGGAAGTTTGTTTTTAAAGTACAAAAGTAGAAAGAACAAACTAGTTTTTTAATGACTTTGTTAGCCATTTTTCCTACAAACTTGCCCCTTAATTAAAATGGAATTTTGTGTATATTAATAGGTTTTAATAATTGTGCACTTAGGTATTGCATAATATTTGTATTTGTTTCAGAAAAAACCAATTAGGTGCCATTCATTATTTGTTTTCCCGGAGCTGCGGCTTATCAGCAAATCCCAATATATAGAGGGTATTCTCGACTAGTGACGCGACAGGTTGGCAAAAAGTCACCAAAACGGAAGAACGACATAAACATATATACTACATACATACGACTATATATAAGGCCACCATGTACTATACACTATACATATACTCGATGACTGTGTGTCAAGTGCAAGTGCACCAAAAAGAACGGGGAAAATAGGGTAGGAAAAGCAAATAAAAACAATAAAGGCAATTCAAAAGCTGAAAAAATATACAATTAATTTGATTGTCCCAAATTGACGAGAAATCGAAAAGCAAACGGAAACGAGAAATGTTCGGCAATGTTCTAGGAAAATGTCAAGAGTTTAAGAATCTCTCTAGTTTTTACCTTAAGAAAACTAAATTATTTTGTGTTTGCCAAATGAGTAAAAGCTGCTATTGTTGTTGTTGTGTATATTGTCGTTGTCGATTTGTTGGCACCTTTAACTTTTGATAGCGCCCGTTGGTATTGTTATTGTATTACTAGCTATTGTATCACTTGTTGCCAGTAAAAATTTGATTAACACTTTTGTGGCGCATGCATCGGGAATATTTTCAAACTTTAAGCACTCTTTGGCAACTTTTTGTTTTGCCAATATAATTATCACTTATATAAAACTGGCTAAAAGGCCTGCAAATTAATGCTAACTTGATTTTGTTGAACAAGTATTATGGTTCAACGACGTTCCGTTATTTCATCAATATTTATTCTCTCTTATTTAACCGCACGTTCATTAATTGTGTATTTTTTTTATGCCGAATAACGTCGCTTGCGACACACGTAAAATGTTTTTTTATATTGGAGTTGTTGCTGCAGCTCTTATAGTTGTTATTGTTGCTAGTGTTGTCGAGGGGGTCGAACGCCAAAAAAAGATGCTCGCGCCAAAAGCTAATAATTGGAAAATCCGCGACGAAAACCGCGTTCGACTGACCCAGTAAAACTGAATAAAAAATGTTAAACTCACAAAGCGGCAAAGCTTTTATATTGAAAGCTTTTAACAGCTGTTTTGGTTTGTTGGTAATTTTATCGATAACACTATTGTAATGTTAAATTACATGTAACATAACAACTTACGGTTTAAGTAACTTAAATATTAATAGGAGTACAATAATTGTAGAGTATTTATTATATTTTAATTTAATATATTTTTAAAATATGAGTTATGTATATGTTAACAAAAGTTCAAATAACATAGTATCATTAGGTATGTTTATTTTTATCTGATTTTGATGTTATTTATATCTTTCTCTTATATTTTAAAAGTAGTAGTTTAGTTATCAGAACAAAGAACATGTGTACGAAATGGAAATGACAGCTTTAAAAAAATAATTTCCCTTTAAAATAGGTTAAAATTTTAAAATATGATTCCCTATCCCTCAAATCGATTTAAAGGTTAACTTATTCTGTCAAATTAGATAATTAAATAACTTTAGATCTTAATTTATTTGTAATGTGTACCTCATACCTTGCAGAAGATCGTATTTTAGTAATATTTAAAATTAATATTGAGTAAAAACGGACTATCAATTTTATTTAGTATATTTTCGTAATTAAGTGGTATATTTAAGCCGCTGCGAGCACAGTTACACTAAAGAAGAGGAAGAGGTAGCCATGACAACAAAACAACTTGTTTCTGATAAAACCTTCACTTTTCACCGGCCGCTTTTGGAATATTAGCATAAAGTAGCATTAGAAAAATAAGATCCTCGGAATGGACAAGCCTCAGATGATCGAACACCTTCACGAGAGTGTCAACTACACAGTATACGATACGAAATGGGTGCCCCTTTCCGCAAAGTTCGTTGTTCTGGGCTCCAAGGCCAACGGGCATGGAGTGATGGACATCTACGAACTTAATCAGGACAAGCTCGAGAAAGTGAAGTCTGTAGACAAAAAGGTGGCATTCAAGTGCGGCACCTTCGGGGCAGCTTCGCTAAGGAACCGCCACATGGCTATCGGCGACTTCGAAGGCAGGCTGCAAGTTCTGTAGGGGTAATCTAAAAACCACATGAAATCTATCTTTAATATGTGTTTTATTTCCAGAGATATGGAGCAACCAGATCTTCCGGTTTACAATGTTAAGGCTCACAGTGCCATTATCAATGCCATCGACGCAATTGGAGGTACTCAGATCGATTGTGGAGCACCGGAAATCGTTACTGGCAGCCGGGATGGCGCTGTTAAAGTCTGGGATATCCGTCAAGGTCAGGCTCCTGTGGTAGACATGTCTCCACCGCCGCAAATGGGTGATGGCGTTAACCAAAGTAGCGCTCGCCGGGATTGCTGGGCAGTGGCCTTCGGAAATACTTACAATTCCGAGGAGCGCATTGTTGCTGCTGGTTATGACAACGGAGATCTGAAGATTTTTGACCTTCGAATGCTTTCCGTGCGCTGGGAGTCAACCATGAAGAATGGGATCTGCGGCCTCGAGTTCGATCGACGGGATATTCCTATGAACAAACTGGCTGTGACCACCTTGGAGGGCGGACTTCTTGTATACGATATGAGAACCCAGCATCCGACGAAAGGTTTTAGTTACGTGGAGGAACGCAACGCCGGTCGTAGCGTAGGATCAAATGGCGTGATCAGCGGTCCTAAAGCAACCGTGTGGGTGGTTCGTCATTTGCCCCAAAACAGAGATCTCTTCCTCACTGGCGGCGGAACTGGATCGATTCGCTTGTGGCAGTACGAGTATCCCGATAGGAGGGTCATTGATGACTCGGATGGCATCAAGATGGGAGTAGCTGGATCGCTGAACATGGTCAGTGCAGTCACGATTAGCACCCAACCGGTTCACTGCTTCGACTGGCATCCCGATAAGCTTGGCCTAGCGGTTTGTGGAGCCTTCGATCAGAGTGTTCGCGTTTTGATCACCACCAAGTTGAATACGTACTAAGTATAAATCGATAAAGAAGAAACTAAGGAAAACGCCACATACTTGTGATAAGGGATCATGGGTAAAAGCTTAGGTTTATATTTTTATGAATTGCGAATTGTAAAGCTTCTAAATAGGATTTTCCAAGTGCAAATTTACCTCTTTACTGCTCAATGCCATTAAATCACAAAAACAAGATCATCCAACTGACCTGAATTATATCACAAATCAAAACTAGCATACAAAAATATAAGTAGTGAAGCAATAAATGTACATTTATAAAACAATATACCGCTTTATTTTCATTAGGTCAAGTAAAGTTTGCGGCTAAGATCGAGGCGCATTCATTCTCTCTTGGAGAATTTTCGACAGATCTTCGATCCTTTTTCTAAGCAGCTCCACCTTCTCCGTCTGTTCAGCCGGCACATCTACATTAATGGCCCTTTTTAGGGCATTCAGACAAGCTGTTCCCGACAATCTCGCAGAATTAAGCTGCGAGGTAATCATTACTTCACTCTCGTCTGGAATATGTTCTTTGATGGCAGCCAATGAAAGTTCACAGACCTCTAAACAAAGATCCAGAGCTTTTATAGCATGCTCCGACTTGGTTTCCCAACCCAAATGTTTTGGTGTGTAGGCTCGATATGATTTAACCAGTTTCTCTGCCTTTTTTAGTGGTGTTGGGGCCACCAAGGCAGCCAGTTCCCAAACTAGGGGCTCATTTCCATGTTGGATACTCTGCTGGCCAAGTAGTTTTATGAGTCTTTTGATTAGGGCACTGGAGCCGGCGGGATCCTCCTTAGAAATGCCGTAGACAATCCGGGTGAGCACCTCTTGATCGAGGTAATGCTGTTTTAGCTCCGCCATTCGCTGGTACGCTCGCATGGCATCTTCCCAATGGGACGTGTCCACGGCAACGAGCATGTAGTTCTCCCAAACTTTCCAGTTGCTATAATTGCACTTAAGGGCTTCTCCCAAAACGCGATGGGCCCGCTGCTTGTCACCCAATTTAATCAAAGCCTTTGCCAGATTGTTCCAGGACTCAAAACCATTTGGTTCCAGGTGGGTGTAGGCCAAATAATGTTTAACAGCTGCCTCCCAGCGTTCCAATTGAATAGCGCAGTAGCCACAGCGTAAAAGGATTGCTTCTTGCAGGTTATTGATCTCCAGTGAGATCTCAAAGTGCTCCATGGCTTGGGTGTAGTCTGCAGTCCTGTAGAAGTAGTTTCCCCAATAAGCCTGCGCTTTGCCACTTGTTTTTTTGGAATGCAACCAAGCCTGCTCGTAGAACTGGGGATCATCGATGGCATCGCCAAGGAGGCAGTACAGCAAAGCAGTTGGTTTCTTCTCCAGCTCCTGCCGGATGATTTCAGCCGCTTTGTGGCGAAGTTCTAAACTTGTGTAGCACTCGATGACCTGCTGCCAGGCGTGTATGCGAAGGCAAATGTCCAGAGCCGTCTTAGTCATACCTAGGGATCGCAGAAGGTCCACAAGTTGAAGCTGAACCTGCCACTTGGGTCTTAGATGGGCCGCAAAGCCGTAGGAGAGCCGGGATCGAAGAGATAACTCCTCCTCTGAGCTTTCCAGCAGTTTTACGCACTCCTCACACTGTTTCCAGCTGCGTTCGACGGTTCTCCGCTGATTTGATTCTTGCAGACAGTTTAGTAGAAGAGCTGCCTGGCGCACTTGTAAAGGTCCATGCTCCTGGTAGAGTAAGGTTTGTGTATATGGCTCCAATTGTTCATCCGCCAGGCGATCCTTGGGCTGTGAGCGCTTTAGTTGTTTTCTATAAGAGTTAAAATATAAGTAAAATTCATTAACCATTGCCAATACTCACACCTTGGCCAGCACCAGAGCTTGGAGCACACTGGGTAGTGTCATCACTTCGTTGTCTTTAAGCTCCACAAAGCGTATCCGCTCCAATCGCGTATCATCTTCCAGAAGAAGCAGCTTGGGTAATTTTGTCTTCTCATTCGTACGGATGGCTGCAGGTAAATTTAACTGCTCTTTCAGGTGCTCCACTTTAAGGCAAAGCTGCGGAAGAGCCTTTTGCTGAAACTTCGTACGTACTCCCAGCAAACCCTCTACTTTGAGTTCCACTTGCAAATGACTACATAAGTCATCTAGCAATTGGGACGCTATTTCCGACCGGTGAAACTGTAGATAGCCATTGGCCAACTCCAGTAGGAGAAGGGATTGCAGTTCCTTGCTCTCAAACTGGTTTACTTGAGCATGAAGAAGTCCAGCTGCCGCTTTAAATTGTTCATAGAGCGAGGCTGCCAAATCATCCAGAACATGCTGATGCAGGCAGATGAGGCGCAAGTTCCACCAGATCAGCACCTGAACATAATGATAATTAATAAACATAAATAAACTTTATATAAGTAAGCAAACCTTAGAATGCGGATGGGATTCTAACAGTCCCTTTAGTATTTCTCTGGCCAAAAGTAATAGTTCTCCAGTTTTAACATTTGGGTTAAGTTCCTCGCCGCTAGCTTTTAGTTTATCCTGTGCATCCAGATCGTCTAGATTTAGTTCACTATGGATTTTCTGTAGCCCTTCAAGATTATCAAAGGGTCCAGTAAAATTATTTTGAACAAAAGCGAAAATAAGGAGCAGAAAATCCTTGAGCTGAGAGGCGGGATCAGTCTTTAAATCTGGTTTGCCTTTTTCCCGCCAACGTAGAAGGATTTCCCGAAGATCCTCCACTGTCCACAGCTTTTGCCGGGTCCACAATTGGCGCAGTTGCTGTTCGGCTGGCAGATCTGAGTTAAGGTAATATAATATATATTAAGTATTTCTATAATTTAAAAAAACATTTTACCTTCTACAACAACCGCATCGTTGAAATTGCATATATAATATTCACTGAATGTTTCAGCCACCATTATAGTGAAATTTTGTGATGAAATTGTTTGAATATATAGAATAAGCAATTATCTCTGTTCCACGTGCTCCACGTGTAAATACAACCGTTTCTTTAGAAGCAAAAATTAGCCTTTCTAAGAGAAACTTAACTTTTTAGGGGTTTTAATAACACTTTTTATATATCTTCAGCGTAATTGAACTGTTAAACAGTCAATTTAAACGTATTGTGTTCTAGAATATTTTAGTTTATATCGCCTTCACCGCAGATTGTTTATTAGGGATGAGAGTTCCTGAATTTTCTGCGAATTACCAGCTGATTTGAAATACCGATAGACAAAGCGGTATATTTAAAATATTAACAAATTTTTAATTGGTCTTTAAATAAGAGCGGTTTATCTTAATATAAATTATATAAATAAAGAAAATTTGAAAATGTTTGTGATTGTTAAACAAATATATACCTAATTTTTCTAAAATATGGCAATAGACCAAATAGACAAAACGATAGATTATTAATATATTTAAAAACGGGTTTGGAAATTCTTAAACAGATAATATTGGAAAAATGTGATTTCAAACGTCTCCCAATTTAGTTTAAAAATACCATATGAATCTACACCAATTCGTTATCCAACACTGCATCTTGGCGGTAATTTCAAACTCATCAATGAAGCAGCCATTTACAGACACAGCCATTATTTTTAGCCTTAGTTAAATTTGCTTAGCTAAATTTGCCCTGCACCTATTAGTGCCGCACTCAATTGCACATAATTAGACTGATTTACATCATTGCCCAAGTCGAGACGGCGCCAGTACGCAAGTTCATGTTTCAATTAAATCGCTTTTAAAAATAGGTGCCCGCCGCACTCGAATAATATTTACATAAGTCACATGCAGCTAACTCGTGAAATGGCCAAATTTTATTTATTTGAAATCTTTATTATTGGGCGGAGGGTGAGGGGAATTACCTGTGATAGAGCGCAGCTTTTTTTTGCAATTACCAGAACACACAGTGACTAATACTATAGCGAAGATAGCTTCGGAAAGCTTGGTGGTATTTTATTTTTTACGTCTTAGTCGCCGCCATAGCTTCTAAATTTAAATTTCACGGTCAAGGTCGTCGATTGCCGCCGCTATCGGAGAACGCGATGGGTTGGCTGCGGGGGCGGTGCACTGCCATCAAAAATACCCAACGCAGTACAGTCGCTGGCGGAGAAACAAAAGAAATCGTATCTGCCAGATACTTTGTATATATTCCGGCGAAACTTGATAGCGAAAGATGCGATAAAGGGTATATCAGTGGCATTTAATTGCTGTGTCTGGGGTTATCTTCGGGTACTTATCGTCGAAAGGAATCTGATTGAGTTCAAGGTTGCCCTGACCAAACAAATCTGACGTTGCGATAAGGGCGGTATTTCCCTTTGCCAATTAATTGGACTTTAAATATGCTTTGTTTTATCTTATAATTGCTTATTTTTAAAAGGTATTCTTTCGCTGGCTAATTAGCTCTACGGATTATGCTTTTTTAATATCATTTTTTATGATAGAGTTAGATAAAAGTATGTATATGAATATTACTTTTTTTACTATAAATCTGATAGGAAGAATAATAAATAATACTATTTAATTAAGGAATTAATTATATATTTATTTATTACATTTTTTTATTTTATTTACATTTTTATTAATAGGAATTATTAAATTTTTTCCATATTGTAAAAATAATTTTTTAAATTATAACGTGCAATTATACAGCTTTATTTGATTATAAAAAAAGAAGATTATTTATTAAAATATAAATATGTGGCATCGAATCAAAAATAATTATCGTTCACTTTTGTTTAAGGTTGTTTTTATGAAACAAGATAATTTTCTTCGTTAAACTAAAAGTTAATAATTTAGTTTACTTTAAAAAATCGTAAGTTCTTTTTAAAAATCCAAATTGTTAAAACGAGCTTTTCTCAACCGTTTCTTTTCTGTGTTACTCTTAAATACGTTTCAATTTTGAATTCCACCACAGAATAAAACAGAGAAAAAGCTTTCAGATGTTTTTCTCTTCATCGCAGGAATACTCTTAGCTATCAGTTTTGTTTTATCTCTTTAGATCTCTTCAACCTTTTAGTGTGTTAGACACTCTTGGCTTAGTCATCATCCCAAAAGTTTTTGCCATGTGCCATTTTGGCGCGATTATGCCGCTCTCTCCCTCTTTTCTCGCGGTACACTCTCTTTCACGTCGGCGTTGCATGGCCAAGTGCACATTGCATTCAAATGGATTCGAGTTGAGTCCGGTGAATTGAAGCCGGCACGCGGCTTTTAAGTGGACGTCATCATGACCCAAAACGGCAGCTCGATTTTTATTTCATTTTTGTATCTCCATTCCGAGTTGCCAACTTGCACGTCAGCCATGAATAATGCAAATGCAAATACTTCGGTACAATGTACAAAATAAGTACAAATGCAACAGCAAAAACGCAAATTACTAAAATAATTTCTACCTTAAACAATAGGAGAAAAAATCGCAAAAATGAAATTTCAATAAGTATAACTTTTTTAGGAAAACTTAAAGGAAATTTTAGTTATTTAAAGAAAATTTTAAGCACTAATATTATAAAACAGTTTTAAAGGTTGATAATTTGCAATCACAATAAAATGGAAATAACTTCGTTTAAAGTAATTTTTCAATTGGTAAATAAATTATATTAATGCAGTTTGTTAGAAAATTGATAAAATCATGAAATAGGAGAAAAACCAGTGGAAAATAGGAAATATATTTGAAAAGTTTAAATCTTTCTTGCAAATATATGGTATGCAAAAAACCATTTGAGAAATTTATCATGAAGGAAATATATATATCTAAGCATAAAATAAATTCGGAAATATAATAAAAGTTTCATGGTTTGGAATGGATTTTTTGTGAAATTCATTTAATTATCAAAATAAAATGGAACTGACAGAGCCTAATGCCATTTTTGCAGTCAAATCTTATCAAAGTGACTCTGACTTTTGTGAAAAAAGTTAACTTTACTATACTTTGAACTTTTACTATTGTTTTTTATTTTAGCTTAGGGATTAACAGCTGTTGGCGTAATCAAAAAATATAAAAATCACACTTAAAGGTAAAAAGATATTTAAGGCGTTAACTATATTTGAAATATTAAAAAGCTATTTTTGCTTTTTAGGAACAATAATACTTAAATTAGATTAAATACGCTAGATGTGTCAATTCATTTTAAACCGTAAGAGCATTTTCAATCTCTACTTAAACGTATAATTTTTGTCAAGTCTGGTTTTCATTTGCTTAACTGGTCTAAATAAATAATTAGAAGTTGAAGTTCTAAGCGCAAAACAGTTGTTCGCTGTCTCCGTCTCTATTTATATTTATTTATATCTGTTTTGGTGGGTTTAATTGCATTTCGGCTAATTTATATATTTTTAATTTTCACTTTTTTAACGTGACTATTTCGCCTGTTTTTGTTGCCTGCAGGGGCCGGCTACATTCAAGGTCGTTCAGGTTTTGTTTCAATATATTTGTATTTGTATTGTTTTTTTAAATTTCAAACGCTTGCTGGTGTGCTTTTGTTATGGCAAATAAATGCAAATAAATATAATTTGTTTTGGCGTTTATTTTTACCTGTTGCCCACCGCTAGCCTGAAATAATTTAATTGCTGTGACATAAAGACGGCTCCAGTTGCTCAAACATTTGGCTTCTTGATTGTTCGACTGTCGGCTATACGAGTACATTTCTGATTTTCTTCGTCCGCGGAATCGATGTCAGTGGGTTTCCATGTCTCCGGCGCCGGCGCAACATTTTCAGCCTCAAATCAGTTTTCACTTTCGCGGCGCAACTTTCACAAAACTGAGTGCCCCACTCGCTGAGTACCCCTAGTGCCCAGAGACGGATGCAAAAGCTGACTTTTGGGGTCAACAGTTGTTCGGTTAAACTCTTTTTCAATATTAAAATTTTAAAGTATTTTTACTTGATGCATCTTGAATAAATTTTTCGTTAGCACTAGTGCCTGATCATATAGCTTAATTATTAATATTTAATATTATAATTGTTTAACTCCTGTTTGACGTTTAATTTATATATGAATTAGCATAACTAAATCAAGAGGAATCTGTCTTTTAAATGGAAATTATTAAAGTAAATACAAGAAAAACAAAACAAACATATTTTTGAGCTAGTATCATTTAATACCGATAGATAGAATTCATTTGGATTAATTTAAAAAACAATGTCAATTAAATGGCCACCTTTATTGGCCACGGCAAATTGTGCTCTCTTTGCCTCATTTTTCATCACTCTCTTGAGGCGATCGGTCGGTATGGCTTTCATTTCAACACGGATGCTGTCCTTTAGCTTGCCCAGGGTTTGAAGATTACAGTCCAATAATTTGCTCTTTAAATAACCCCAGAGAAAGAAGTATGGAGGAGTTAAATCGGGAGATCTCGGTGGCCAGTCGATATCGCCATTTTTCCACATCAAACGTTCAGGGAAATTTCGTCGCAACTAATCCAATGTATCATTTGTAGTGTGACATGGTTAAAATTGTACTGTTTTGACGGTTTCAAAACATGTCTGATCAAGCTAATCGCTCGACATTTTAGAAAAATATTCAATGCTTAAATCGGCCCATAAAATATGGAGCACCCTTTATATAAATATAAAATACTTCATTTTTTAATATCTTTCCATAAAAAGAATTTATTAAGTAAGTACTATTTTAATTGCTTGGAAAAGTCATAACAAAATTATTTTCATTACTTATTTAACCAACAGCGGACAGGCCCACGCACATCTAGCCTTGAGTCATGGTTTGATTTGACCTTGCCCGTCTATTAGGAGCCATAATTTCTTGTTTGCCATTCGAGATGGTTTAACTGCTTGATAAATTTTCATATTTCGCTGTATGCTTGGCTGTTGACTAAAATGCCGCACAACGCATGCTAAAAAGTTCTACCGAAATTAATTTATTTCGCACTTAATTATTCAGCGCGAGTTGCTCACAGAGACGCGCTGACCTTGGGCAGCCTCCCCCCGCGTACAGCTCCCTCAACCCCCCGCCCACTCCCATAGCGGCTACTCGTTTCTGGTTGCGATCAAATAACGACTGCCAAAGCCAAAAACAAAAACAGAAAAGAGGCAGAGGCTAAATTTGATCATACTTCGGACATCCATTGGCCAGAACCACAGCCGATGAAGCGGGCAACAACATTGTAGAGATTTCAGTGACAAAACAGTTTTCGAAAATAGTTTTTGTTCTCGGGATGGGTTGGA